GTTGTCGGAGCAGATAGGAATTTCTCCGTAAGGGGTTTCCCTTCCCATTGTGCTACAAAAGGTACTTCTATGTATATTCCAGTACTGATTTCCCCACGCAGCTGGCACTGGTGGGCTGACGTGCCGCCACAACACCACCCTCAAATCTTCGCCACTCATAAGACGAGCACCTGTGGGCCACCGAGCGTCAAGTATCGCGGGTTCTTCATCAACGACGAAGCCCCGGCGCTCACAAGTTGGGCGAGGGAGAAGTTCGGCGGGTATAATGTCCGGTTCTATGAGAAAGTCTTTGAACTTCTCCTCCGACTCAAGGCCAACTTCCTGTGGCCAGCAATGTGGTATGGGTACCCAAATCCGGGGGCAAGTTTCTTCACGGACGACGAGGAAAACCAGAGGACAGCCAACGTGTACGGGATCGTCATGTCGACGTCCCACCACGAGCCGATGCAGCGGTTGAGCAACGAGTGGTTGGCCGAGGGCAACCCCTTGGGTACGTGGGACTGGATTACGAACAGAGACAAGATTACGCAGTTCTTCCGCGCAGGCGCGGAGAGGGCAAAGGGTTGCGAGAGTTACTTTACCATGGGTATGAGGGGCGAGTACGACACGAAGATGGAAGGGGATGACCCGGCGGCTGTCGTAAAGGACGTACTGCGTACGCAGAGGTCACTGATACGAGAGACTTATGGCAGGGAAGATGCGGTTCCGCAACTACTCGCCTTGTATAAGGAGGTCCAAGAGCAGTACGAGAGTGGTAGACTCGACGTCCCCGACGACGTGACGCTGTTGTTTTCCGATGACAACTTTGGTACCATTAGGCGACTCCCTCACGGGTCTGAGACCAGCAGAAAGGGCGGTTCCGGACTGTATTACCACTTCCAGTACGTCGGCACCCCGAGGAGCTACAAATGGATCAACAGCAACTCGCTGGGCAAGATATGGCACCAACTTCAGGAGGCCCATCGCCGAGGGGCAAGGCAGATCTGGGTGTTCAATGTTGGCGACATCAAGCCTTATGAGCTTCCATTGACATTTGCCCTGTCTCTGGCGTGGGACGTGGACTCCGTCAAACCGGACGGTATCCCCGATTTCTTAGCGGGCCACGCGGCTCGACAGTTCGGTCCCGCCCTCAGCCATGACATTGCGAAAGTCTGGCATGGGTATGACACGCTCGTCGCCCTGCGCCGCCACGAGCACATCGAACCAACGACGTTCTCCTGCCTTCACTACAGCGAGGCTGAGACGATCTACATGCAGTGGAAGTCGCTCTTGGACCTCGCCGAGTCTGTCTACAACCGGGCAACCGACGAGCAAAAACCAGCCATGTTCCAGCTGGTGCTGCACCCCGTCAAGGCCAGCGCCATCTACGTGCGACTTCAGATCAGCCTCGCGCGAAACCAGCTGTTCGCGCGTCAGCGGCGCACCTCTGCGAACCTCGTGGCGAAGCAGGTGCTCGAGCTCTTCGACGAGGACTTTGATCTCTCGGAGGAGTACCACGCCCTGCTTGGGGGAAAGTGGAATAATATCGCGTCGCAGCCACATTATGGGTTCACAAGTGACACTTGGCATGCGCCAAGCCGAGATATGGTTACCGGACTCTCTTACGTCCAGACAAGACAGAGGTCGAATCCTATTGTGGGCAACATTGGCGTCATGGTCGAGGGCCACGAGGGAGTGAGGCCCGGCCTTACCAACGAGAACAGCGACCTCACCCACCCGAGCCGCGGTGATCTGGTCCCCGGCCTCACGCTCGGGCCAATGTCCCGCTACGGGCCCGAGTCAAGATGGTTCGAGTTGTTCACCAGAGGGCCCCTGACCGTCAGCGGCGACCTCACGGCGCCGTACCCTTGGATGGTATTCGGAAGCCAGGCTGGGAGATTAGTGCCTGGGGAGAAGGACCACAGGATCGAAGTTGGGGTCTTGTTCGACCAGGTACCGGAAGACTTGGAGGACGTGGTGCTCATTGACGTGCGTTCCGAGCAGGGTGACTTTGAACAGATACATGTCCCAGTCACGGGCCGCCGGCTCCCCCCGGGATTTGTGGGTGGTCATGTCGAGTCGGACGGGCATATAGCCATTCCAGCACCAGCCGGGCAGAACCTGGAGACGTCATATCGATTCCTCCCTGATACTGGGCGATCACCACTGGGCTCGATTACGCTGCACCCAGACGTCGGACACGAAAACATCACCTTCGCGGAGTACAAATTCTTCGTCTTCTCCAACACTCCGACCACCGGGTCCCCGTCTCTCATCCTGTATTTCAACATGACGCTCGACTTGGACCCGGCCGATCCAATGATGTACGAGTACCGCCTTGACGACGGGAGTGTCTGTCGAGAACGGCTCCTTGAGGCCGAGCCGCCCAGTGACCCGGAGTTGCCCTCACCCGAAGGCTGGTTGACTGCTGTACAGGACTGCATATGGAAGAAGCAGCATAAGCTATCAGGGGATGCGGTCGCTAAGGGGGAACACGTGCTCCGTGTGCGGCTGTTGCATACGAACCTAATATTGGAAAATGTGGTGATTAACCTTGGGGGACTCAAGGAGAGCTACCTGGCGCCACCGCCGAGTTACTATGCCGCACAATAACGTGGGCTGTCAATTATCACACATGCATCAGACATAATAGCATCAGACTTGATGCTTCACCGCACAGACAACCACCCGCCGGGCAAGGTTCAACTGACAGCACATGAGGCCAGGATCAGCCCAGCCCCATTAGTGCGGCGCTTACCGCGACTTGGGGCAGCTGGGTAAGGTGAGCGGAGCAATAGGTCCCCGCCTTACTGCCCGTCCCGCGAATCACGAGGCTGGATGCAATGACATCATGCGGCCAATATGGGGCTGACGTCGCCCTGACGGCCGAAACAGCAGGCTCAACACCTCTCACCGGGTGGGACTTGTGTACCGTCTCTGGGGGTTCTGCCCTGCAGTACAAAGAACAAACACTGCCCACCCACCTCTTTCTAGCTTCGAAGTTTGTTCCCCGCACCTCTCTCCCTCCCTCCCGTCCACCCTCCCACCAAAAACGTTGAAACCTACGCAGTCAGGACATCTACATCACCCATCAGCACACAGACGCTCTCAAGACGATACCACCTGCAATCATGTACCAGCACTTCTACTCCTTCCTGCTCCAGCTCTGCCTGGCAGCCCTCGCCTTCGCCGCCCCCGTGGCCCAGGAGATCTCCACCAGCACCATTGACAACACCTGGCAGTACGGCACAGGCGGCGGCATCATCGGCTTCATCGTCCTGATCCTCGACATTATCGTGTTCAGTACGTACACTCCCTTGCCTACGGGGTCGTCCGTCCTCCGTTCTGGTGAGCCTACTAACGCATTCGTCCCGCAGTCGAGGTCCTCAAGTCCAACCGCCCTCCCATCCACAAGCTGCTCTGGTGCCTCGGCGTCTTCGTCTTCCCCATCATCGGTCTCATCGTCTACTTCTTCTTCTCCAACCGTGCCCACCACAACAGCGGCGGCTCCTACGAGCCCCTTCCCTAGGCATGATCGTTCTGATACAACATATCACCGATTGTCCCAGCAGTGCGAATGCCACGGTTGACAAGGCGATGGGCCAGTTGAGCATCCGTGCCAAATACTTGAAGGATTGATGGGACCGTCATGGGGTTAAAGTGACATTGCATTTCACTTGTAGCAGAGGCGTTTGCTGGAGGAACTGGAATACACGGGTTGATTGAGCGGGATTAGTCAAGGCAATGAAGCAATGCTTTTACACACCAAGATGTTCATATTACAAGACGCAATTGTCTTTTAAATGATGCTTTGACATGCTGATGGTTTTTAGCCTCTCCTACTAGCAATCCAATTCCTTTTGAGACGTCTCCCGCCCATAAGTAACAGTTGCTGTCCTAGCTCAATTCAGACTGTTTCGAAGGCTCGTTTTTACACAAGACTTATACTATTATAAAATAAGAATGGCCGTAAAAAGAGATGGTATATTTGTTTTACATTGTTGATCATAACCACAAATACATGTTTCTCGTCACTGGCGAGGCATACCTTAAATCACCTAACCCTACTAATAGCTATGTGGTTTCGCTTCTATTCCGTATACGTCCAAGGACATACATGGCGCCTTCATACGGTGACTAATAGCTATAAGTAGCATAACCCTTCTTACATGTTTTCCACTTGCTGGTATACCTCTATGATTGCTTAAATATAGTTGAATCACGCTACCGGCTTCCATTCGAGCTGCTGGAGTCGAACAAGATCAGAAAAAAAGACAAAGAAAGATGGGGGAGGAGACTCACCCGGAGAGATGCTCACCGACACCCATCAGTAGTTCATCCTGCTGTGACCTGCCACGAGAGCTAGGTCTGTTCTTCGAGGCAGATCCTAATGTCTTGCCCTGGTTGTAGGTCTTGCTTCACGGTGACGCGGAGCTCTGCGCGTAGGTCGCCTGAGTGGAAGTGTTTGACGAAGAAGGCCTATTAGTCTCGTGTTAGAACCATTATCTTAAGAGAAGAAGATTGAAACTTTTGCACATACATATTCGAAAAAGATGCTTAAGATGTTGATAGTACCCTAGGGTAGCTAAGTTGTGAAGTGCAGTGATACTTGGAATGAATGAACTGAATCCCCTACAGAGAAACGCGACCTTTAACGCCATTATATAGCCAGAAACCGACACTAAAGAAGATTCCTTTGCCGGTCAACTTTGGAAATGAGCCTCATTCTGCCAGGAGGCATACCTAGGTAATTTGCAGAGGCAGATAGACAAGAAACGACAAGTGATCCCATTCCGTCTGAGGACCATGAGTACTGTCCGATATCCACATGCAGCCAAATTCTAGCCAGTAACATCAAAGCGAGGCTTTCGTTGCGGAATTTCAAGAACAGACCAAAATCTAGCCTATAGAAGAATTCTTTTCTTCACAAATTCGTCCCTTGCACCATGATATCCTTCGCCCAGCTGAGACGAACTGTCGCCGGAGCGGGTGTAACCACACTTGACGCAAAATGTCTGGCCTAGTCCTATTTTCAGCCTATACATCAATCACGGAGGTTGAAAGTGATCAGATTGGCCAGATTTTGGCTCTTGAAAAGCCTGGGCCCCAGCTGGGAGGTGGAAGTAGGCTGTCAGGCGGTTACTTACGCTGCAGGATAGCCACCCGACAAGTTGCCATACCGTGCGGGTGTCCTTTTAAGTGCAACAGAGTAGGTCAATGGATACCTTCACACACCGCCCCTTTAACACACGTTTTTATTACTTAAAAAATAAATTAAAGTCCCTCTTTAATTAAATATATATAAATATTAAGAATAAAATAAAATAATTATTAAGTTATTAACTATTAATTAATATAATATTAAAACTTTTATTTAAATTATTTTTAAAAATAATAAATAAAAAAGTTTTTTATATTATATACTTTTTATATATTTAAATATTTATTAATTTAATTTTAAAATATTTAAAAAACTTTAATTTAATTAATTATATATATATATATACTATTTTTAATTATAAAAAAGTACTTTATAAATACTTTTCTTATATTATATTAATTATTTATACTTTATAATATTAATAATTTAAAGACTTTAAAAAGTAATTTATATAATAATTATAATATATATAAATAATTATATATTAATAGTTTATAATTTAATTTAAAGAAAATAATAAACGTTAATAACGTTATTAAAACCTATTATTAGGGAATATAGGGTAAGTTCGTTATTAAGAAAAATATAGTCTGCCACATGGTTTACCTGCTACCTAGGTACAATCAACTCCCATACATCCTGATGCGTCTTTCGGCCTGACGCACCCTGTGTGCAACATGGAGTCTAACTGGGCCTCTAGTAGCTGTGCATCCCGCTGTGAAAGCTTTCTTTTGAGATACTCCAGTTCCTGTTTGAGCTCATCTCTATCGTCCATGAGTACATCGACGTCGCCTTCCAGGATCTGTACCTCATGGTTCAACTTCGCGTTGTGGCGCCTGAGATCTTCGTTTTCCTTCTCCAGCCTGGCTTGTCTGTCGGTCTTTTTATCATCAAGTGAACTCGGAGGTGGTTCTCTCCTGGACTCGTCGTCGGTTTCATATATGTCCTCCTCGTAATCCGAATCCGAATCCGAGTCCGCCTGCATCACCTGGGCGTAGAGAGGTGTCACTCTTATCCCTCTGGTCCATTTCTTCAGCTCTATCGCATTCAGCGAAGTGCATCTGGAATTTCCTTCATACTCTTGGTTTTCATCCTTGCACGTTGTCTCGGCAGACAAATGTTTCCGCCTCAGATGTGCAGCTGCCCGACGTCTTGTGCTGTACAGTCTTCCACTGCTGCAGGATCTGCACGTTTCCAGTGTAGTCAATTGAAAAGGGTTGGTTTTCCATCTCAGATTCACGCATTTCCATCTTTCGATAGTGTTTGAATGCTTAATATCATCACGGCGGTCAAGCTCTAGTGACGGTAACTTGCCAAACTTGAGGACGACATCGGCCAGAGTGTCAGATATCGGTACCATGTAATCCACCACTTGTCCCTCTACCGCTAGGATGATATGGCCGTAGCAGGTTCCGGTAACTGCATCAATCACCGCCGAGCCGCAGTCGCTCGGGCCGAGACGTTCACACAAGATGGTCGCGTGCACTGTTTGGAAAATTGCTGAACCGTGCAATCGCAGCGAGGCCATGTCAGGCAACACGGTGCCTGGGACTGGGCCGCGAGAAGTGACCACGAGAATGCTGATAGCCACCGCCCCAACCTTTGCAACTTCTAGGACGTCGACGCCTCGGGGTAAGTGATGTTCGCCTCTGAGGACGAAGTTACAGGCTGTGTCGCGTTCGAGCTCTGTCAGCTTGACGAGGGTGTAATGCGAAGCTTCTCTTTGTCTCGAATCTGACAACCTCGTGGCGATTGGTTTCGTAAGTGATGTTTTCTGGGTTTCCCAGACCAGTGAAGCTTTAATTACCCCGTCATATGCTGGCGGTGGAGAGCATATCGCCTCACATAGGTTTGGCTTAGTTGAACTCAAAGGCTGCTGCTTGTGGCAATAGGGCCCTCGCTCGCGTCCTACTCTTCTCTTCTTTAGGAGATTTTTCTCACTTGTGAATTCTTGCTCGTAGCCCGAATCATCTGCGTCTGAATGGCTGTCCATGTCACACTCTTTCACCCCGTGAGATGCAGTACAACTCTTCGTTGCTCTCGTGGACCCGAAGCTAGTTATTTGGTAGAGTTCATCTCCGATCCTGACTATCAATCCGCCTGTGCTGTGCTGAACGCGCGGTCCTGCCTCGGAAGTGACCAGGCGTTCAATCTTTCGTCCCATTCGTGGCCCTGGGATATCACTCTTGTCGTGGCTCGGCGTTTGGAGGCCAGACCTGTTGGTTGTCGATGAATCCGGGCATCGAACTCGGCGTTCCGATTTCAATGGTATCGGGGGGGCTTCGAGAGGAATAGTACTGGAGCTCAAGCGAAAATTTGGATAGCGATCGAGTATACCGCTGCGTCTCACCGATGCCTCGAACAGCTTGCTCGTCTCTTGGTCCGCAGAGAAGATCATGATGGTTGGGTTTGTTCTCTCCCCCTTCTGACCGATCATGCACAACCTGATGAGGAATGAAGATCCATCGGTCTTAATATGCTCCAAGAACCTCTCAATTTCGCGTCGAATCTTCGAGTTATATTGCTCTACGGCCTGCGCACGGGGCACCAGATGCTAGAGCTGCCCATGTTTCTTGTGGGAATATTGGACGGGCTTGAATGTTGAATAATTAAGTCCTTGATTATACCAAAATGAAAATGTGACAACGGTATTTAGAGCGTTCTTCCCGCATGCGTTCGATCAGTCGTAGAAACCCGTTCATTTGAACTTGATCAACCCAGGACTCAAAGGTTGCTGCGGCGCTATTTCATATACACATGGGATTGAAGACGTCGCCCTATGCGGGCTCGCCTCATGGATGCCACATGCACTCCATCGGGACCGAACAGCGATCGTAATACGTCAGAAGTTCGGCCAGCTCACGCGACCAATGGTGGCTGACCAGATGGGTGCACCTTCTTCGAGGCCAATTGGACTTTAGACTGTACGGCTGAAGAACGACCAACTGCTTAGTCGAACTTGAGGGACTAGGAGCACCACCAAGTCAGCGCCTAAGAGCTACCAGCCCATCGTGTGAGCGGAGAGACCACCATATCCCGGTATCATGGTGGCTTACATGCTTGCAATCCACACCGAGTCTCATCACCGGAACGCCACTAGACTCAGCCTGCATACTCATCCGGCGATTTTGACATTTTTCTATCAACATGCGAGTTTCTCCACCCACATCAACTGCTTCGCCTCGGGTCTCGTATGTCGCCCACGACATTTTTCATTTATCCTCAAGGCCTAGTTCGAGATCTTTTCATGTTGTGTAACTTAGGAATCATGATTTGAGTAATCACCTGCAGTCGAGGCCAAGCTCTGACCGACTTTCTGCGGTAGTGGCAATGATGCAGTAAGACTCGAGCAAGACGGAGTTACATGATGCATATGCAAGATTATTATTCTCACAGCAAAGGCTCAAGCCCGCATTTAAGTGCAGTTTCCGACCGGATGTTAACCTTAGGCTTAGTATAAAATAATATTAGTAACTACTATAAGGTATCTTAAACTAAGTAGTTTTAATTTATTTAATATTATATTTTTAAAAAAGTAATAAATATATTAATTAAATTAAATAGAATTTTTAATATTAATATAATATATATAAATAATATTATAAATTTATTTATATTATTATTAAGTAAAGTTTTAAATATATTATACTTTTCACTTAATTAATTAATTGGTGCCACGACAGGAACTATGTATCGATGGAGAGGTGGTGCATGAAAAAGACGGGGTCCTCGGCACACGGCTTGCGGCACGTGCGGGCACCAAAAAAAGAGCAAAAGAAAACATGCAACAGTCGGGATTCGCTGGTCGTCACCGACCCAACTACTAATCGACCTCTCACAAGCTTAATTACAGGAGAGCGAACGGGATCCGATATTTTCTTGTGGATATGGTCGCATGTGCCGAGTCGTGTTGTTGTGACAATCAAGTAGGTAGATAATGCGAACCGGATCGCATTCTATGGGCGACACGTCGCCCCCTCCCCCAAGCCTCCATTGCGACACCTGGGCAGGATATACTATGTCCAGTTACACTTAATGGCGCAACTACCCCGACAGCGATCGTGAGGCTTTTGTGGAAGCCATATCGTCTCTGGCCAAGAAGCCCTCGGCCGGCAAACATTTCGCGCCGTCTACCTAGGTAAGAGCAGATGGGAAGAGCTCACCAAGACCCACCATCTTAGCACACATCGCACATGGAAAGGGGATTCTCCGAGTCCTGCCCTGGCTTCCTGACTTCTTCTCGACCTTTGAGGCCCTAATGCCTGGCGCCATGAATGAGGTTTCGACAGTCCCCTGCCGAGGTGAGATGAGACCCTTGACGCGGGAAAACTCAACGAAAGACAGCATCTTCACCCCAGAATACTTCGGCTCGCGAACCACTGCTGTCAGAAGTGAATACGACAGGTTCTGTGTGACCGACGGGAAATTTGCGACCCAGCTCTGCAATATCGGGCCGCGAGACGAGAATAATACAATGCACTGGCTGTCGCGGGGCGCCAACGAGATCATATCGGCTGAGATCACCACGGATTACACCACGCAGTTCGCAGTGTTTGACGAAATCCGCCGGTTTGCTTGCTGTCTCGAGACCGGATACACAAGTTTCCGTCGTTCCAGCAGCATACTGTCTTTGGAATGGTTCGCTGACGTCTTGAGCCGAAAGATCCCACGCCTCCGGCCACAACGTCACTGGCGCAGTCATGCGAGGTATCTACTGAAGCAAGGGACGTAGCAAACACCGGATGTGGAAGGTCTGAAGATGAATGGGTGAGGTATATGTCAACAATGATTCATAGAAAAGATTGCGCATAATGACATCAGACAAAAATAATAAAGTGATCCGCATGCAGATGAGCGACAATATGAAGAAGCTAACACCAAGAAGATAACAATTTACACAGCCATATTTGATACTGGTACTGATCTGAACAGTTCTTGATCATGTGAGATTAAGAGAAAGGCTGAGCCAATGCTAACGCGAGCATTTGGGAGATCATGAGCTACTAGTGGAGATTCCATAAAATCATAATTGACCACCTCGAATTTCACTACCCAGTAGTATTCAAGAACGGGCAAATCCCGAGTTAAAGCCAAGATTGTGGCGATAGGGAAGGTTGTGAGGGTAGGTCTCGAGGCGAAGTGCTGCTGAGAACCAAGCATTCAGGGAACCATGTGTCCAAATGTTTGGGGGCTACTTTCCAAGGAACAATTTAAGTCCTCTTTTAAGAAAAGCATACATAGTCTTTTAGCAATGAGTCCTATGTTAAGGACGCTTCCAGCTTATTAAGGGAAGACGGAAAGGCATGCTCCTAAACAGATCCACTCCGATAGTATTTATAGAATGGACAATTGTTTAGCAGGCCATGCCAATTGATAATGCTTGCAAATAAGCGACGGCTCGCATTTTATTCTCACGATCTCGGAGGACCGCCAAAGGCTTGAGGCTCGGTTTCATATTGAACCCTTCAAGTTGAGAGCAATGCTTGTGGTCTATCTTGGATATCTGTCTTGGATGTGCTTGGTTGGTTTGAAACAAAAGTAATATAGCCTATTTAGGCTGCAAACTTCCTAGATTTCATGCAAAAGAGCTCTTCTCCCACATCAGGAGTCATCCGCACGAGAGTCTCGACTCTCCATGGGTTTTATTCATGTCAATGTGATCAAGCCTCAAGCCATGCTGTGAGTGTGTCCAACTGGCGTACAGAGGCCAGTCCAAGTTAAAGGCTCGGCAATAGTGGGCCCTCCATTCAGGTTTATGGACAGGGCTGCTTTGCACGGCTAGCGGTTCCTACCAGCAGTATTCGTTTTTTGAAGTGTAAAAGAGAGGGCGCCATTTGTGTCTTCGGAAGTATACGGAATAGAAGCGAAATCAATAAAAGAGAGGGTGATACACCGCCTCCCAATTTGCTGTGGAAACCAAGACACTTTCTGTCCTGTTACCCCGTTCTTCATCTAAACATGTGCATATGCTGACGTGTATTACCAGGGTCTATCTGGTTTTCGGTGGGTGACAGTAATTGCCTTTGCCCCATAACCTGCACAGGTGAATCCGAGACCCAAACGCAATGCTTGGAAGAGCCCGCAGAAGTATGGGTGATCCCCAGCATGATATTTCCAATGTAGGCAGCTCATCCTGTCCCACAGGTTTACCTCCTGTGGTGGGCGCACATAAAAACATCTGCCAGGCTGCGAATATTGGGGTCAAGTATGTGCAAATAGCATTAACGATGTCCTCCCAGGGCTCTCAGGGAGACAGCATCTTAGCTCTCCAATAAGCGACAATAAGCCCAGTCTTTATAGGAGCGACTGTAGGAATACTTTATAAAATAAAACTATGCTTAGTTTATAATTAATTACATTACTCTCTAGGCCGCCTAAAATTAAATAATTAGTTAAGTAATTAATTATTAATACTAACTTTTAAATAATACTAATAAATATTTTAATAAACTTAACTTTATCTTTTATAATATTATTATATTAAATTATAAAAAAAGATTAAATAATATATATATTAAATTCTTTAATAATAATTAATTATAATAATATTTATTTATTATAATATTAATTAATAAACTTAAAATATTTTATTATTTATAATATAAACTTAAAAGTACGAAACTTAACTTATAAAGTATATAAATTAAACTATTTTAAAGTATAATATAATAAATAAATATAGTAAGAAATTAATATTATATTAAGTCTCTTAAATTAAAGCACTAGGTAGGGTAGACATTTTATCCTATGCCTATAACATAATAGCTTTAAAAATATTACATGTAAAGACTCCTACTAACTCCTATACTAGGCCTTCCATTAAAGTCTTTAGCCTACCGCCAGTACCATACTAGTAGTCCACACAGCAGATTCTATTTAAGTGGATCAGCCTTACCGCACTAGTTCACAGTCCGGCTCTCATCGAAATTGCAAAAAATACAATCAGTCCAAACAGGTCTTCACTCTTATATGTGCAGGGACTATTGGCAATTTTTTGAAACCTCCTTTCTAACCCTTTCTATATACACAACAACCCAGAATCTAGAGGAAGTCTGTCCCAAACTTCAACCTCGACCTATCTTTGAACCACACAAGCTTTCCTCAAAACCGGCCATTACTACCAAAAGAACGGGCTCATCATCAACATCATCACCACCACCAAGCTCACTTAAATACAAACCACCCACTCCCTCAAGATGTACATCCCAAACGACCCAACCCGGTACACAAATTCCAGCCCGGGACCGCGAAACCAATTATTCAACAACCCTGTCACCTGCGACATCATCATAGTGATGACCGTCGCTTCCTTTGGCATATTGCTGCTGAGCCTCTTGCGATGGCTCCAATCGTGCATCCCCCCTGACGATGACGATGATTACTTCCAAAATCAGCAGGCGGGAGATAAACTTGAAGAGGAAGCACTGCCTCTGCGTCCTACTCCCACGGCGGATGGCGAGCCGCTTGACAACGGGCCCAGCGGAGAGTACAAGACGTTTTATTTCGGTGACGGGAAGTGGTATAAGGCTGACGGGTATGTTTCAATTACCCCCACGTATGACTGAGCATCCTCGCTGCTTTGAAGAGACGAACACTAACTGGAGTGTAGAGTAGAGATGAGCCATGATGACTGGATCGAGGTCGTTCTCGGCCCCCTCGACTGAGACCTTGACCACTCGAAGCATTAGACGATATTCGACTTCGGGTTGCTCATACACAGACAGTCACGCATGCCACTTGACGAGGTCTTTAGCCACGGGGCTGCTCTAGCTGTTACGGTGTCGGAGGAAACGAAAGGAGTTGTTTTTGAATATCGAAATCAGAAATGACACCTTCATCGCACAAGTTTATGTCGGATCGTGACGAGATCTGCACCCTGTGCGACTAAAATGCCACGAGCACGAAGTAGCTTGGATACTTGGGGTAGTAATGCCCTCCGGCAAGGTAGTGCCAGGTTACTGCGCCCATAATGACGAACTCCTGTGAAATAAATCTAAAATTTTCAATACACATTCCCCTGATAAGTCTTTCTTTTTCTGTGCCTTTTTATCACTGAATTTCTACTCGGTTGCGACAGTTTAGCAACTTGAAGTTTCCCTATAGATGAATTGCCGCCCGCCTCGGCACCTGCACAGTGGGAGGAGCTACGGCACGCTCGAGTGATAATAGGCGAGAACAATAATTCCGGTATCTGCACTTAAACTTGAACTTAAATTACGAAAACAATCCCCATCGACCAACGCAACGATAGGTTCTGCGTCGACGGTTGCTCCTCTGCTTATCCGAAACCTGGATGACTAATGCCTCGAGCTTGCCACTTGCCTAGACACGCAGGTTGCTACTATACCTGGCATCTTTGGGCAGACTTGATATATTCAATATCATAACCTTTGGTTGGCAATGCGGGGCAAGTAAAAGTCAGTCCTTCGTTCTGGGTTTGATAGCACGAGGAAACAAAAGGTCGTGGAGGCTGCCTTGCTCGGTCTGATGGTATCTTTCTTCCATCGCAGACACTACAAGTACTTGGGGAATGTCTTTCTCGATTGTGGCGAGGGACAGCAGCGAATGTGAAAGGCAACGAGTTACTCAAAGAAGAGGCGGCGACACGTGGGCAGGGTATGCAAATTATGACATAGGTTGTCGCAGGTTAATGCCACAGGCCATTGACGGCACAGCAGGCATCCATGTATTAAAAAGAGGTATCATAAACGCCCAGTTATCTCTCCTTCCCAAGTAGCCAACAACTAACATCACCCTCTATCCGTCGGGAGGAATGCGACGGCGTTGCGAACATGCAGTAGTCCCGTATAAAAGCATGGCCGAGCTGGCGAATTATCCACCAATTGACAACAGGCCCGCACCGAGACATCCCAGTGAGCCAACAGCCACTAGGGTTCTCCAAAGGGCCCGGCGCCACCTGGATTGGGGTTCTAGGCCGACTGGTCGACGATCTTCTCCGTGACCTTTCCGTCGGCCTGGATAACGACCTTCTCCACTTGTTGGGAAGCCTTGACGGGCTTGGCCTGGTTGTACACCCACTCGAGTTGTTCGAGGGTTCTGCCTTGGGACTCGACGCTGAGGGAGGGATGTATGTTAGCAACAGTGCGACAAGAAGACTGCGGGCATGTGTGAGTAGACTTACCAGAAAAAGTACCAGAGGACGGCCTCAATGACATCCCAGCCCACAAAGATGAAGATGTACCTATAGCCAATGTTCTTGAGGGCGATGGGGCCACAGAACTGGTTGATGAATCCAAAGATGCCGACAATGATGCCCGAAGCGGCGAGACCCTTGGCGCGGCGGTTTGTGTCGAGGGCTTCGGCAGGGATGATACCTTGGAGGGGAGTGTAGGTGAAGGAGTAGACGATGTTGAAGAGGAAGTAGAACGCAAGGGCGGTTTGTCCATATGAGAGGTAGGCCGGGTTAAGATTCCCGTCGGGATCTGTGTGCTGGTTGACGACGGCCGAGGTGCCACCGTTGATGGCCAGCAGACATGCACATGCGAAGGTGCCGAAGATCAGGACCGGACGGCGCATCATCCTGTCACTTTGCGACACACCCACACCGGCGCCGATGGCCGAGAGGCAGCTGTTCAGAACGTTGAAGCCGAGCTGCTGGGCCACAGAGGTGATGCCGATTCCGTTGAAGATGGTGGGGTTGAAGTAGCCGAGACCGTTTCCGGAGAACTGGCCGAAGGTGCTCATCATGACGACCTGCAGGAACCTCCAGCGACCGTTGTGCTCGTTGACCAGCGAGCGGTAGTCCCACCAGACCTTGTCGGCGCCATCCTGGCGGATACCCTCCTTCATCTCCTCGATCTCAAGCATGACCAGACGGGACGACGGGTCGCCATTGCCGTGGTACTTGACCAAGAAGGCGGTGGCCTCCTCCTCCTTGCCGTTGGCAATCTGGAAACGTGGTGACTCTGGCAAGAAGAAGACGGAGCAAAGCACGACGATACAGGCGAAGCACTGGAGGAGAAGTGGGATCCTCCACGACCAGTTGTTGTCAATGTAGCTGGTGCCGAAGGTGACAAAAGCGGCGGGGATGGAGCCGCCGAACCAACCACAGTTGTAGAAGCCTGGATGGGGACACGATCAGTCATGGCTTTTCTTTTTGACACGACAGCTTGGGACACAGAGGAGAGGTTGATGCTCACCGACACATCGACCGCGCCAATGGGCTGGGGCAATTTCGATGGCATAAGCCGGGGCGCCGACCGTCATGGTTGCGATGCCAGCACCAAGAATGAAACGACCGACGGTGATCTGAGCAACGGTGTTGGAGGTGCAAGCAACAATTGCGCCGACGATAATGACAACGGCTCCACTGGCCATGGCAATGCGGCGGCCAAAACGGTCAGAGATACCAGCAGCCACAGGAGCAGTAACGATTGAGCCCCTGAGGTTGTCGGTCAGCATCCTTCCACCAAACTGTCGACAGAGGCCGGGTAGGGCCGCGGGCTGGGGACATACACGCTGTAGAGCGAGGTGATGACAGCCACCTCGACTCCGTCCAGACCAGTGCCGAAGGTCTTCTGGAAATGATCCATGGCGTAAATGGAACCCATCAGGGAGCCATCATAACCGTTGGCACATGCACAGCAGAAAGCGATGAAGACGGAGTAGTATAGTATCAGGGAGTTCTTGCTCCACCTCTCGATCTTGGACTCCTGGACGGCGGCGAAGAACTCGGCCTGTAGGAGAGAAGGGGTGTTAGATGACGCGGTCGAAGGTGGATGAACAAGGACAGCATGTCAAGCAAGCCCACGAAGTTCGTGACAGAGTGCATGTGAGACGTACATTGTGCACTTCCTTGGCCTTTGCGCCGTGAGCCTCGTCCAGGGTCTTGCCAGTGCCCTCGGCGACGACAGGGTACTGGATGTCGTGGGAGGGCCGGTTTTCGGCGGCGGAGATGTCGTGGTGCACCTCGGTGCCTTCCTTCTCAGCCGACATGATGATCTCGGGTTCGACTTGTCAGTCGGTCGCACTTTGGGTAGGCAACGAGACAAGGAAGAGGAGGGGTATGGGCTGGGTGGCTCGTCAAGAGAGAGTATCGTGGAGCATATTTTCTGGCATGGGAAAGTGGAGGATTATATGAACGTCGGGGTATAGTGTAGCAGCGTCTACCTAGGTACCCCAACAACCAAATGATACCCTAGGCTTACCCCAGATTCTGGTTCGAGCAGCAGTGGTGGAGGGCGGAACGACGGGCCTGGTTCCCATGCGGTTGGTGGGAAATGAGAACGCGGTCGACAATGGTCATGCAACCTTCGGGCAGGAGAAGAACAGGGGTTCGGACGCATATGCACGAGCGATTAGGGACATGGGTCTTGGCTGCAGCAGAGGGGACCCCAGGCCGAAGGAAGGCCGGGCAAGACTGGCAAAGGCCATGGGCCGACGGGGGACGGGGCAGTGGACCGCTGGCGTGATGGCCACTGCGTTACTCAGACCCAACAGCTGATCTCTTTTCTTTCTTTCTTTTCTTTTTTTTTTTTTTTTGCTGCCCTTCTCCGGTGGAGCGAGAGGCAGTCGTGAGCACCGATTGTGGCCCCCAAGGAGCCGCGCCACACCGTACAATAAGTACAACCGATTTGCGAGGTGTGGATTTGCCGAGGCGGATGCAGGTTGCAGAAGTGTCGAATGTGGCCGTGATGGCCGAGGTGAAATGGCGGCTCAAACACGCCAGCATGGATCTAATTTCTCGCCATCTCGTGGCTAGGTAGGAGAGGCTCCGCGAGGGCCACAAGTGGATTGGGTATGGAGCCATATAGCACTCTAGTCTTGTCAACTTGAGTGCGTACCGCGTGGTACAGTGGCGCCCAGTGTGGGGTGCCTGGGCTGGGCGAACAGTTCCGGGTCCTGCATCACTGGGTGCCCTGGCAAGCTGGACGGCCCCAGGCTGCCAGGGTATCTATGTAAGGCAGGGAGTTGCAGGCTGGTTGTCAAGGTTGTGTGACTTTGTGTCTGCCTGTGCGACTGTCTGCCCCTGGCTAGGCGAGGAGTGGCTAGGCGAGGAGTGGCCAGGCATTGGCCAGGCAGGCCACACTGATGTGCGGGATGGCCTGCCATGTCAGCCACGGTCTGCCAGTAGACAACCAGAAAACCAGACGACCAGCCCGTTGGGATCCGGCTGGCTGGCTGGGCTTCTGGGCGGGCGGGTTGGCGGGTTGGCTGACATTTGGATCCGGCGGGCGGCCACGCCACATCGATGCCATGTGCCAACGGCGTGCCAACATCAGAGCGGTGATGCCGTTTCCGGGGCCCCAGAGGCTGGAGATGCATGGATGGTCAAGGGCTAATAAGAAGCTTAGCCTGTCGAGTGCATGAGGAGGTCTCGTGCTGGGCGGCCACAAACGACAAAAGAAGAAGACATGTCGAGCGTGACGGGCGAGCTGGAGCTGGAGCCGGGGAGCCGGCCCTGCTGGGACTTCAGGAGGACATCTGCACGACCTGCCGCGGGGCCCCACGGCCAGTCGGGAGGGCTGGAGGACAAGACAGGCGCGCTTGTGTGCTTGGCAGGCCGTCTCGCCGTCACGACACTGCGACAAATGGCCTCCCAGAGACGAGGTTACCAGACAGCCGGGGCGGGCTCAGGCAGGGCTCGTCCTCAGCGCCACACGAGGTCCTAGACGGGCCTGGCGAGGCGCCGGGATGTCGGGTACGGTCTGAGCGTCGGTTGTGCAAGCCCCTGTCGTCGGTCAAGGGATGAGCAATGGAAATGAACAACGAGATGGCAAATGTCGAGGTGATGGCCCAGAGGGATTGCTAGGACGAGGTTTGAGCTTGAGCTTGGGGTTGGGGTTGCACACCATCTGGCAGTGGAAGGAACGTTGGAAGGGCCAGATAGAAAGTACTGCTGCCCCACAGGATTACGAGCAGGCAGGCAGGTCACACTGACAGACTTTCAGACTGTCAGACTGTCAGTCATGTCAAGCATTGGGTAGGTAGCATCATTGATGATGATCTACAGTATGGATAGATCCTGACTCTGAATCTGAGATTTGAAGGATAACATCGTAGATGCATACTACTACACTACACACTGCAGTCCGGTACACCTGGGCAGGTGCACCTGGGCAGTACACCACCAGATAGCTGCCCATGGGGAAGAGGTTTGATCCGAGGCGGGGAAGGAGTGGGGATGGGGGTGGAGAACCGACAATGGAGAATGGAGCCGGGTACAACGGGTACTCCGTACAACCTCACTGCTCCCTCCCAAGTCAGTCCTAACTCGACCTGGCCTACCACCGCTGCCAGGCCGCCTCGCCTAGCCGCCCCTGCCCTCGACCCCTGCCCTGGACCCATCGGTCCCTGCCGAAAAGGGCGACACTTGCACTAACGGGACACACCCTCCGGCGATCCAGGCCTTTACTCCTTCCTCATGTCCTGTTTTTTTTCACTCAAGTGCTGCTGCATCAGTACATACAGACCGTGTCCTACAAGTCTCGTGTCGGACCACCCCCCACCCGCCCACTGCCCGCGTCCGCTCGCTGGATACCACAGTGCTGTGTATTCGTACTTACGAGGTAGGCTAAGTAAGTATCAAATGATCACCAGAGGATCCGAGTCCAGCATCACCACCCAGTGCTGCCAGTCTGCAGACTTTGCAGTCGCTGTTGGCCCTTGAGCAGCAGTACTACGTAGTAGCCTGGAGACTATCGAATCGAGGTCAAAGTCAGACACATCCTCGCACCACTGGCATATCAGGATGAAGCCCTCGCCGAATCAAATCGACCCCTGTCAAATAAGCGCCAGCCTGCAGCCCGCCTGGCCTGTACAAACATGTCCCGACGCCACCAAGCATTGGCAACAAACAACCTTGGGACGCCTGTTCGTGGTCTTCATCAAATCTGGTACAGGCAGGCGGGTGGCTTACTCGGATTCCGGTCACTGACAAGCGCGCCGTAGTTGACAACCAAACTTTGGCAATGTGGAGTTGCATCTGCACTGCACTTGCATGCCATAGCCCTATTCATAGACTGGCTCTGCCCTAAATCACCCCTACCGGGGAACCCTAAAGAAAAGAAATCCACGAGGCGAAGTCTAGGCAAGATCTAGGTCCATGTACACTATCCCGTACATGCATCACGATCACGACCCACATCACTGCCCTCAGTACGGTACCTAGGTAGGCAAGCAAGTAGCGGTAGCAGCAGGCATGTGCCGAACATCCAGAGAAGCCTTCTCGAATCTCAACCTCTTCCACCACGTTTGCCTCGCTGTCGCTTCCTCCGGCCCGATCGGACCTCTGGACTGGCTCGGCGTTGGGCCCAACAACTCCGAGTCCCTGGTAAGCCACGCTCTGCGGTGCTAGTCCAGACAGTCCTGGCAGGCTCACAAACCCACTAGGTAGGACCAATGGCCGAAATGTTGACTATGTTCGGGTTGCAACTCGACGACTATCATGTTGGCCGGTCTCGGGATGCTACTCCGTACTCACCGCATCCGCCGCCCTGGCCTATCCTTGCCCATCCCGGGCTTTGACATTGGTCCTTCTGACAAACATTCCCCCGGCTTCAGAGTCGTCCTCCTGTTCTCTCCCTCGTAGCGGGGTTTGTGACCCCTTTCTTGTGTATGTTGAGGCAACGGGTGCGAGCCCTGCTCCGCCGTGCTGTACACTGCTTCACACCACCATCATGCTCCAGCTGAGTCTGCCGGCCTAGGCACGCGCGGTCGAGCCCCTGCTGATGCCGGGACTCCGTACTACAGCACCGGAGGATCACGCCATTCCCCTTCCGGAACGAGGAGGATCCTGCGTCGCGGCTACACGGCGAGGACTCACCGTGAGGCATTCAAGCCTGTCCACGCCAGACGCCCGCCCAGCGACGCAGGAAGGGAAGCAAGCCCGTTCGTTGTTGTCTCTGACTCCTTTCCCCTTTCCCATCAGCAAACAGCGGAACCCGCACTGGGTTTCGTTCGAGAGCCGCTCGAGCGGCGCCCCCCGACTGACGGTTCGCCCCATCATGCCCTTCACGGTCGAGAGGGCATCCCTAACAGATGCAAGGGCCATCGCCGACATCTACCAGGACAGACAGGTCACGGCCTGGAACCGCCTCACTCATGGCACCGTCGACCCGGCCGTCTTCAACGCCGGCCTGGAGGATATGTTTGCCGAGAGCCTCCGGGACCCGGACGAGGTCCTCTTTGTCGCCCGCGACGACGACCACCCGGGCCGCAAGGCCGTCAGCTATGTCAACCTCGTCATTAAGCCCGCCCTGGCTTCCATGACGGAAGAGGTAAGGACTGTGAACAGGTGACAAGCCAGGCAGCCAACAGGGGAGACGAATACACCTGCCCCCTCGATGGAAAGGACAGTAAGCTGAGTATGACTTGGGACGAGCAGGAGATCGAGCAGCAAAATGCAAAATACCACGCCCGCCTCATGCCAGGCCTCAACGGACCCCTGCTCATCGAGATGTGGGAGAAGTTGGACCGCATGCGGGAGCAGGTGCTCGCAGGCAGGGGACGACACTGGTTCCTCGACAACGTGGGCACCCTGCAGGCATACCAGGGGAAGGGCATCGCGACACTGTTGCTCCGCAGGGTGCTCGCCGAGTACCCGGACCGCGACGGCCTGCCCATCTTCCTGGACACGTCCGGCGACGAGGACGGAAGGGCGTGGCCGCTTTACGAACGGTTGGGTTTCGCCAAGGTGGGAGGGTTCGAGATTGACATGACTCCCCATGGGTGCGAGGGCGTACATCACCATCTTGGGATGTTGAGGGAGCCGCAGAGTGCGAAGTAGGATCGGCGAGGGACATGCTCCAAAGTTCAAGTTTGATCAGATCAATTTCATCTTCCAAGTTACTAGTATAGCCGATAGACTCCATGACAGACGATGAGACCAGCACATCCCCCAAGGTCCTTCCAGCCTTTATACCGAGTTTTAATATCCAAGCCCTGGACCCCATCTCAGCGCAGCCTCCCTCCCGTCTCACAGTACACCACCCCGCCTGCCTTCTCCTCAACCGTCCCATACCCATCGGCCGCCCACTCCCTCAGCACGTCCAAAAACACCTCCTCCCTGGCAGTCGGGGCAGCGGCAGCGCTGAGGTGGATGGTCAGCCGCCGCAGCTCCGGCAGGCCCTCCCGCACGCACCGCATCAGCGGCGTCCACACACCCCACGACACGGGCACGCCGAGCTGGCTGTCCGGGAGCCGCGGGTGCTTTGGTTCGATGCGCTGCAGGAACAGGTGGTCCTTGAAGTGGGTGAAGGCGAGCTGCAGGCTGCGGACTTTGGTTCGGTGCGGGTGCGGGTGCTGCACGAAGAAGCGGTAGGCGTCCTCTGAGGCGGTGAAGATCAGGGTCGTCGACTCGAAGAAGGATTCTATTGCTTCGGCGTATCTGGGGGTTGAGGTTAGCAGAGACACACAAAGCAGATCATGTGGACCATCTATCCACCCAGCTTGGGGTGAGATAATTTCGAGTGCCAGCATGTGACTTACACCCTCCGGCTGGTCAGGAACACGGGCAGGTAGCCGCTGGAGCCCAGGCCCCTCTCGTCCGCACACGTCCCGTCCGACCTCGCCCGCCATGAGAGCATCGCCTCGGCCTGGCACTTCCAGTGCGGCGAGCCCCATCTCATGCGCAGCCCCCAAGCATGCCAGAACCACCGCGGCGGCTGATTCCTCCCCCTCCAGCCGGGCCACGGGTCCGTCCTCATCGGGTCGTCCTCCTCCGCCTCCCTCGTCTCCTGCACGGACAGCGAGCATGAAGAGGACGGGGTTGAGGTGGTGGTGGTAGTGCAGCAGGGAGTGTGTGTCAACCGGGCCCCGTCACAGGCGGCGTGGATGTGCAGCGCCAGGGTCGGGTTGGACAGCCTCCAGACGTGGGTGTAGACCATGCGGCGGACCTCCGGCGGTAGGCTGTTGAAGAAGGCGGATTGGATCTGGGGGTCGGCTTCTTGGAGCTGGACTGCGTGGCATGTTGAGTCCATCATTGCACGTGATGAAGACGGCTTCGCGTCTTGAGCGTCTGATGCGGGTGGCGGGGCTGGCGGTGAGTGGTCTGGGGCAAACGGGTGTGCAATCCTTGTATCATCATCACCGTCGCCGCCAACGCCGTCCTCGTCGTGATCCGGATCGTCGTGCGTATCCGAGCCCATACATGATGCCTTGCGCAGACGCGCGCGGACGTGGTGCAACCGCTCAAAGCTCCGAGGGGGGTTGGCGATCCTCGCCATGGCAAAGGCACGCAGTTTAAGTGTTTGACTGATGAAGAGACGTGCTGAACAGTTTGTTGAGGTTGAATGGGTCTTGGTTGATAAGGTCTATGAGAAGAAGTGCGGATCTTGGATGAGGTGAAACATCAATGCATGTCCAGGCCAGGGCCGTGCCGGGCCGGCCTAGATGCCAGTATGCTTTGATGGGCTGGCTAGATCCTAGGCCCCAATTTAGGTGCCTGTTCTCCCCTGAAACACTGTGACACCAGCTGACTCTACAGCTACCAAGGTGGGTAGATGGGAGGGTTAGGTGTAGAGGTGAATAATAGAACTCTAGCTTAAATGGTGTTGTTTCTCATCCCCTGCATATAAAATGTATATAGTACCTTTATTTAATATTAAAAGCTTAAAACCTAGGTTTAAAAGGAAGATATATAGTATTAATAATAGTATAAAAAGAATATAAAATTATTAAATAATTTTATTTTTAATTTTTATATATATAAAATATATATAATATTTTTATATAATAATAAATATTTAAAATTTAATATTTTAAAATATAATATTAATAATAATAATAAAATATATAATATATAAATATATAATTAAGTTTTATATTATATAAATAAAGTTAAAAGTATTATTTTTAATAATATTATATTAAAATTATTAATATAAATAATTTAAAAGTTAATCTATTATAATAAGTTAATAAAATAGTTATATAATATAATTAAAATAGTTTTTAATATAACTTTTAAAAAAATTTATAATATAAAATTTAATAATTTAGTTTTTTATTAATATATTTAATAATTATTTAAATTTATTTTATTAAATAAATTAAATATATTATAATTTTTATTTTAAATATATAATTATTAATAAAATAATAATATTATAATAATAAACTTATTTAAGAAAGTCTTTTATATAAATATTATAAAAATTAAAACTTTTTAAAAGTTAAATAAATTTAATTTATTATATATTAAATAAATATTATATAAAAAAGTAAAAGTTTAAATATTTAAAATTAAATTTTCTTTTAAATATATTATTTTATTATTAAAGATTTATTTATTTTATATAATATATAGGAATTTAATAAAAGGAACTTTATAAAGAAAGTTAATAACTTTATATATAAATAATTTAAAAGTATATTAAATAATTATTAACTTTATATTTAAAATATAAATTAATAATTAATTTAAAAGTTAAAAATAATAAATAAATAAATAATTAAATTAAAAATATTATTAATTAAACTTATATATATAAAAGTAAAAGTAATATTAAAAATAATTAATTATTAATAACTAATTATTAAAAGGTTACTTAAAAGTTTATATAAAAATACCTTTTATTAATTAAGTTTAATAAAGGACTATTATAATTATTATATTAATAACTTATTTTATAATAAAAATAAAATATTTTAAATATAAATTAAATTTAAAACTTTTAGTTATTAAAATAAATATAAAAGAAATTATTCTATTATATTATTATTAAATAGAAATATAAAAAAATTTATTAATATTATTAAAAATATTTAATTTATATATTTATTATAACTTTATACTTTTATAAAGTTAAAATAAATATATTATTTTATTTATAAAACTTTTAATTATTATAATATAAATACTTTAAAATTATTAATTTAAATATTTAAATATTTTATTTAAAATATATATATAGATTTATATTTTATTATTATTACTTTAATAAATTTAAAATTAAATTAAATTAAATATTTTATAATATATTAATAAATTTAATTTAATTTAAAAATTAATAAAATTAAAATATATTAAAAGAATTATAAAAATAAATTTATTTTAAAATAAATTATACTTTTATTATTAAAGAAAAATATAAATATTATAATAAAAAATAACTTAAAAATAAATTTAAAAGAATTTAAAATATTAAAGAAATATAATTCTTTAAATTATTTAAAAATAAAATAACTTTTATAATATAACTTTTAATATTAATATTTATTATAAAACTAATAATATAAATTTAAATTTAAAAAGTTTAAAGTTAAATAAAGTAGTTTAAAAGATTTTATTTTAATTTAATATTTAATAATTATTTTATTAATTTAACTTTTACTTTTAATAATATTATATATTATATTATAAAAGATTAATTAAAAGTTATAATTTTATAATTATATTAATTTTAATAAATTTTATTTTAATATAAATTAACTATTTTAATTTATTAAATTTAAGTTAAAATGAATTTCTTATAATTTATATATTTTCTAATTTAAAAATTAGTTTATTATAAAATATAAATTTTATAAATAATTTATTAAGTTTATTTTAATAAATATATTAATAAGATTATTATTATTATAAATTTAATAAATTTTATAAATTATTTATTATTTATATAATTAATAAAGTATTATTATATTAATTATTAAATATTATATTTAATTATATTAAGTTTAATAAAATATTTAAATAAAAGAAAAAGTTAGTATAAATAATTGATAAAATAATTAATAATTTTAAATAATTAATAATTTTAAATAATTAATAATTTTATTTTAAAGTAATTAAAATTATATTATTTATATTAAATTTATTTATTATTTTATAAATCTTTAAAGTAAAATACTTTTAATAATATATTTATATTTATAAAAATTAATAAATAATATTACTTTTAAGTTATTACTTTATATTTAATTTTTAATTTTATTAATAAATATAATTATAAAGTTAATTTATAAATTAAGGTTATTATTATTAATAAATAATTTATTAATAAAATTATTAATTTAATAGTTTTAAATTAATAAAATAAAATATAATTTATATTTAAAGTTATTAATTTATTAATTAAAATATTTATTAAACTTTTAATAATTTATTTTATTTAAATTATAAGTTAAAATAATAAATAAAATTAAATATAATTTTAAGTTAATAAATAAAAGTTAAATAAATAATTTATATATTATTTAATATACTTTTATATTTTATTTTACTTTAATATTTATAATTTTAAATTTATTATTTTATTTTTTATTTTATATAAATATTATTTTTATTAATTAAAAATAAAGTATTATTCAAAAAGAAAGAGTTATTGAAAATTAAATATTTTATAATTTTATAATAAAATCTTTATTTTTAATTTTTTAATAAATATTTAAAAGAAAGCTTTAATAATTAAAGTTAAGATATTATTAATTTAAAAGTAATAATTTTAAAGTAATTTTATTATATTAAGTTTAATAATTAAGAAATAAAATTAAATATAAAAACTTTTATATTAAATATATTATATAAAAATAGTATAATTTTATAATTATACTTTTAAAATATTTATAATAAATCTTTTTAATAATTTAATTAAAATAATATATTTAAAAGTTATTTTAAATTATAAATATATTTAAATAATATTTTAAAGTTTAATTTATATAATATTTAAGTAATATTAATATAAATATAATTATAAATAATAAATATTAATTAACTTTTTAAATAATTAAAGATTATATTTAAATAAAGTTTTATTAATATTTTTATATTTTTAAAAACTATATAAAACTTTTTATATAACTTTATTTTTACTTTTAATTTTATATATAAGTTATACTTTAAAAATATAAATATTATTATATTTTTATAATTATATAATTTAAATATAAATATATTATAATTAATTAAATTTATAATTTTTTATTAAATAATTTAAATGGTTTATTAAAAATAAAAATAATTTTATTAGTTTATAATTTTAAAATTAATTTATAATTATTTATTTTATATAAAGAATATATTAATAAATTATATTTTTAATTTATTTTTAAAATTAAAAGAATATTTATATTTATAAAATTAGAATTAAATAATAATTTAAGTAGAAAAAGTTTAAATATAATTAAATTATTATTAAAAGTATTATTAAAGTTAAAATTAAAATTAAAATAATATTTTTAAACTTAAATAAAATAAAATATAATAAGTTTATTAAAGAAACTAAAAGTTATATTATAATTATTAATAGTAAATAGTTTATAAAGTTTTATTAATTTTTTTAAATTATATTTAAATATTACTTTATAATAATAAGAAAGAATTTAATTATATTAAGTTTATTATATATATTTAAAATATTATTAATTTTTTATTTATTAATAATATAAATAATATTTATAATTTTTAAATAATTTTTATTTATTTAAGTATAAATAGTATAAAAGTTAATATTAATTTAAGAATATATTTTAAAATAAATAAACTTAAAATTAAATTATTAAAATTAATAATATTATTTATAAGTTTAAAGTTTATTTAAAAATAGTTTTTAAAAATAAATTTTAAATAATTTTATAAAAGAATATTAAAAGTATAATATAATATTATATAATAATATTTAATTTTATTAATTAATTAATATATTTTAATTAGAATTTATTTATAAATAATATTTAATATTTAAGTTATAATATAAAATTTAAAATATAAAATTTATATTTATATTATATTAAATATAATTTAATAACTTTAAATATATATTAAATTAAATTATATAAAACTTTATATATTTTTATTAATAATAATAATAAAAGTATTTTATTAAAATAATATAATAATATTTATTATATATAATATAAGTAATTTAATTAAATAAAAATATTTATTATAAGTTTATAATTAAAATTATAATTATTTATTAAATTAAATTTAAAATATTTTAATATAAATATATATATTTAATATTAATAATAAAATAAAATTATTTTTAATATAATTATATTTATTATATATTTTATATTTATAAAAGATATTAAAATATTTAATAAAAGAATATTTAATATTAATATAAATATTAAAATATTTAATATATTAATTATTAATTTAATAAAAGAAATTATAAATATTTTTATTTTTATATAATAAAAGTTTTTTTATATTATTATTATTTTATTATATTATTTTATTTATTATATTTAAAATAATTATTAATTTAATTATATTTTAAATATAAAATAAAAGTATTAATATATTAATTATATAAAATATTATAATATTAATAAAATTAATATAAATAATAATTTTAAAAATATATTATATTATTTAATTTAAAATAAATATTTATTTTATTAATATATAATATATTTAATATAAGTAAAATATTATTATAATATAAAGTAAAGTAATTATATTTAATAATAAAATAAATTATAATATTAATATTAAAAGAATATTTTAAAATATTTTATATAAATATTATTCTTTTAATATAAATATTAAAACTAAAATATTTTTATTATAAATTATTATTATAATAAAAAATTAATTAAATAAAGGAATATTTAATTTATTAAATATAAAATATAAATTTAATTAAAGTTATTATTAAATTTAATATTATATTAAATATTTTATATTTAATTTTTAAAGTTAATAAAAATATTATATAATTTATATTTATAAAGTTTTTATTTTTATTTTTATATTATAAAATATATTAATTAAAAATATTATTATTTATTAAAAAGATATTATATAAATTAATATCTTTTATTATATATAAAATATATTTTTAATAAAAATTATTTTATAAAATATACTTTATAAATTTTATAACTTTTATAATTATTATAATTATTATAATTATTAAACTTAATATTTTAATTATTATAAAGTTTTTATTAAAAATTATAAAAGTTATTTTTATTATAAAATTTACTAATATTAATTATAAAATTATTATTATTATATTTTTAATTTATAAAATATTAATTTTTTTATTAAATTTAATTTTATTTATAATAAATATATAATTTATAAATTATTATAATTAATAAGTTTATAATAAATATATAAATTAAATATAAAGCTTTAATTAATATTAAAATTTATAAAATATTATAATAAATTTTATATATTTTAATTATATATAAAATATTATTTTTAATAGTTTAATTATTATAATAATTAAAAGTTTAATAATATATATTTAATTTATTAATTAATAATTATAATATTTTAATTTTTAATTTATTAAAATTCTTTTAATATAAATTAATAAAATTAATATATTTTAATTAATAAAATAGTTTTAATAAATAATATTATTATTAAAATATAATTTTATTTTAAAGTAAATTATTTAAAATAAATTAATTTATTTAATATTCTATAAATAAAATATTTTAATAATACTTTTAATATAAATAAAACTATATAAAACTATATTAATTAAATATTTAAGTTTTTATATATATTAAAATAAAACTTTATTATTAAATATATTATAAATTTAATTAAAGTATATTTTTCTATTATAATAATATTTATTAATATTAATTATTATATTTAATTTAAATAGTTTATTAAAATATTCTATTAATAGTAAAGTATAGTATATTATTAAATTTTATATTTTGGTATTTTAAAATAATTATTTTTAAAAGTTTAAAATTAAAATTAAAAATAATAAAAATAAAATAAAATTTATTAAATAAATTCTTTTTAAAACTTATATTTTTTATTAAACTTATAATATAATTTATTTTTATATTTATTTTTCTTTTTTATTCTTTTTTATTCTTTTTTATTCTTTTATATTTATTATTATTTAATTTTAAATTATTATTTAAGTTATTATTTTTATATTATAATAATTTTTATATTTATTATATATTTTACTTTTATTTTTTTAATTTTTATTTTTACTTTTATTTTTATTTTTATTTCTTTTACTTTTATTTTTAAATTTTTAATAATAATAATTTATTTTAAATTTAAAAATTATATTTTTAATTAAATTATAATAAAATATAATTTTTATTAATTTATAAATTTTAAAGTTTATTATAAAGTTATTTTACTATTTCCTTTATTTTTAAAATAAAAATAATATAAATAAATTTTAATAAATCTTTAATTTAATTTATATATCTTTATTATAAAAGTTATTTTTAATTTTAAAAGTTTTTATTAATAATATTAAATATCTTATTATTTTATTTTTTAAAGTTTTTATAAATTTTATATATTTTTAATATTAAAATATTTATATATTTATAAATATTAAGTAATATATATATTAAAATATATTATAATAATTCTTTTATTATTTAATAAGTTTAATTTTTAATATTTAAAATTAATAATATATATATAAATTATTTAAAATATATATTATTATAAATTTTATTAAATAATAATATTAAATAAATTAAAAATTTAATAAATTTTAAGGAGAAATTATATTAAATAATTATTAAAATAATAAAATAATAGTTATAAATAATAAATATATTAATAAAATTATATTATTTTAAAAATAAAAATAAATAATTTTAAAATATAAAAATTATTTATTATAATATTAATTTAAAAATATATATAAATATATTAAAAACTTATTAATTAAAATAAATAAAAAGTTTAATATTTAATAAAATTAATTTATAAAATTTAAAATATTATTAAAATATAAAAAAACTTAATAATAAAATAAATAAAAAGTTTAAAGTTTTAATAAAGTTTTTATTTATATAAAGTATAATAAATACTTATAAAAGTAATTTTAAATAATAATATTATATTTAATAATTTTAAAATATTATATAAGAGTTAATTTTTAAGTTATTTAACTTTAATTAATTAATTAATTAAAATAATTATATTAAATAAATTATATAAATTAAATAAAATTTAATAATTTTAATATAATTACTTTTAAACTATTTAATTATAAAGTAATAAACTATTTTATTAATTTAACTATTTATAATTACCTTTATAACTACTAATTAATATTAATTAAACTTATATATATAAAAATAAAAAGTAATATTAAAAGTAATTAATTATTAATAATTAACTATTAAAGGGTTATTTAAAGAGTTTATATGTAAATACCTTCCTATTAATTAAGCTTAATATAGAATTATTATAATTACTATAAATATAATATAATTAAAATTATAAAATTATTAAATATTAATAAATATTTTACTTTAAGTTTTATTTTATTTTATTTTATTTTTATTAATTATTTTAAAACTTTAAATATTTAAAATAAAATTATATTTTTAAATTAATTTATATATTTATAAAATATTAAAACTTTTAAATAATATAATATAAATAATAATTTATAAATAATAACTTTTAAATAATTTAATTAAATTACTTTTTAAAAATACTTTTTAATAATATAATTAAAAATAAAAACTTAATATTAAAAAGTTAAATAAAACTTTTAAATTTAAAAACTTAAATTTATATTTAATTAAATTAATTATTATAATAAAAGTAATAATTATTATTTATTAATTAATTAAATTATTTAATAAAAAAGTATAATAATTAATTTATTTAATTAATTATTTCTAATAATATATAAATATTATATTATTACTTAAATTATATATAAATATTTAAATTAATAAAATAATACTTTATATTACTTTAAATTAAGATCTATAATTTATAAGTACCTAAGCCGTTATAATAGTGACCCTATTCTATGCCCACTAACGCACGGTATGGTAGGTATAGGATGGTGAGGGCTGACTTTAGGATAACTTGTCTGTCCCCCAATGGAGGCTGCCTGAAGTTGGTCCATCGCCGAAGACTGCAACTCGTGACATCAAAGCACGAAATGTGGGAATCACTCAGCTCATAACGCGGCCATGCAAGCATGACATCAGGTTTGCTTAGGCAGTGGACAGGTACTCGTGGGCTGGGCGCCGAATAGGCTCCCAAATAAACTCGGCGTGGTTTGCCGATCCATTGCCTACTGGTGTTCATCAATGAGCAATTTCTAATTGGTTTTTATCAGTCATGCCTTTGCAGCATACTTCATATTCCTTCCATAACCACGACGCGGCTATGGGGCCTGGGTTTTCTCGTTGCGGCAAGGTAAACGGATCCTTCCCACCATTAATCTAACAGCGGCCTTTCTCCTCCAACCCGGAGCAAACGCGGCCGCCCCTGACACACCCCTTTCCATGTCGTCCCTTCCTGGTGTCCAAAGATGACAGCCCACGTCAGCACCGAATGCGCCTAGCTCTGCCTCTCGGCCGTCTGTTCCCTCGGCTTCACGTCAACATCGCATCGGAGGCCCCTCACATCTCGGGGCCGATCTCATCAGGATATGGTCCCCAAATGAGAGCAGAGACATTGTGCAGTGCTCGGCTGAGGTACCGAGGCCGCACTTGAATAAGGAGTTGGAGGGATCACTTGCAGGAGCGCTGGCGAGGGTGGATAAAGAACACCGTGACCAGCACACCTCGGTGTCCTAGTACAGTTCACAGTCATCAGTTCGACTTTGAAAGTGTTGATATGCCATTGTGAAAGTAGCGTGATCACCACCACTCCCGAGTTCCCATTCTTGGGCTACACCAGTCTATGGTACCATACTAATGCCTGTATTTCACCTGTCCACTGCCAGTCCACCCATAATTTCACAAGGCAACACGTCTTCACTGGCTGCGGAAATGCCGACAGTCATCGTTCTCATGCCAGCCGGGAGGCACGATCTTGACAGTGAATGGCGCATGTTGGAACGAGTTAGGCGCGTGGCCGTAGCGAACCTCACTACCAGCCTCGTAGTTTGTCGGCAGGAAGACCTCAAACTTGCGGAGGTTTTCTAGCTCGCGGGCCAGTGCGTATAGTGGTTCGAGGTCCTGCTTCTGCGGGATGGGTTGGCCGGTACGCTGGGGGTGTAGGCTCAGGCGGAGCTCTGTGGACGGGGAAAGATGCGGTCAGTATCTCCATTCTGATTGCTGTAGCCCGCTTGATACTGCCCGGCACATGAGCCTTTAATGGTTGCATGTAGGCTTACCCTGAATTCTAGGGAAAGATGCCTTGACTTTGTCGTGTACCTCTTGAGCGGGTGGACGACTGTCGGGTGTAGAGGATGCTCCAGGGACTGAGCCCATATTACCAGACGTGATCTGTGACATCCAATGTTAGAATGTCGGATGTTTATATATTCAACTGTAAAGGTAGATCGGAGCACCGCATGGGTCATTCAATCAACCTACGCTGACAAATTGGATCCGAGAATGTAGTCCCCGCGGCACCTCGCTCAGGAATATGTCCATGGCAACCATGCCGCTGAAGGAAAAGCGCATCTTGGTAAACAGGTCCTCGCTCGCTTCCTGATACATCCGCCTGCACACCAAAAAGGTGGTGAGGATGGCGCTGTTCCTAAGGTCGGGCTCGCCTCTTCTCCTGTAACACGCCGTGTACATGCTCGAGAACGAGTGGTCCCATTTCTGAGAGCAGTTGCGGAAGCAGGCGAAGTGGGCGCACCACGGGTCGTTGTTAGGCAGCTCGAAGTCACCACCGCTCAAGTCTTGGATGGCGCCGGCGATGTCACCCGGGTCATCGTGTGACTGCAGCTCCTCGATAACGCCGTTCTCATTGGCACCGTCAGCGTCAACGGTGGCACCCGCGACGTCCGTGGCATCTCCGGCATCGGTAGGTGGAGTAGGAAGCATAGACGCAGCCGGCGAGCCAGGGTCCCGGTTGAGCTCCTCAGGGCTGAGGACACATGGGAATCTCAGGAGGTACGACTTCTCATTAAATGCAAGGATATGCTGGGTAAGGCCATAGTCAAGCCACAGCTGTTTGTAGATGTGGTGGCGGATTTCGAGGGGCAGTGTCGTGAAGAGAGGCGATTGGTCCTGGGGATGAGCCACGGAAGGCGCTCGCATGGTCTGCTAAAGAGGACCAAAGGAGTTCTTGAACGGCATGGCGTTGGCTGCGTGGGTGCCGCAGTGTGAAGCCAGGAACGCGCGGACTTCAAGTGGAGAGTGCTAAAAGTCAGGTTTGGCGAAGCTCGCCAAGCTCTGAGGTATCGGCTAGCGGGTTGGGGCTGTCACGGTCTCAATGAATATGAGGCCATTCACTGCATATATCGATATCACCAATGGTAGTGACAAGCCGCATGTGCGCACTCGTGTAGTTGCGCCATTCAAGTTTAGGGTATAATCATAAAGGAAAGTCAGTATAGTATAGTAATTAAATAGGTTATATTCTAGTAAGGATATAGTCTTAGCAAGACCCTTATTCTTAATTTAACAGTAAATTTTACCTATAAATAGAATTTTCTACTTATATTAATCTATATTAAGCCTTAATATATACTCTTTATCTTACTATAAACTATAACTACTTTAAAAAAAGATTTATATATATTTTATTATTAAACTAATATTTTTATTAATTTATAAATTAATTTTATAAAGTTAATATAATATATTAACCTTTATTAATATAATCTTTATAGTTATAATATTTAATAATTAAATTTAATAAATATATTTTTAATAATTATTACTTTAATAATTAATATTTTTAGCTTTAATAATTAATATAAAGTTTAAATTCTATTATTTACTCCTATTATTATTAATATTAATAATAAGAATAATAAAATTAAACTAAAAGCTATAAATAAATTAATAAATACCTTTTATATAAAAGTAAAATATACTTTTATAATATATTTTAAATATTAAAGCTAACCTTTAAAAGCTTTCTTATTTAACTAAAAGAGTATATAACCCTTAATAATATAAAGTAATTAATAATAATATTATAATTAATAGTATTTCTTTAAATATATATATATAATAAGATATAATAAAATTATATTTATTAATTTCTTTTATATTAATTAATTATTAGTAAGATTATAAGGAATTACTTAAAGTATTTCTATATTTTATATAAGAAGGTTATATACTCTAAACTAATAAAATAATTTAATAAGTAATATAAACTTTAAAAATATATATTTTAATAAATATATTAATATAATTAATAATATATATATTATAGCCTATATTTCTATAAATAAGTAAGTTAGGTAAAGGGATTAAAAGGAAATAATATTATAAAATATTTTTATTATAATAAAAATAATAAATTATTTATATATATACTAACTAATAATAAAAACTTAATAAATAACTATATACTTCTTAATATAACTATAAAGAAGGACTTTAAAATCTCTTTAAATAAATTTTATCTAATAAATATAAGATTTAAGCTTTAAAAGAGTATTTTAATACTATTTATATTAATATAATACTATTTTAAAACTAAAAAAGGAGTAAAAGCTATATAATATAAAGAAATTATATAACCTTTACTATACTTACCTTTATATTATAATAAAATAAATATTTAAACTATTAAAAAAATAAAAATTATTTAAGTTTTATATTTAAATATAATATTAAAGTATAAATTAAATTTATCTATACTTATATAGTATTATAAAACTTTCTAATTAACTTTAAATAAATAAAGAAAAATAAAGTTTTAAAAGTATTAAAAAGCTTTTAATAAGTTATTCTATAAGTTTATTACTATAAAGTAAGATAAATAATCTATTAAATAAAACTTAAAATACTAAAAAAGTAATTATTATAAAATATAACTAAATTATTATAAAAATATTATAATAATATTAATTAAAAATAATAGTTTTTAATAAAAACTTTAATAATCTACTAATTAAATATTAAAGGGTTACTAGTTAGACACTTAAAGCTTGACCTTTAAATACCTTTTTATAAAAGATATTAAAATTTAATACTTTTTAACTAAAATAGAATATTTTAATACTAAAAGTTTTAAACCTATTAATTAAATCTTTTATTTATATATATTAACTTAAATTTTAATTTTATTAATTAATTAAAAAAATATAAAAGTTTTAATATTTAAGACTTAAATTTACTAAAAGGGCTAAATACTCTATTAATTATAGCTAAAAAACACTAAAATCTATTATATTTTAAATAATACTCTAATATATCTTAATATAAAAGATAAAATTTAATTATTAATAAATTATATAAAGTAGAAAATAAACTATAAAATATATATTTTAAAATCTTAATAGAATATAATTTATAAAAATTAAATAAAAATATTTAATATAACCCTTAAGGTAACTAAAAGCTTCTAACTATTATTATATTATTAAATATACCTATAGCCTACTAACCCTTCTAACTTAATTAACACTACTTACTTTCTTAACTACTACTAACTTCTTAAACTTAAATTACTATTAAGTTATTCTTAACTACTTTCTCTATATTATTCTATATTATAATAACTAAAGAGTTTATTATAAACTTAAATAAATAAATAATTACTACTCTATTATTATAAAAATTTAACTAACTATTCTTTACTCTATAATAAACTTATAAGTCTTTAAAGATAGTTATAATTATATTAATTTCTATAAGCTTATTTAATTAAATAGCTATAATTAATATACTATTATTTAAAGTATTACTAATAGTTTTTAAGCTTATTAAATAGTTAAAAAGAAATTAAAGTTTTAATAAAAATAATAATATACTATTAACCTTTAAAGTTTAATTTAAATTATTAAAATCCTTTAACTAAATATAATAATACTTATAAATTAACTTATTATTAAACTCCTTCTCCTTATTAACTATAATATAATTATTAAAAAAACTTCTCTTTATAATAAGGTATTAATTTCTTACTTAATATAACTTCTCTTTAAAAATATCTTTATAAACTACTCTATCTTTAAACTTTATACTTAAAAGCTAACTTATATTTAACTAATAATTAATTATTAATATAAAGTTTTCCTTAAGCTTTTAACTTTATTAATCTCTTTATTATATAATATATTAAAATATATTAAAATATTATAAATTATTTATATTACTTTTTTAATATTATATTTTATTTTAAATAGCTTAACTATTTATAACTAAAAGGTTACTCCTTTAATAAAATACTAATAAACTTTTCCTATATAAATCCCTATTATAATTAATTTATTAAATTTAAAAGTTTTTAAACTTATAATCCCTTAATAACTCTATAAATTACTTTATTTATAACTATATAAGTTTAAATAATATTTTTAAATTATTAAAATTAATATTATATATAAGCTTAAAATATATTATTATTTACCTATAAACCTTTTATAATTAATAATATAATTTTTACTTTTATAAACCTATTTTAATTAAAAGTATAATTAGTATTAATTTTAATTAATAATAAACTTAATTAATAAATTTAATAAAATTAAAAGAGTCTTTATTATTAAAAAATTTATATAAGTATATTTAATAAAAAATATTATCTTTAATATTATAAATAACTTAATTAATAGAGAATTTAAAAGCTATTATAATAGTTAAAAAGTATATACTTTTAATTAATAATAATATAATTAACTTACTTATAATTAAAGATAATAACTTATAGCTATAATAATAATAATATAAACTTTTTTTTACCTAACTAGATTACTTAATAAGGAAGGTAGTAATGACCTTAGCCCCTAATAAGTAACTTTTAAATTAATATTTAAAAAGGAATAGTTATATATATAAAGAGCTTAGTAAGAAGGTTACTTTATAGGGGCTTACACTACACTAACTTTCCTCTATAATTACACCCTTAGGTGGTGCATTTACTTCGCGGGGTTAGGGATGGAGATCAACTTGAGTGGTGCTGCACCAGCACAGTAACTAACACACTAGTGTTCCTCGTCGTTCCAACCTGGCTGTCTTAGACTCGACTCTTTTTACAGTGATTCAAGCCACTGGACTATTGTTAATCTACTTGAAGGTTTTATTCTTACTTTAATCGGTCACATAGAATGCCGAGCGAGACTTACGCTCTACATAAGGAGGCCCACGTACCTATACTAGGCTTAGATCTATTTCGTACCTTGAACTCGCTTAGGAGGTAGATATAGGCAAGGTACCTAGGTAGGTAGAGCAGGTAGGGTGGTCTGCCTGTCAAGGCCAGAAGTTGGCTCGCCTTACGCTCAAATAGCTCTAGTCACTCACAGTAGGACCTACTGAAACGAATACTTCTAATGACGAGCGCTTCATTCCTGAGAATTTGGCACTTGATTTCTTCAGAATCAACTTGCAGTTATATACTACCTTGCTTATACTTCTCTGCGATTGATATATTTACGTAGAAGTTAAGGGCCCGCGTCACTCATGCCACCTTATGACCATAGTTTCTGCTTCAGGTAGTCCATAGCCTCCTCGCGGTAGTCGTCGGCCTGCTGATACGCCAGGGCCGTGACGTTGGTGTCGAAGACAATGTTGGTGGGCCGGTCGAGCTCGTACGGGGGCCACTCGACGCCGGCGCCGTCGACGCCGTGGGCGTTGGGGTCGAGGCCCGTGATGAAGGCCACCCACATGCGCGACATGAGGTCTGCGAGGCGCGGGTAGGTCTCGGGCCGGCCCTCGAAGGGGTTCACGGCCACGGCGTTCTGGTAGCCCAGGCCGGCGGTGTTGTCGAAGACGAAGGCGACCTCCTGGAAGTGGGTCGCGCCGACGGCGGGCGACATGCCGTTGACCAGCACGTCGAAGCCGTACGAGTACGCGGTCAGGCCGGCGGCGGCCCAGCTCTCGGCCCACGCGCGTCGTGGCGCCACGTAGCCCCGGTCGCCCGTGAAGGCCGCCACGCGCTTCCACTGCGCGCCGTAGTAGGCCAGGTCGCCGGTGGGCCGGCCGTCGAGCGTCGCTGGGATGCCGACGGCCGGGTCGTCCGGGTACAGGGCCGACAGGGCGGCGACGGTGTCGTTGCCGGCGCCGCCCGAGCGCAGCAGCGCCTCCCACTGGGCCGTCGTGTTGATGCCCTTGGTGCCGAACGCGGCGCCCTCGTCGAAGTTGTTGCCGATGATGACGGGCACGTGGACGAACTTGCCGTCGCGGACCAGTTGCCAGCGCGGTGCCTGCAGGAAGTCGCCGTCGATGACGTTGGCGAAGGCCGGCGTTGAGGTAGCGTTGAGGATATCGCTCAGGTCCCAACTCGGCACCTGGCGCAGGCACTGCAGCGTGTCGGCGGCGGCCGTGCAGTTGGTCTTGTTGACGAGCGTGTTGTAGTAGTCCTGCGAGCTGATGCCCTGGGTGGGCACCTCGCCAAAGTCGGTCTCGTAGCCCGTGCCGCTCTGCATGATGGCGGCACGGAACAGCTTGTCGTCGCGGCCGCCGTAGGCCAGAATCTGTGCAGACACACTTCGGGCCCCGGCGCTCTCGCCCCAGATGGTGACCTGGTCCGGGTCGCCCCCGAAGGCGGCGGCGTTGTCCCGCAGCCACTCCATGGCCGCGCGCTGGTCTCTGTAGCCGAGGTTGCCGGCGCCGTCGGCCTGCACCTCGTCGCTCCAGAGGAACCCCCAGGCGTGCAGGCGGTAGTTGATGCTGGCGACGATCATGGGCGTGCCCATCTCCACCGACTGCTGGACAATGAAGGACGTGTTATAACGGGGGTCCGAGCCACCGCCCTGCGTCAGGCCGCCGCCGTGGATCCAAAGCGCAACTGGCAGCTTGGCGCCGACCTGGACGCCATGCGGCCGCACTACGTTGATGGTCAGGCAGTCCTCGGAGACGTGGTTGCCCAGGACCCACGTGTCACTGCCGTAGCCGAAGCACTGCGGCGAGTAGTCGGTCGCTTCACGGACGCCGGTCCACGTGGCGTTCAGGGGCTGCGGTGGGCGGAAGCGGAGGTCGCCAGTCGGCGGCTGGGCGTAGGGCATGCCAAGGAACAAGTCCTGGCCGTACGCCGCATTGTACGTGCCGCTGTAGGAGCCACCTTGGACAGTGACAGTCACGACGGGCGAGACTTGACTACTTGGCCGGGCCCAGACCGGGGTGGCGACCGAGGCCAGGGCGAAGAATATGAGCGTGCTGAACCGGGCCATGCTGGACTGCTGGAGGGACTCCGATCCAATGCAATTCCTCCAGGAGCGCCAGGACGGCTGTATATGTACATGGCCGTCGACCCCGCGACTCTTGCCCAGACGCCATCATGGCGCCGGGAAGCAGGCTCGGATGGGCACATGACTGCCAGAGAAGGCCCGTCTGTGGGGAACCCGGGGAAAGCTGGGTGAGGGTGCCTTGCAGTGGATGGTGTGGTGTGGGGAGATCATTATAATGGCTATATATCGACACTAGTCGACATGGGATCCCCGGACGAACCCCACACTCGACCGCATGGTTGGACCACCAGCCATGAAATGAGGGCTTGCCAACCGGCCCGTCCGTGGCTAGTTACTTGTGATTTGGTCCAGGTCCGATGTCAAGCCGGGATACCGGTACGACTCAGGATGCCAAGAACTTCACGAAATCCTCCGTCTATCAGAACATCTTAGCTACGGAGCCGCTGGAAACGATGGACAAGAGCTTGTTGGTCCAAATATTGTCGTCTGTGACCAGAACAGCTGCTTACTTGAAGCTTCTACATAGGCAACCTCGAAAATCTGGGTATCATGACCAGATCTCACGACAGTACCGCACAGAAGAGCCCTAGCATAAAGAGCATTCTCACACTCGAACACGGATTGCTTAGCTCTCGCTTCATCCACTCCGACCTTCCTCAACACAGGAGCAGTACATTGCGTTTCTCTCAGTTCGACGTGCGGGCTACAACTCTAATTTCAAAGGACGGAGAAGATTACAACATATTTGACCAATAGCCAGCTTCAGCAACTATATATTTATCACTCAACGTTTTATTAACATCCCTAAGTTAGACTTCGACTATCTCTAGACACTAACAACCTAGTTTAAGTTTAAAATATAAAGTATTAATTATAATATAAAATAAGCTATATATATAATAATATAAATTTATTTAGATTATATAGTAAATTTAATTAAATGAAAATTAAAAGCAACTTATCTCGTAGCTCTACACTTATACTTTAGTGTTAAGAACTAGTTATTTACTTATTGTATCTTACTGATCGGCTGTAGCTTTATAGGGTTTAAGTGGACCGGTGACTTACGGTTACAGGCTTTTCGAGATGTCTAAAGAGGATTTCGCGGCCTACTTAGTGTTTTTATTATTTGAGTCTAGGATAGGATGTTAATGTATAAACCTTGGAACCCTTTACCAGGCCTTCGCACACAGAGCGCTAGGTATATGTGATAGCAGTGAGGATGAACGATGAAAGAGTAGAGACTAAATATGGAGCCGCTAATGCACTTAAATATGGGTGTCTACTCTGGGAAGAAATACGTTAAATGTATACGCACATATGAGTGTTTCAAGTTAAGAGAGGCTGTCATTGTTTCATTACAAAACACCCGCCCTTTATTGTCAAGATATCTCCTCTCTTGCGTCTATACTGGATTGTTGCGCCGTTGGATAAGCGCATGCAAAGCTGCCACAGGATGAGGATAAGATATGCATACAGCGTAAAAAGGTCGAGTCTCTGCAAAAACCAAGAATCCGTCTTGTAAAGATTGAGGGCCAACATGGTGTGCTGTTCCGGCTAGAGGGGTCTTGCTTTTGGGGCTTGAATGGCCTCCCGTTCATGACCACTAGAGCAAACCGAAATAAATACCATTACACGATACTATGGAAAGGGCTACCGGCTACTATAAGTGATGCTATGAGACTCTGCTACAAATTGGAGTTTGGATATCTGTAAATAGACTCATCATGTATCATCCAGGATGACCATCAAGATTGGCTGCAGGAGGCATCTCGTATGGCAGACGTTTTCACCAAATCTGCATTTACTCTAGCCATCCACCTTTGTGAAGACGCATCACTGAGTTTCCTTCGGAAACACTACCTTAATACTGAACAACGGTCGGACGGACCTTGCCGCTTCGACAAAACCTTGGAATTCTGTTCACGGACAGCAGTATGGGTGACAAACGGAACATTTATCTATGGAAAGGTAAATCATTCATCAAAGTCTCCCAATTTCTGAGTATTTATTGGCGCTCAATCGAGGAAGTAAGCCATAACGGTCCCTAATTTCACTTCACGTCACCCTGAAGAAAGACAGGCTGCTAGCTAGCCTTGGCGGGTCTCGCAAATCGGTTTCCAGCGCAGGCAGGACATGACTATCTCGCTGGCCTGTGGTTGGGAGCACTCTCGGAGACCCTTGTTTGGGAAAGACGTCAATATGATTGATCCCATAATTAGACCAATTAATTATCGCGCACCGACATGGAGTTGGGCCGCGTTGGAAGGAGAAGTCAGCTTCCCACACATTCAATCGACGGCTATGTCACGCGGCTGCGATATGATTGGACAATATTGCAAGTATGATCCACCAGATACATTCGCTACAGTCCTAGATGGATAGATCGATGTTGGAGGCCCCATAGCCATGGCGACAGCGCTAACCACACACGCAGAGAACTCTTAGACGCCACAGACCTGCTCACCGACGTCATGTCAGAAGACACTCAGAATCCTCGATACTGGATGCCAATAATGAACCAGGATAAAAGTCTAAAAGCAGCAATAGGACATTCCGAAGTCCATTTGTTGGGTTTGCTGGCTACGCCTTACCCCGAGAACAAGAGTATCTCACGGAGTCATGCAGGCGCTTGTGCTGCAGAACGCAGATCGACCGGGTATGGGAAAGGATCATTCCCAGATGCTAGGTACTGAGTCTCTTGTTTTTTCGTCTTCAGCAGTCATATAACGGACTCATGGTCTAGAAGAACTATTCGAGTGATCGGAAGAACCTGCCAGTGTTGCTGTTGTTCCCCTCTTTTCTTGTCCTTTTCTAATATGAGGATATAAGTCTCGTCAGGAGACAAGCGGGGGGCAAGCTCCATACCTACTTCAAACCAAGAGCCAAGGTCATCACACTGTCTACTACGAGACTTCTCATGCATTTGATTCCATCTATTACCTTCCTACCCCCCTCCCCCTTTTTTTAAGCCGCTTTCTTGATCTTCTGACGTATTTCTCTCGTGATCTCTCTTATTCCCCTTTTTGACCCCCAACGTAGTTCACCACCTAGCCAATTGTATCATCAGATATCCCGCCTTGCATTTCAATTTGGCATTGAGGCTTAATGCTCGGCAATGCGTTCTTGAGGGTTGCTGGGTTTGCTCGGGAAATGTAGGCTAGCCAAGTCGTCGAAGAGGTCGTTTTTAGGTTAGAGCCTACTGATAGCCTTATAACCAAGGCAGTGCTAGGAGGGCACCATAAAGCCAAATCAGTTAGACCATCCCGGTCGCTTCCGCTGGACCGTCCCGGTCGCTTCCGCCTTATTTGAGTTTGGGTGGTTTCTTGTGCAAGCTGGATAATGCTCCCTGTTTAAGTCCCCCTATGTGAAGCACATCTCGACTGTGGAGCTCAGGGACCGAGAATCCACCAACATGCGCGAGTCAAGTACGCCATGGGCCTCGTTCGTCCGTGCTAAAATTCCTGCGCCCCTTTGGCCATGGTCTGGATCATTGAGTCAGCCACGACACGCCAACTTTAATTTATGGAGTTCGGCTTTTATGGGTTCACGAAACGAGACCATGTTGGAGGAATCTTTCCACAGAGCTGGTAGTCGTTAGCGGTTAATTGTGTCTAAATTTATCATGATCAGTTAGCCAAGTTTAAGCCAGGTCTGTTCTTAGTAGGTCCACTCTCATTTCCACGAATCTCTCTCCCTATGGCCCGACCGACCCGGCATGCCGTGCTGTCCATCACTCCACGGGTAGCCTGCATAGTTGCGAGTCTCCGACGATGTATGGCGATCTATCTTTATTGACAGGCTTGGCCTGTCCCTCTCCTCCCGCTTTTACGTGTATAAAACTTCTGGGTCCGGGCCATTTTTGTTTTAATTGCTCCGGAACCGTTTCTCGAGTGGTCACCACTCAACCAGGGGCACAAGTTACATTCGTTATTGGACTCGATGGCTGTCACAATCCTACTACACTCGCTTCTGTTGGCAGCCGCTGTGGTTAGGGGGGCTGAGACGCCAACCGCAGCTGCCGTTCCGGGCGGCTACATCTTTGAGCTTCACGATGGGCAGGTTCGCCAACCCAAGATGGTTCCACTGGTGATGTTTGACGTTCAAATACACTGCTGACCACAGCTCTCTTTTTAGGACGCCTCGGACTTTTACGCTGAAACGAACGTCCACGCTACCACCCGTCTAAACTTGACCTATTCTCTTTTCAAGGGGGTTTCGCTCCAGTTCCACGATGCCGACACGGCCGAGGGTAAAGTGACGAGTCTCGCACAACTTGCCTCTGTCAAAGCTGCGTATCCTATCACAGCTATAAGGGGGCCTGATCGGCAAAAACGACCATGGACGGCATGGACGGCCCAGCCATCCCGTGAATCGGTTTTTGTCAAAAGACAAGAGCAGGGCGAGGACAACTTCTCTACCCATGTCATGACACAGGTCGACAAGCTTAGGGCCAAGGGAATCACTGGCAAGGGGGTCAAGATCGGCGTCATCGATTCCGGTGTAAGTTCTGGTTGTAACCTCCAATCACCGGCTTGTGCTGACCTTGTGGCCCTCAGATTGACTACCTGCATCCCGCCCTGGGTGGTTGTTTTGGAGATGGCTGCCTTGTAGGGTATGGTACCGATCTGGTTGGCGATGACTTTGACGGGACATTCAAAACATTTCCTAAGCCCAAGTCCGACCCCATGGACTGCCAGGGACATGGGACCGGCGTTGCCGGCATTATTGCATCCCAGAACAACTCCCTTGGGTTCACTGGCGCGGCGCCGGACGTTACTCTAGGAGCTTACAAGGTAATTGACATCCAGCTAACACAGACACACCTTATTTTCCCTGACATCCACTAGAGTGAGAAAACTGTTGACAAGACTGTCTTTCTGTAGGTCTTTGGATGCGGCGACGGAGGCGTGACTACCGACGTCGTCATAGCTGCATTCAACCAGGCATACGAGGATGGCAGCAACATCATCACGGCGTCGATCTCAGGCCCAGCCGGTTGGATCAATGAGCCCTGGTCAGCTTCCGTGTCCAGGATCGTGGCTGCTGGCGTTCCTTGCACTCTCGGCGCTGGCAACTCCGGTCTGATGGGCATGTTCTTCGGTGGTGGTGCTGCAGGCGGCAAGGGAGTGACTTCGGTCGCCTCGGTCGATAATACTTTCATTCCCACCCCATACTTCCAGGACACCTACACCATCGACGGAGGCAGCCCGGTGGACTTTCATTACGTGGCCAGTGTTGATCGAACCGCTTGGGACAATGTCAGCCTTCCCCTGTGGAGCCCGAGCGTGAGCAAGTTTGGACCAGAGAACGGCTGCGACCCTTATTCCGCTGGCACTCCGGACCTGACCGGCAAGATTGTTCTGGTCCGCCGTGGAGAATGTAACTATTCCCAGAAAGCGGAGAATGCTGCGTCCGCGGGTGCGAAGTATCTGATGGTCTACAACCAAGTTGCTGGACCCATCAACATCCCTTCCATCGTACTCGATGGGGGAGGCCCGGCGATTGTTGGCGCCAGTCTTGCTACTGCGGAAGCAGGAGATAAGTGGATTGCAGCTCTGCAGGCAGGTTCTGAAGTTGTTGTCAGCATGACAAATCCCTCCAAAGCCACCCGCTTCCTGGACTTGACACCCAACACTGCAACGGTATGATGCAAATTCCAAGTCGTGTTTGAAATGCCTTCTGAACAGTTGTCTAACCTGAACTAGGGAGGATACCCATCGAATCTCACCTCCTGGGGTCCAAACTTTGACGGCTACTCGAAGCCTCAATTCGGCGCTCCGGGTGGCAGCATTGTGACCCTTCAACCTAGGTCACAAGGCTTGTTCGAGGTCAACTCAGGAACTAGTCTTTCGACGCCTCTGGTCGCCGCTATTTTCGCTCTAGTCGGTCAGGTTCGCGGAACGTTTGAACCTGCTGTCTTGGAGAGTTTTCTCTCCGCAACTGCAAAGCCTTCAAGGTTCAACATTGGGTTCGGAGCGCGGCCATACCTTGCTCCAGTACCCCAGCAGGGTGCCGGTCTTGTCCAAGCCTTTGATGCGGCATATGCTACTTCTCTCATCAGCGTTTCCAGTCTCTCCTTCAACGACACCGATAACATTGCGAAGCAGAGCTTTACAATCAGCAACCTCCACACAGAAGCCGTGACCTATGAACTTAGCAACATTGGTGCCGCCACCGCCTACACTTTCGCAGCCGGGCCAGACGCATCGCCCTTTCCAATGTCCTTCCCTAACGATATGGTTGCTGAATACGCGGAACTGGACCTCAGCGAATCCAAAGTAACTATTGCAGCGGGTGGCAATGCAACAATCGAAGTCACGGCTACGCCCCCCGCCCTCGATGTAGCTCGCCTCCCCGTCTGGTCTGGCTATATCGCGCTCAATGGGTCTGACGGGTCAAGCTTCACATTGCCCTACCAGGGTATCTCGGGAAGCCTCCACAACGTCACCGTCCTGGTCGACTCTAGCGACTCGGTATGGCTGACAACATCCGAAGCCGCCGACGCCGGAACCTTCGACCCTCTTCCGGGCAACCACACTTTCAACCTCCCGCCTCAGGGGACCGCCAATGGGACCAACACCAGCATAGCCGCGATCGCCGTCAACATGGCCTTTGGCTCTCCACTTGCCCGCTTCTGGGTTGTGCCCGTGACGCCGTCTATTGTCCAGAATGCGACCGCGGTTTCCGGCGATATCATGACGATCGGCCAGATTGCCCGCTCTCCGAGACCGTGGATATCCCGCGATGTTTCCGCTCCTGTCTGGGACGGCCAGCTTAACGATGGCACTTTCGCTCCCGAGGGCGAATACAAGGTTGTCGTCGAAGCACTCCACGTCTATGGTGACCAGAGCAAGATAGAAGAGTTTGACCGCGCGGAGAGCCCCGCGTTTAACATCGTTTACAACAAGGCATCCTGAGGACCATCCTTCTCATCCGATGTTAGTCCTTGTAGATTCATCAAAGACCACTGTAAATATGTATAGTACAACGATTATAAAGATTTCCACACACCGTGATTGCGAAAGATGCTCCAGGAAAATCTATGCATGCATTCAAATAATAAGTCTTTTCGTTCTTAATTCACATGCAACAAAGCTGCACTGACACGGCCCCTTCATACATGGGGCACTTGTGAACGCTCAAAGACCCAGAGGCAAAAAAGCATAATGCTGATAACAGTATACCTAGGTAGAGAGACGCAATTTGTAGAAATGTTAAATTTGGTTCAAAGATTATTATTATGTCTCGTCCGGCTGGGTGTCTGACGTACATCACCTCTGCTGTTCAAAGTTCAAATAAATGGTTTTCGATAATCTCTGCGCTCACCGGCCAGGGCGTAACGACCGCAATCAAGATTCCGAGGTCATCGCGCGGATCTCAAGTTGAGCTAAAGCGCCTTATTACGGTGGTCGGACAGTTTCACATGCCACATCCGGAAATGGTCTTAGCGTATGTGGCCATTGGATCAATGATGACGGCCCGGAGTGCTCGGGGGAATGTGAGCAAAGAGTGGTTCCGTTTGTAATCCCCATACATATAAAACTTATGTCCTCGGACGTATACGGAATAGAAGCGAAACCACATAAAACTTATGCGGTGCCAACGTACAGTAGTAAACGCTCAAGACCCAGCTTTTTTTTTCTCTTAAAAGAAAACCGTCTACTGGTGTCAAAGTTAGCAAAGAGAATCCTTTGAATGGATGCCTAGATGATCTCGGGGATTTCTCAGATCCTATAAATACTATCGCAGACAACCAAGCGATCTCGAAGAGTCTCATCCGGTTAAAATTTGTGACCAAGTCGATCATGTCTGAAGCATCTATCCCCATCTTAGCAACTGGCCGCACCGAAGCGGTCGGGAGCATGGTTGTTGCCCTCATGCAGCCGGAGTACGAGGGTAAGTACCCCCTTTCCCGTGGAGATCACCTATTCTGCTGTACCCGAGAGACAACGCTGAGACGAGCGGACGCAGTCATTCACATGACACTCGCTTCTTCGATCAAGGATGAGCTCCCCTTCCTCCTCAAGGGACAAGCACCACCAAACCCATCCACCACGCTCGGGACCGGGAACTGGTCCTCGCCGCCGCAAGCTCTTCTGATAGGGGGCGCCTACCAGGATAAGGATATCGAAGAGATTGTGAGGCTGGTGGAGGGTATCAATGGGGCACTGGAGATCCCATGGCTGCGGCTTGATGTCACGAAGACGGAGGGGCCGGGCCCTCCACCAAACCCAACCCCTGAGCAGGCAGCGGTGTACGGCAAGATCGTAGTGCAGAGGATGAAGGACGGCTTGAGCAATCTCAAGAAGGAGGGCAAACTTGGGCCAGGCAATGGTGGTATCCATCTTGTTTGAAATCTTCAGAGGTGAAGTGAACTCATCGTGTAGTTACCTATAGAGCACAATCCCCGCTCAATCAGTACCTAGGTGCAGTGAGTCACATTTTCGAAATTACAGAAATGAGAATACTTTCAGCGGAAGCACGAGTTGAGACCTATGGAGCGTTTGCAGACCTCAGGTTCTGAGATTGGCGATTCGGGCATGATGATGATGATAAGTAAGTGGCTCAGTTGACAGCAGTCCACGCATTAGACCCTGGAATTTGTCCCGGATTGGGTCGAATTAGTCATTGCCCAGGTGTTGGTGTCCCTCAGAAGCTGGTCAAAGATTCGTCATGATGAAGTCGAAGTCACGGCACGTTGTCTGGCGAAAAAAAAGTCCCACCAAAAGCAAGTCAAGGAGGATAAAAATTCTGAAGGACTGAACCGAATTCCACGCATCCATCACTGGCAATGCCTGGCTTCGGTACTTGGTAGAGACGTTTGCCACAAGGTGGGGAACCCGGTGCATTTGACAGCATCCCCGACCTCAGGCGGCGTCCGTTCGGGCGGACAGCCGCTGCTTGTAAATCAGGGTCCCACTTCGGTCCTCTGTTCGGCACCGAGCCCCCGAATATATACAATACCCAGGCAGCAAAGACCGCAGAACCTCACAACCCAGCAACAAATTGGCCAACAGCATGTCATCTCACAGGATCCTCATCACCGGCGGCTCAGGCTACCTGGGCGGAACACTGCTCGCCCGCTGGAAGGAGGCAGGCCTCCCAGCAGCATATGACAAGCTCTATGCGCTGGTGCGGACGGACACACAGGCCGAGGCCGTCAAGCAGTACGGTGCCGAGCCCCTGGCGTTTAACACTCTGGACGAGGCTGCTGTCCGGAAGGCGGTCGTGGACCTCGGTATCACCATCGTATACTACATGATCGATGCTCTGAGGAGCGAAGCGCCGATGAACTTCATCAAGGCGCTGGCTGAGGTCAAGCGGGCGACGGGCCAGGAGGTGCACTTCTTACACGTGAGTGGCGTACCTAGCCCCTGAGTCCGTGTTCCCCAGTGAGTGACATACTGACCAGATCGAACCGATAGACAACCGGGGCAAAGGTGTTCTCGTCTCACGCTGGCGCACCAACTAATGCACCGCTTCTGGATACAGATCCGGAGCTGTACTCCGTCCAGAAGACCCAGGCGGAGACAGCACCACTCGAAATAATGAAGCAGGTGAGTGTGAACCAGTCGGGTTCACAGTGCGACCGCCTCCTGTGAATTTCATCAATGATTGACAACCTATCCGTAGGCCATAATCGTCAATAATACTGTTACCGAGGGAGGCGAGATGCACGGAGTCCGCACCTACATCTTCGTACCGTGCATTGTCTACGGCAGGGGCGAGGGCTTCGGAAACATCATCTCGATCCAGACGGTGGCCATCGTCAAGGCAGCACGGGCGATGAAAAGGATGTACAAGGTCGACCAGGGACAGCCCACATGGCCCGTCTGCCACGTCCTCGACAACACCACCCTGTACATCGAGATCCTCCGCCAGATCCTCGACGGCAAGGATCCAGGACACGGCAAGAATGGGTACTTTCTCGCGTCCCCGGGCAGCGTGGCCTGGGACGACCTCTACACGGCCATGGCCGCGGCGCTGGCCAAGAGGAACATCATTGGGGACGACTCGGTCGTGCCGGCGAACCGCAGCATCTTAGAGCAGATGGGAGCGGCGCTTGAGTCCCCGCCTGAGCTTGTGCCGATGCATATTGGCGGTTTGTGAGTTTGGCCTCGGATATCAGTGATAATGACATGCACGGATCGGAAGCTAACGAAAACAGATGTACTTTCACTGCTGAGCGCGGCAGGAAGATTGGTTGGAAGCCGCAGTACCCGCCAGAGCATATCCTCGAGGATGCAGACAACGAGGTCCAGCTTATCTTGGACAACCTGTAGAGCTTGAAGTTGTCAATGGACCATAACTGGTCAGAACAGCTGCAACTCCATGGTTGTCTTCTTGGCCGGAATGTGTGCCTTGGCCAGTAGTAATACGTTCAATGTTCCAGCCAGAATTCGCTGCATGCAAAAGTGGAGATATTTCTAGCCTCAGACCTTGTATTGCCTCAGGTCTTGTATTGGCTTGTAACATGATGGATGAGATAGTACTTGATACATGCGATTGACTGGTTTCGCTTCCATCCCGCATACGTCCGAGGACATACATGGCGCCTCCATACGGTGATAGATACGGTAAAGAAAAGGGTTTTCTCTGTTCTACGTACCTAGGAGTCAGTCTCGGTGCCGGGTGCTTTCGAACCGAACACAGGACGGTTAACATACCTCGGTAAGCATCTACTATTTCAGAACGGCACACCATGGTGCGCATTCTTCTAGTCATCCTGCTTCAAATCCAGATGCCAGAAAAATGCAATTAATTTTCCTTTGGTGCCCAGGTGTCCGCCATGCGACCGTAGCTATCCTAGGGTAGTCAGGTCATTCTAACCATGGATATCTCGAGACAGGTCGGCCTAACAAGTGGAAGATGGGATAAGCCGGAATGTGGCTCCAATTTTCCATTAATAATTAACACGTGTTAGAAGCATCCCTGCCCCCTCCCCCCCAAAAAAAACCTCTTCAGGGCTATCAGCCGGACATCTACATAGACTAAGTGGTTTCGTTTTTAATCCCCATATATATAAAATATATATAATACCTTTATATAATAGTAAACACTTAAGATTTAATATTTAAAAAAATATAATATTAATAATAATAAAAAAAGAATATAATATATAAATATATAATTAAACTTTATATTATATAAATAAAGTTAAAAAGTATCGCTTTTAATAGTATTATATTATTAATATAAGTAGCCTAAAGGTTAATAATTAATAAAATAGTTATATAATAAAATTAAAATAATCTTAAAATAACTTTTATAAAAAGAAGAATTTTATAATATAAAACTTAATAAACTAACTCTTCTTTATTAATATATTTATTATATAACTATTTAAATCTATTTTTATTAAATAAATTAAATATATCATAATCTCTATTTTAAATATATAATTAATAAAATAATAATACTATAATAATAAACTTATTTAAAAAACCTTTTATATAAATTTTATAAAAAATTAAAACTTTTAAAAAATAAATAAAGTTTATTTATTATATATTAAATAAATATTATATAGAAAAAGTAAAAATTTAAGTATTTAAAAATTAAATCTTTCTTTTAAATATACTACTTTATTATTAAGGATTTATCTACTTTTATATAATATATAAAGAATTTAATAAAAGAGAAAGCTTTATAAAGAAAGTTAATAACTTTATATGTAAATAAGTTTAAAGGTATATATTAAATATTTATTAACTTTATACTTAAAATATAAACTAATACTTAATTTAAAAGTTAAAAAGATAATAAATAAATAAATAATTAAATAAAAAATACAATATAGCTAAAGCCCTGCATGGACTAAACGTCGCCCTTCTGTTCTTAACTTTGTAAAATGACATACATCCTGCAGATCATACCACCCCAACCCACATCAACCCGGCAGCTCAGCTGTTCTTGGCGCCGAATCCGCATGAAGCATTACTATCGGAGCCACGGGCTTCCCCCCAGCCTTGTGCTCGACTTGCGGTGTATCAGCATTCTTCCAGTGGCCATGTGATCCATGCCACATACCCAGATTTCGGCTGTGTTGCTTGCGGCGTCGCATACATAACCAACATACCACTACACACGATCCAAGACTCGCAATAGGTCCGACTACCGCCCCGGCGATCCAAGCGTTGCTTATTACACCTTGAGAAACAGTCGACGGAGTAGTTGAGGGGCCTGTAGTGGAAGTAGATGGTGGGACGCTGGAAGCTTGAGAGCTCATCGTAGGAACTGTAGTAGTGTCGCCTGAAATAACTATCGGCATAGGTCAGGAGCTTGCGACGGATATGACTCATTTACTTTCGCAAAGGATGACTGGACTTACACACCGTAGTTACACTCGCAGGTGTTTCCGGTAAGTTCCTATAGAGGGTAATTTTGGAAACGGCTGGCGTGACCCTACACGCCCAATTGGTAGCAGAAGGCGCACCAAAAGGAACGGTCTCGTAAATGATCCAGGTAGCACATTGAAATTCAGGATTACTGTTAAGCAAAGTAAGTATTTGGCAACTCGCGTTCAAGGGAAACGGATTCGATATACTGACCATATGATTGAGCTTCCGTCGTTGCGGAACAAGGTGCCTGAGGTACACGCCGTACCGAGAGCACAAGTGTTTGAGGGCACACAGTCACCGGCAACCGTCCCTAAGGTACTCCATCCAGTACCGGCAGTAAATTTTGAAGCTATTTTGGTTCAGGGTCAGAAGGAGGATATATCGTGATGAAAAGAATTATCAAAACTTACTGATGTCCGGTTGGATATACCAGCCGATGAAGTGGCTGTCAGTTGTTGGCTGGCCCGCCGTAGCTGTGAGCCATGCGAGGGTGATCCAAAGTGACATCTTGGGTCTTCACTTCCACGGTTTAAACGTTGGGAATAGTCAAATGGTCCGCGATACACACGGGGACATCAATTGATGCTATACTGCAAGGCACTGTCGAGTTTTGGGAGTAGTTTGGATCTAAATGGGACTGATCAAAACCGCCACTCAGCATCAATGATAAAATCGCGAGAGGAATCCGTCAAGATGGAGGCGTCGTGTAATGGGACATGGCCGAGTTATAACTGCCCACAAACATGATGCACACGTCGCAACAGATTCAATGCTATCATCATTGAATGACCTCTTGGCCCCCACGATCTTCTTCACTTTCACACCGAGCCGCACAACCCACGGTACCGCATTGCGACTTTAACCGCCAAAGCAACCAATAACAAGTGCTGAAACAGTGGTGGCACGGCCACGAAGCAAATGCTAGATGGCCTACCTTCAGAGGCCATGGTCGCCTGGCCCGACTTCAGGACCATAAAAGCACATTGATCGCAATACGCGCTCGCTCGGAGGATCGAACCGAACTTTGAGAACTTGATCAGACGTGGCCAACGCCCAACTCACTTATCCGACGGCTCAGGTGGCATTGGTTTCATAAATATTGTGCCAGCTGGCCGAGTTTAAACACAACGTTGTTGGCGCTGGGTATCGAACACTCCGACAGAACACATACGCTCTCAAGAATACTGTGGTTACATCTACTTCACATGTTGAGGTACTGCTTGGCGGCCAGTCAGGAGTGGCCAAGGATGGGAATTCCCCAGCACCACAAAAGCTGTTTAGAAATCGGCCAGAGAGTTGATTGGGCGAGTACTTTTACACCTAGGTACCTACATATATACATAATCCTCTCCCCGTCCCGGCAGAGGCCATTCGCCCTTGATTCATCTTCGATATTTTCGAGGTTATCAGCATGTGACTGGGGAGGCAAGGAGGCCCGCAAACAAAAGCCTGGTATCCTCAAGGCAGGCATGTGTGGTATAGAAGCGATCCTATAGAAGCAGCCCTACAGCGCGATCAGACGAGTTCAGACGAAACCCAAAAGAACTGCGGAGGCTGGTGTTTCTCGGAATGGCCCGCTGACCCAAGCTGCAGCAGGTCAGCAGCAGCCACTCACGAGACAGCAGGCCCCATGTGCCCTGGGGAAGCCCCCTGCCCGACGTCACAGTGGGGGCTCTGCACCCAGGGGGAGCAAGAGGGAGCTACCCGCTTGGGGAAGCTGACCCCGGTCCCCAGCCCCTCCAAAAGCCCAGGCCACCCCCGCAGTGTTCCTTGGTGGGGATAAGATGGTAAGGCTTCCAAGGTTGTTTTCCTCACCAGAATCACGAACTGCCTCAGATCCTACTCCTTCCTTGCTTTGCATGCATGCGCGTCTTTTCCCAACCACCGTCTTTTTTTTTCCACCACCACCTCGGCGCCACCAAGGACTGGTGATGCACGCCACGGGCAGTATGACAGGTCCAATAAGGACCGCAATGCCCTCGACCCAACCCCCTGGGCCATTTCCCTCGGTTTGTTCCTCTCTGTTTCGTCCCTTCCTTTTTCTCCGTCTCCACTTGGCAGCCGAGTCTTCTTTCTCTGTCAAGTAACAATCGACAGTCTGTCTGTTTGTTCTCTGTTTGTTCTCCGTGGCTCTGTCAGATCAAAGCCTCGAAGTCAGGGCCCAAGCTCCACGTCGATCCTTTTTTTGTGTGGTTGTTGTGCTGTTTCGTCTTGATTCAAGATGCGTCTGCTCAGTCTTCCCGCGCCGCTCCTTGCCATCGCACTTTCTGCTCTCTTCAGGGCCTCAGACTGTCGTCCTCTCGTCGCCGATCAGCAAGAACCAAAAGAAGACCAGCAGCTGGGCAGGTTTCACGCCGCCCTCCGGCCACTCCAGCCGAGGGCGAGCTACTCGATCGTGCCCATCGACGGCGGCAGCCCGGCCACGACAGAAGAGCTGGGCACCACCACCACCGTCGTGCGGACCGTCACCTCGTCGCCGACAGAAATCCCCGAGGTCACCGTCACCACGACCACCTCAAAAGAAAGCACAACCACCGTCACCAAGACGGACATCTCGGTGGTGGCCCCCGAGGCGCCGACCACAGTCACCGCCACGGCTCCTGTTACCATCGTCACCACACACACCGTGACTGACGGGGCGCCGCCATCAACGAGCTCTTCCTCTTCCTCCTCCTCCTCATTCTCTTCGACCGTCTCTAGCGCGCCGCCCAGCTCAGCTGCATCCGAGACAGCGACGAGCTCTATCACAAGCACCTCGGAGACGACCCCGAGTGCCGCACCTACCACCACCATTACCGCTACCACCGCCCAGACATCCTCGACCCTCACATCCTCCTCCTGCTCGACTTCAGAAGAGGTCACATCCAGCACCGCCTATACCCCGACGGCGTCACCACCACCATACCCAACGTCCTCGGGCGCCGGCCTCCCCCCCATATACTCCACCGGCCAGGTCCCGACACCCTCGACCCTGGTCACCAGTACTAGCAGCTCGACCTCGACCTCGACCTCGTACGACAACGGGCAGTGGCACACTACGTACCCCGCCTGGAACGGGACCCGGGTCTAGCGGCGGGCATGGGAAGACTGTTGTCTATACCAGACTGGATAGAGACCAACAAGGACGGCGGCAGGGCCCCGTCACAAGAGAGGGAGGGTCCACGGGTGCGAATGTAAATACGGACCTCAACGATCACGATGCACGTGGGATGTAAAATGACTAAAGATTGTAGGATGAATGATGGGTATAGGTAATGTGTAATCATGTAATAAAAGAGAAGGACAATGATGATAACAGGGCTGGGCTTTTGGTGTCTCCCTTTGGCGGAGCCCATCATCAAACAGCACCGCACCAAGAGCTGGGAGGCGGGTTGTACGGATCATCCGATGAGACTGTGGCATCGATCTCTGTGCTTCGTTCCGTACCGTGTCAGGATATTTGCATGTAATAGATGGGTGGGTAGTATATAGACGGGATATTCCTGGTAATTTACTCGTACATACACTGCTTGAAAGCTTTCCCCCAAGTTGCACCCACTACACTTCACCTCAACATCACAGCAGAGGAATCTTATTAATGGCATTAGCATTCTTATAAGTAGGTACCTAGGTATTCCGTTCCCAAAGCCCAAGAAGAGGAATATGTACAATCGAAAAGGGGGAATAATGCTGCGCGTCAATCATGTCTCATCAACCCAGCCGAGCCCAAACCAAGCCAACCCAAGGAAAAAGCCCACACCCAGAACACAGTCCGCCTGGGCAGGTTAGCGCTCCCCAATACAAGCAATCATCAACCTCTCGTAGTCCCCGCTCGTCTCCCCCTTGATCCGGCGGCTCAGACTCCGCCCGTACCGCTTCTCAAAGGCCCCCTTGACATTCGCCATGTTGGCCCGGTCCCAGTGCGAGCGCACGACCCTCGAGACCAGCAGGTAGTCCTTGGTGCCCGCCCCGGCCATGGCGTCCTCGAGCAGCGCGGCCTGGTGCATGTAGCGGTCCAGCCCGCGGCGCAGCTGGAACAGCAGCGCGTCCTCCATGTGCCCGCTGAACTCCTTGCGGATGACGGTCTCGAGGTCGCGGGCGTATTTCAGGCGGTACTCGTGCGCGATGGCGCGGATCTGGTCGTCGTTGCGCGTCGACAGGATCGAGCACACGCGCATCTCGTCGGTGCCGAGCTTGCCCTCGGTCGCGGCGTAGATGGCGTCGACGTCGCGGTCGACGTCGGGCTTGATCACGGGGGCCGAGTCCTCGGCGCGGCGGGCGGACAGGACGATCTCGAAGTGGCGCTCCGTCTTCATGGAGAGGTCGTCCTTGACGGCGGCCACCAGGTCGCGCTTGAAGGTGTGTTGGTAGGCGGCCTTGATGGCGTTGATGTCGGCGTTGCTGCGCCCGAGCAGCACGTCGTTGAGGGCGCGCTCCTTGGTGCCGGGGCCGGCCATGGCGTCGTGCAGGAGGTGGACGTCGGCCAGGAGGGGCCCGCGGGCGAGCATCATCAGGCCGTACTCGAACCAGCCCGAGGTCTCGCTCTTGAGGTCGGCGACCAGGTTGCGGCGGTGGTTGCGCTGGTAGGCCTCGTTGATGGCGTGGATCTGGAAGGGGTCCTTGTCGGCCAGCTCGCGGATCAGGGCCTTCTCGTCGGTGCCGAAGCCCTTCATGGCCTTCCTCAGGGCGTCGGCGGTCGGGTTCGGGTCCCACTGGATCTGGTGCATGGGGCCGTAGCCGGGAGACGGGGCCGTCGGGGGCCCTGACGGCGGCGGGGCGCCATACTGGGCCTGTCCTCCGTACTGGGCAGGCGGTGGTCGCGGCCCTGGCGGAGGAGGTTGGCTGGGGTAGTAGCCATGTGCGCCCCCTGGTGGCGGTGCGGGCGAGCCGTAGAGTTCAGACGGTGGAGGTCCTGGCGGCGGGGCGCCGTAGCCGCCCTGGTGAGGTGGTGGGGGATGTCCGTAGGGCGAGGGCGGGTATGGAGAGTGGCCCTGGGGAGGATATGGCGGTGCCTGGTTATAGCCCCCGTTGTATCCGTAGCCCCCACCCTGGGGAGGAGGAGGAGGAGGAGCTCCCCACTGACCCTGAGGCGGTGGTTCTGTGGTGGTGTCAGAGATGGTGTTGGGGCTGCTTGCGACGGGGGCGGAAGAGGAAGTCTTGGGTCAAACTTACGTCCGTAGGGTTGATAGGCCCCGTATGACATTATCGATGTGACGTGTGACGTGTGCCGCGAGCTGCGAGCTGAGAGCTGCGAGCTTAGAGCTGCGAGCCGCACTTGATGGAGTGGTCAGACAAACGGTGCTCGAGCTGCACCTGTGGTGATGTTGACTTGGTGTCGCACGAGACCAAGGTGAGTTGCTGTCTGATACCTAATCGAGAAACTTTATTCCAGAAGGCAAGAAAAAAAAAGGGTAGGGATTACAGGTCGACAATCAGCTGTAGGTGTGTGGGTGTAAAGGCGACAGACGGGCTGCAGAAGAGCCCCGGAGACGGGAACAGGAATAATAAGTACTGATGAATGCTCGGCGGTTCGTCACTATCGCTTTCGGGTCATACACAAGTCAAAAGTCGACATGCCTGCAAGCGGGACGGGTGACGGGTCTGCCAAGGTTGGGCTCTGAGGCGCAGTGGCTGTGATTGATCATCAAAAGGACGGCACCAGCTGAAAAGGCGAAAAGCCAGATAACTTGGCCCAACAGGCACGGGCAACAGGCACGGGCACAAACCCACGACCGGTCGGTCCCTCAGTCAGTCGAGGCAGTGTTGCTGCTCCTTCCTGCCGACCAACAAACATGCTAACTTGCTACGGAGTACTTACCCTACCAACCTACCAAACTGCTGCCCCAGGCTGACGTGCAGCGCGGGAAGGATGGGAGTGGCTTGGGCGGACTTCCGCTATGGGACTAGCCTGGCAAGGGTTGTGTCATTGTTCTGCCTGTCTGTCTGTCTGCCTGCCACCTATGTTTATGTTTATTACCAGCAAGCTCAAATTTACCAACAATTTTGCAGTCAATGCATTACACAGCAAGATCAAAATCAATGAGTGCATGTGGACCAGTGTGGAACCACTCATCAAAAGTGGAACTCCCATCGCCAATTCAGGTTCAAGCATCACTGACATGGCAAACATGGAAAGTCAGATGGCCCCGAGTCCCCAATCCCCAATCCCCAATCTGCCCCACCTCCGAATGCTCCTTCCATGTGGCGTGTGGCGCGGGAATAAAACGTCATGGCGTGTGGCTCATGACCGGCTGGCCCGTCCTGCCCGTCCCATCAGCCTTGCAGAGATCGGCTCACTCGACACACGGACCAGGCTCCCTCCACCTGCTGCACGTGCCGTACAAGTGGGCAATCATCTCCGAGTCCTCCATCCCATCGGCCGAGTCAAAGGCGGCTTCGGCCTCCGCTTCTCGGGGTCGGAAGCCCGGCCATGCTGCCACCGTTGTTGTCTACCTCCCTCACTCAATGTCTCTTCCTTTTGAGCACTCACACTCGGAGGATAGCCCAGCTCAGAGTCTGACACCACCTTGGCATTGAATGCTGGACTACCGGCCCTGGCTCAGACAGGGTCAGCCCATTTGACTCGAATCCAGCCTCCAGCACCACAGCAGGTGCGCGCTCCTCGGCCAGCAGCCTGAGTATGGAGCCTGTACCACCTCGGGAACTGCACACTCATCGCACCGCCGGCTGCCAAGGCGGTGTCGGTGTGCATACACATTGTACGACACAAGTCTAGGCCCAAACCGACTGGCTTTTTATGCGTGCCGCCAATGCAGCAGCTCATTTCCATCAAACACTGAACAGCCAGCCCAGCTTGATTGTCAACATGAGTTCTGGACCAGCTGGTGCATCCAAACAAGCTGTGAGGCTGATCTGGTCGCATGCTTATTTGATGAATCTTGTTAAACTTGTAATCAAGACCTTTTGGAGTTTAATTATGCCGTCCTGCTCCCAGCCAATCAACCAGCCATGTCCCTGATACACCCTAATTAAAGTGGGGCTCTAAATTTGCAAGCTCTTTTTCAGGCTGGACAAAAGGGGTTTAGCGTAGTTATGCTGTGTCAAAAATTTAACCTAAGGGGGTTATGTTATAAAAGCTGCTTACCTAGCCCTCTACCCCTCGATGCTCCGCCTCATTTTACACCATTTCCCTTGATAACCCTTGGTTTTTTTCATCCCGCCTTTCCGCATGTGGTCTGCCTAGGGGTACGCGGTTTTCCACTTCCAGCACACGGCCCACCTCGGACGCCCCCTTGCGTTAGACTTCAACGTCGAGTAAGTACAGAGGAAATAAATTCCATGGTCGGAAGTCAACGGGCAGTTTGGCCATTGACAGTTGACCAGTAGCGCAGTAGGCTTTTTCTTTCTCAAGAAGGAGCTGTGGATGAGGACCAGCAGCAGCAACGACGTCCAATCCAAGGTAAGCACACCTACATCGCACTTTCTTATCCTGCAGCGATCTTGTCGCGTTGGCAAAGACGACGCGCTGGGACTTCATCCAAGATTTGGCCCTGCCATCCTGTCTGCCTTTTCCCCCCACGCGGTTTCTACTTGGACCTTGGCTTCAACCTCAAAGCCGCAACGAGGTCCAGCAGAAGCTGAAACTGCGCTGCCAAGGTTGACTGTCTGGTCGCCCATGGTGGGTTTTGCTGCTCCTTCCTGGCCTGCCTCTCAAGACTTTCAAGACTGCAGGTGGTCACGTCCACTCGCGTCGCATGCAGCGCATCGCCAACCCCTCCGACTCCAAACTCTTGGCCTCACCTCGTTCTTCTTTTGCACCCACGGATAGACACACTATCCTCAGCCCTTCTTCTCTGATGGTTTTTCTGACTTCGAGATAGACCAGAATTGCGAAGTAGGTCTGGCACACTCTGGAACCTCGTTTCTCTCCCGCCGTTTGCTGGGATCCAAACCCTGCCTTGAGCGAGGCCTGAGACCCGTTCAAAGGCTCAACTCGAAGTGCTTGTTCTCTCTGCTTCTTTTCTTTCGCAAAACCCACCACTATTCATTGGTCGGCTGTCAGCCCACTCGAGGATCATGGCTTCGGCCGACGGCGACGAGAAGCCATCAATGGCTCCCGCACCATCCACCGTCGACCCCATCGTCGACCACGTCGCCGACACCAACGTCGACACGGGCGATGCAACCCCAAAGGACGGTGAGGGCAACATGGCAGAACCCGCAAATGGCATAGTCAATTCCACAGAAAGCAACCAGGAAACCACCAGCCCTTTGCCTGCCGCCGTGCCTGTCGCCGTGCCCGTCGCCAACATGGCCTCGGGCACAGCACCCGCTCCGTTGTCGCCAGCTCCTGCTGCGCCTGGCGATGCACCTGGCAGTGCACCTCCCTCGCCCCCGCGCATTGTCTCGGATATTGCTCCGCCATCCGCCGCCGTCCCCATCCCTCCACGCCCTGCAGCATTCCCTGCCGTGGATCCGGCTCCCGCCGTGGCAGCCCCGACCCGCACGGCGTCCCCCACCGTCAACGGCCTTGGCGCCCGGGCCGGCCGGACCTCGATGAGCAACACTCCTCACCAGTCGCCGGCGCTGCCCTCGGCTCCCATCCCGCTGCGAGCCTCTCCTGCGGCCACCCAGCCGGCCCTGGCCCCGGCCCCGGTCAACAACTTGAACCACATCAACAACACCCACAACACCAGGACCACCAGGTACCAGAACAACCCGACCTGGCGTGCCGAGTCTCCTCGTGATTACAGGCAGCAGCCCCTGGCCCCTGCCGCCACCCCTGCTCCACCTCCTCCTGCTGCTCCCGCCTCGTCCGCCCCTCCTCTTGCCGCTGCTCCCAGCGCCATGAGCTTTCCTTCGCCTGGCCGTGAGCATATCCACGCCGACCAGAAGTTCCTCGACGACAAGACGAGAATCAGCTTCGGCATACACCAGGCCGTCCCCGAGGCCGTGAGACGCTCCGTGCGCGACAACTGGGAGAAGTGCCTGGTCGGCTCTGACTTCCACCAGGCCTTCGTTGTGAGTCCAGTCCAGTCTTTCATCTCATTCCGTCATGATCATGTTTTTATGCTCTCGCCACTTCCTCTACGCCCTTCCTCTCCCCCCACAAGACCAACACACTGCTGTCCCATTCTCTACCCCCTGCAAATACTGTCTGTCATGATCCAAAAGACCAGCCCGCTGACCGGCCGTCCTCGAATGTAGCTCAACGCCAGTATCCACCATGCCACCCCGGCCGCCGTTCAGCGCGGCATACGTGACTTTGGAGGCGCCTTGATCTCCGCTGGACGGGCCCAGATCATCGACACCATGACCCGTGCCGATATCGACGCCGTGGCCTCGCAGATCCTCTCCAAGGCCAGTGAATCTTTCCTCGACGCCGCCCTCCAGCTTCGCCTCAAGTCCATCGACGCCAAGCGCCTCATCAATGCCCTCGCTAGAGCCGAGCGCCTTGGCTATGAACCTAGCGATGTTGTGGACGAGGACGACGATCACGCCATGTCCCTGTCCCCGGTCGACTATGACGAACAGTCGATGCCCGTCCCAACTCCTCAACCCCAGGGCGCGAACCTGCCGCCTATCCAGCCGAGGCCAGCCCCCCTGCCCGATGCACCCTCGGACGACCTCATGTACTGCGATATGTGCTTCCGCAAGTTCGTCTACCGCTCGGCGTATGAGCACCACATCACCAAGAAGGTTTGCACGCGCCTACCTGCTGCTCCCGGCGGTTATAAGTTCTCCTGCCAGCACTGTGGCCAAGGCTTCACCACCATAATGGGTGTCCAGTACCATAACGCCAACAACATCTGCGGCAAGTTCAAGGATCCATGGAGGCCCATGCCGCCGCCGCCCCCTGTCATGCCCCCTGCTACGCCCACCGCCACCAAGTACAAGCCAGAGGCCCCCGCATCCACCCCGGCGGCGGCACCCAAGCTTGTGCCTACCCCCAAGTCTGCGCCCGCGTCGACGCAGGCTGTCGCCCAATCCTCTCCGTCAGGCGGCCCACGCCTCGGAACCCCGGGCCTACACGCACCAAACGGCGCCGTCACCGACCCCTACGCACACCTGTCGCCCGAGCAGCTGGCGGCCATGCAGGAGGAGCTCAGGCAGGCCGAGCTGAGCTACGGTGAGCGCTTCCGGCAGGCCAGGGAGATCCAGGATGACACGGACCGCAAGACCCGGCTCGACGGCCTCTCCAACTCTTTCGGCACGAAGCAGTCCCTGATCCGCAAGAAGTACGGCGTCAGGCTCCGCATGAGGAGGACAAAGGCCGAGATCCAGGCCGAGAGGGATCGCATGCAGTACAAGACGGCCGCCGAGCTCGCAGCAGACAACGGTTTCCCCATCGGAACCCCAGGGCGCCCGGGTCGTCCCCCCGCCTCGACCCCTTCTCGCCCGCCCGCCATTGTCGCACGTCGTTCGAATGGCGGCACCGGTTCCGCCTGGGCGAGCGTCAACCGCCCTGGTGCCCCTGCCGGTGTCCCTGCCTCGCAGCCACCAATGGGCACTGCAGAGCCTCCGTTGGTCGCGGGCGGCAACAAGCGACGCTTCTCTGGGTCCGCCCCGTCCGAGACCAAGCGGGTGGCATACTCCGAGATGGGCGGACTATCCGGCGCCACCGCGGCCCATGTGGAGATGACGGACCCCACCATGCCGCGCGCCACCGCCTCAGCCGCGAGTGCTAAGGGCCTCGGAACGGCTGATGAGCCCATGGCCCTGGATGACAGCGATTCGGACTCGGACGAGGAATCTGACCGCTCTGCCGGCGAGGACATCCCCGCCCAGCTGCCGCCGAGCGTCCGCCAGAGCCTGCAGCAGACCAGCAGCCCGTCGGTGACCCCAGGCCCGCAGCCTGGATAGAGGCCTCGCTCGGGACTGCGGCCAAGGGCTGCAAACTAGTACTTGGCGGGCCGCTTTGGCGAGAGACACTTTGTCTTGCAGAGGCCGGTAACTCCTCGAGTTCGCTTTTGGAATGGGAGGTGGATTATGGATACGACATGAGAGCCGACGAGGCCGAAAGGATTGTTCTGACGAGGCGCAAAGGTCGCCGGCTCAGAACCTAGGAACGCAGGCGAGACATTTCTCTTTTTTTGTCTGGTGTATAAAATCCTTGCACGTGGGAAATCGGAGGTGAAAAGTTTCTGCATATACCCCTCAGCCTGAACTTTGATCATTGCTCATTTTTGGCAGCGAGGTATTTGCATTTAAAAGGAAGCACGTGGGTTCCATGATGCGAACATCGCCGGCGTCTGGCATGAAAATTAGAGGGGGCCTGGGTCTTATGCTGCGGGTTGACTGCTGTGGTCAGACAGCAAACGTCTGGACTCTTGTGGTCCTGGGCTCTTTGAGAGTGGGCGGGCACCTTTGATGGTGTTATGCTGGTGGAGCAATCACACCCGGGCACATTGAGCGCTGCATTGGAACATTGATGAACGTGGCCGGTACTTTGAGGAATGGCCGGCCGCCTTGCTAATTCAGGGAGATACCACAATTATCGTTGCGTTTTGCAGAGCCGGTGGTCTTTGAGTGCTTGACTCTGGCATCAATCGAGTGAATGTGTGCACATGTGACTGGTTCGCTTCGATTCCGCTTACGTTCCGAGGACATACATGGCGCCTTCATACGGCGGTAAACGCGCAAGACCAGTGAATTTGTGAATGAAATGAATCGAGTGATTGCAGTGATTCACGTGGGACGTGCCAGTGGGTGGGGCTCCTGAACGCTGGCACCTCGTAGCCAGGTCTGGACTATGGGCAGGCGTGGGGCGATGCTCCACGTGAAGCGTGCCCAGGTGGGGTTTCCGCTGTTCGGCCGGTTGGGTGAATTAAATAATTGCACCGAATGCGGTCTGAAGGGCTGCCGGAATCTGGTCGACTACAAGAAGCACTCTGTAAGCGATATCAGCACCGTGGATACATTGCTTCATTCCCGCGCGGGACCGGATCCTCCTCGCTTGTGATAACGTTACTAGCCTGTGCTGTGGGGTTGGAACCCACCATCACACCTGCCCTCTCATTTCTCCGGGCGATCACTTCCTAGCTGAGGTCGTGTTTAACCTTCGTCCCTACCTGTGTACCTCAGACTGTGTGTGTAAATGTTTCTGTCTGTCTTGGGGACCGTGGACACACCAGGTTGGAAAGGGAATTAGTTACTCCTACCTAGGCATTCCTCGACGAATCTTCTCTCCTGGACTTCATGCCTTTACGGAGTAGACAGTGCACCTTTTACGGCTGGAACTTGGAATGCCTTGTAAATGGTAAAACGGAAGATTCGGGCTGTATTGAGTCGCATAACAATCAGTTTGCCCTGTCGTGACAGTTATAGTACTGTCAGGCTTTTTTGGATGTGAGAGAAAACTGATGCTGCCAGTGATTCTTCTTAGATACCTAGGTAGTGATTGAACAAAATCCAAGTCCTGCCTACCAAAGCGGCCATGAAGCTGAACAATGCCTGTATGCTGCCGTGCTAGAACAGAGCTGCAGGAAGGGCTGTTTTATGGCACATGTCCATAATTTATCACTCATTTGCTCTACTGACTTTCTCGATTTTCTCCTAGATGTCAAGATCATTTCTCATTTCTTGGTTTCCGTTTCTTTTTGAATGCACCTACCTAGGCAGTTTTGCAGTAGAACAACACAGCGTCAATGATTTTAACGGCCAAAGCATAGACCCATCCCAAGGTTATAAATTTAGTCCTTAGTTTCTTCTTCAGACTAATTCATCTTTATTTTAGTCTAGTTGTTTCGTCTTGATTTAGGAGTCTAACTAAGACCTACCGACCAAGTCATAAATTCTAACTAAAATAAGTAGCTAAAAGAAGTAAATTTATAATACAATAGTTCTATTTCCAGAGACTCGGCAGTGGAGCGGCTATGCTGCAATAGCAAACGGAAGAACCTAAGAAGCTCTCGACAAATCGTGATAGTGGTCGGACGCCGGGCTTGTGCAATACAACACAACTTGTCGTGTCTTGTCTTCTCTGCAGTGCATTGCCGTGCTCCACTTGAGTCAGGGGCTAGCGGTCCATGGTACCTGGTTGGTGGATTTCCCCCGAGGATCACCGTTGCGGAAGTGGGCGTCCGCAGTTCTGGATTGAGGCAAACCGTCCATGTCCGCCGGGGCCGAAGTCCATGGTCATCCTTGAATCTGCGAGGCAGGGGGGTGTCAGGTGGCTTATACACCACATCGTGCGCACATCGCGTACTTTGTCAACTGTCGAGCCCCCTGACTAGTCACCACTTGTGGAAACAAAACAACCAAGTCTAGCCCATGGTCGGCAGTTGCCGCCAGTGCCGTCGATCCACTCTGAAGCTTAACTTTTGGAACAAGCCTCGGCCCAGGCGGGCGTCATTGGGGATAGCGGTTTGGAAGGAAATTGGCGTCGGATCACCACGCTCGGACAAAGTGATCCACACCACGGAGATGTGGCCTGCTATTCTGACCACAGCGAATGACTTGCTATGCTACACTAAGACGGATGGGCATGTTGGCCCGGAGGTAGTCCAGCGAAGCAATCTCGTAGGTGGAATCATGACCGTAGCCCCCGAGTAGAATAAATATTCACGTCTATTCCGGCGAGTTGATCATTGCCCTTCTTGTCCATCTGCGATACTCTCCAGAACATATCTACCAGAGGAGACCTCCTACCTCTTCACCGCACTCATTCCCTCCCGACTTACAGTTCTTTGTTCAGCGCCTCAAGTTCGTCAACATGAAGTTCAACGCAGCACTTTCCAGCGTCCTGCTGGCGGCCTCCGCCGCCGTCGCCGCCCCGACGTCAACCCTTCAGGGCGAGCCATCCCGTGTCGACTCGGCCCTCGAGAAGCGTGCAACCACCTTCTGCAGCCAGTGGGGAACCGCAACTGCCGGCCAGTACACATTCTACCAGAACCTCTGGGGACAGGCCTCGGCCACCTCGGGCTCGCAGTGCACCACCTTCAACGACCTGCAGAGCAACACGGTCTCGTGGTCCACGTCGTGGACATGGGCCGGCGGCCAGGGCCAGGTCAAGTCGTTCCCCTGCGTCGCCGTTGAGAAGGTGAACAAGCAGCTGAGCGCTGTGTCGACCATCAACTCGGTCTGGAAGTGGGGGTACGTATGATAGTTGCAGACTCCAAACGCCTCCTTCGTCTCACTTGCGATTCAAAAGAAAAAAGCTAACCAAAACCCTTACCACCTATCAGCTACACCGGCTCCAATATGGTCGCAGACGTCTCGTACGACCTGTGGCTGTCGACCTCGTCGGGCGGCGCCAACAAGTACGAGATCATGGTCTGGCTGGCGGCCTACGGCGGCGCCGGCCCCATCTCCAGCACGGGGTCCACGCCGGTCGCGACCACCACCATCGCGGGCCACACCTGGAAGCTCTTCAAGGGCCCCAACGGCGACACGACCGTCTTCTCGTTCGTTGCTGACTCCACCGTCACCAACTTCTCCGGCGACCTGAACCTCTTCTTCAAGTACCTCGTCAGCAACCAGGGCCTGTCCAACTCCCTGTGGATCACCTCCCTGCAGGCCGGCACTGAGCCCTTCACCGGCTCCAACGCCGTCATGACTACCTCGGCTTACACCATCAGCGTGCGATAAGTGTAGCAACCCGCAAAGCCAAGCCAGCTGTCTGTTCCTCACTGTCATTGGGACAGGAGGATGGTTGAGGCCCTTACTGGCAATGGGCTGCAGTGGGCGGTGGAGGATTGGCTGTTGTTTCCTGTACATAGTTACTATCTTGTTGGTGTAAATACACTAGTTGTACCCTCATGATGAGAGGCTATGCAACATTTTCAAAGCATCATGACCCAGTGCCATAAACAATAGGAAATGACCTGTGAAAGGTTGACTATCCTTCACTCTATGCCGTATTTATAGTATGGTGCAGAATTGTGCCTGGCCCGTTCTTATTTCAATCGCATGTGGCAAGAGTCCTTGGTCGAGCTCATAATAAGTGTACAGAAGCCGGATTATTATTTCTGAGGCCTCTCGGGCCTGCTACCCATGGCGCTCTTCCACACCACAATCACATGCTTGTTTAATTTGTCAATTGTCTTGTCTTCGTCACAACTTGGATATGTGGCACAAGTGAGCCCGGAAACCCTTTTCAATCACGTGGGCCAGCAAATGGATCATTGTCAGGATCCGTTACACGCGTGTACTCCATCCGATCCGCAACATCCTTCGCGACATCAGCCCCGTAGACATCCTCAATCCAAGCGAACGTCACATCTATCCCGGCACTGATACCCGATGACGTCCAGATGTTCCCATCGTTGACCCAACGCGCCCGATGAACCCAGTCCACCTGCGGCCGCAGCGCCGTCGTCTCCTCCCACGCCAGCTTGTTCGTCGTCGCGCGCCTCCCGTCGAGCACGCCGCTCCGTGCGGCAAGCCCAGCCCCCGTGCACACGGTGATGAGGTACTGAAGCGAGTCGAACCTCTCCCGTATGAAGCCAATGGCCTCGGATATGGCTGGCGACCGCGCCCTTGTGCCCTGGCCGCCCGGGACGACCAGCACGTCCAGGTCCGGTGCCGTCGAGAAGGTGTGGGTTGGCAGGATGGTGGTTCCGAACCCGGGGGACTTGGAGGGGCCCGGTTGGATGCCGCCGCTGTCTGGGGGTGTCAATCTCTTTGTGGACACCGGGTCCATGGTGGCAGCGATGATGTATAGGTTCATGTTGTAGGAGCGCGACAGCAGGCTGAGCGCGTCCAGGGGGCCGAACACGTCTAGCAGCTGGAAGGCTGGGAAGACGATGACGCCAAAGTTGACCGGCTTGGGCCTTGCATTGCCCGATGTGTGGGTTTCTGAGGGGACTCGGTCAGTCTTTGCTCATAAGATGCATGTACTAAAGCCTGTCTATGAGTGGCTGTTATTAAGGATGAAGGGATACACGGCTGACCGAATTTTCTCACGAGCATGTTTGCGGCTTTCTTTGCCGGCGAATTGGTTTCCAGATGTGAAGGGCCTGCAGCGTTTGAGCCGTGGCCGATTTCGCTGCTCGGTGGGAAGTGCAACCTTGGAAGTGAGGCTGTGATGCTGCGCCGTGATTTATGGATTAGGCGATCGACGTCAAGGCGCCGGCTTCTAGTTGATACTTTCCGAGGGTGGATCGTGTCTGCTTAATTACCCGCAGTCGGCGTTTGCCAAGCTGCTTGCGTCAGCGCTTGGGGACTGGAGTTGCGCCGGTTGCGCGATCGGACCAGCTTATAAATGATGTTTCGTCGCGTTATGCCCGGAGCATCACGGGAGTTGGGAACCCAACGTTATCCCGCGGTGCAGCTATTGTAGGGAGACTTATCAGATGCCGTGCACAATAAATAGCAGAAGATTTTACATAATTTTACACTTACGCAAGTCAATAGGCGTTTGCCCTCCGAGTCCTTCAGTCTGGCCCATTTCGCTTTCTGTAACCCTTTGCTCCCTCTGTCAAATACCTAGTTACTGATTAATAAATCGTGAGCATTGGTAATCGATGGCTGGTTGAGAGCGAATATTGCTAGAGAAGTGTCTTTGGAGACAATTGCCTTTTACTCAGGTCTATATCAACCTATGTCGGTGAGAGGGGGCAAGCCTTGCCTCAGCGGGACAGGCTCCCCTGTAGCGGACTCGCTATCTTGCCCTTGGGCTACGGATTTCTGGACCAATTGTGCTCTGGCGGGCTCCTCAACCGTAGGTGATAACACCTGCTGTGCTGGTGCTGGAGCCTCGGCCATCTCCGGATCCACCTCTGCAGCCCTCGTCCTAGTGGTGAAAACGGCCGACTTAACGCTCGACTTGATCGTCAACAACGAGCTGTGCAGTAAGCTGCTGCCAAAGAACCAGCTTCCCATTAGCCTCCTCCTCCTCCCCCTCTCCATGGCCGCAATCTCCTCCTCCGCATCGCGCTGCTGGTCATCCGCCGGTCGGCCGACGTAGACGCCCCTCGTCCAGAAACCAGGTCTAAACATCGGGCTCAATACCGGAGCTGTAACTGCCAGCAAAGCTATCACAGTCTCCCTGTAGCCCCACAGGTTGATGTTGAGGACGCTCGGCGTGCCGGTGAGTGTCAAGGCGGCGCGGATGATGGCGGCGGAGATGACAAATAGGCCGCCACATAGCAGGAGGGTGACGCCGATGCGCTTCCACAATGGTATCCGGAGTTGCCAGATCATCGGCGCGGGAATGGTCAAGATGGCCATGTCAGTTGAAATGTTGAGTGCGGCCAGGGCCTTGAAGTTCTGAGCTCGAAAAATGCACTCCTCGCCGGGCAGCGGGCGGATGGTCCAGTTATTGCGGAAAGGTCGGCATGTTGAGCTCACGGCGATTATCAGTGCGGCCCATGTAACGCCGCAAAATACGAATAGGAACTTGAGGGTTCGCTCCTTTATCAGACCCAAGGTCAGGCGGCGGTAAAAGAAGAGGATACAGAACTTCAAGACCCAGACGAAACCTGGATAGGTGTACCAGGTCACGAATTCCATCTTGCTGCCCATTTCGAGGATGCGTACGTCTGCATCGCTGAGTGAGGTGACCTCGTCGGCTGTCACGTCGATGTTTCCTCCGGTGTAGTAGGCGAAATAGCCCATGGTGGTGTCGACGGTGTACAGACCCATAGACTATGCCGGTGTGGGAGAGCTTGTTAACACTCACAGATGCTCCAAGGGTCCTTCATGGCGAAGCTTCATACAATTATGGACAAGTAGTCGTCACCTTGGTATCCCTGTATGCCTACTGTACGGAGTCTGACAACATGACGAAGGATGAGGATCAATATACCGAGCGCGTACCAAGTCTGTCGGTGAGTTAGTCGCTTCCGGCGGTGGATGATTTGGGCGGGTAGGAAATGGTCCTCTGCTGCAAACGCTTACCCAGATCTCGGGTACATATCCACCATTTGTCTCCAGCTTCACCGCTGAGCTCGGGTGCGGAGGCACCATTTTGTCTTGACCAAGGGCGAGCTGACAGGCAGGTTGTCTACAAAGAACCTAGAGCCTGCAAAGGCAGTTCGACAATAATAATAGCAAGCAGTTTATTCCGCCCAGTAAAGCGTCTGTTGCCATGCGTGAGGTCAAGGATGAATCATTCATCAACATCGAAAACACTTCAGGGCCCGAGACCACGCGGACACAGAGCGCGCATGCTTGCGGGATATTTGGCTCGCTCCGGGAACCTTGCAGTTTTCGGCACCCGGATACATGGTGGCAATGCATCCCACATCAGATCGCAGCCTTTGGGTAGTTTGGACTGCGCTGCTTGACTCGGTCACTGCAATCACTGTGGGCAACGGGTGAGGTCCTCAAGAAAACGAGGCGCCAAGGAACCCATGGATTGGCTAAAGCTTAATGAGACATCAGAGCCTCTGATCTGCGGAATAGTGAGGGAGCTACATTCCCCGCAAGCTTGGTTGATCTCATTCTTTCAGAGGAAGAACGTGCCGATGACTATACTCGACTTCATAGGCGAATGGCTCATTCTCATCCAGAACCCCCTTGTTAGGTACCTGCTATGGGGCGGCGGTCGTGACATTTTGCTGGCACCCGTGGACGTCGTCTGCGTAGGTGCTGGGAACATTTAAGATGCCTATAGTGCTAGGAAACGCAAAAGACACTTTAGCTTCCGATCAATAAAGATCAGAGTTTTCAGATCCTACCATTCGGGTCTTCGCTTGTCTGGGACACGTGCAGGCAAGCAGGAATGGGGCACCCGGGAGCACATAGCACACGCGGCGTTCTCGCCGGTGAGGGGCAGGCGGACCGTAGACCGCACGACTGTATTCATCGAGGGTCTGGTTGCCGGATGCGGAGAGAGGTTCAATTTCCACGACACTGTACTCAAATTTGAGAAGTTCGCAAGCAACATACCGACCGTATGGCACAGATTTGAAGTGGATAGGAGAACGCTAAAGCAAATAATAGACAACCATGTTAAGAAAGATTCAGTCAAAACTCGTCCGGCTTATACTGCACTGTCGATATCTAGAGACAGGTAAGGACGTCGAAGTGGGGGCAGGGGGCAGTGTACAAAAGGACAAGATGTATCCGAACACCCCTAGGTACCATCAAAATAGACAATACTTGTTCAAAAGTCGGGGGTGTTAGCTTTTTCTTACCTAGGTAATTAAACCTTTTTAAAGTCAAGTTTCACATCAAAGCATTAGCTTCAACTTTAATTTAAACATGGAATGATAACTTCAAGCTATCTCTACGCTCATATATCATTGTGAATGTTTTACACTTATGTTTATGCGGTGACTGTACTATTGAAGCCTACATGGGTGGTATGATGGGGGGATGAGACTCTTTGTAGGTTGCTGAGGGCCGAACTTTGGGTGCAATACTGCAATATTCACTCCGTCAACGACTTAGGGTTTGTTCTTCCCCGTGGCTCCGAGACAATGATCTTTTCAAGGCATGTTTCGACGTATTCAAATGTGACTGAGGCCCAAAATTAGGGCCCGTCGGCTCAGAAGACTCCAAAGTCAGGCAGTTTTGATCAGTGCCTCCGCTTCTGCGATGTTATTTCACATTCTGGGAATCGTCCAAATCAGACTATCGATGCTGAGTTTTCCATGGTCGCTTGAGCCCCGCGACGTCTCCCAGGCTTTAGCAGCTTCTAGTCCTTCTCGCTCCGAATCCTCCAGGCTTCCCTGTTCCCGCAGCACCACTGACAGATCTGTCCCAGCAAGTAACCCCTCTGGGTGCAGAGATTCATGTCTCTCCTCATGTCATCGAAGAATTGGGATGTTGCAGTAGATGTTTTCAGCCTCTTTGAACTTCTCGGCCTGTTTCGTGCCCTGATGTCCGAGACACACAGCCAGATTACCCTTAACCATGCCAAGGTGGTTATTGCTGCACGGTAGTAGTTATCTGCTGTGGCTGTTCAGTGCTGATCGCAAATTCTTCTCCGCCGCTTCATACTCTGCGCGCTGTATCTGCAAGTCAACCAATTTCGTAAGGCTGGCGACTGAGTCAGGACGCCCATTCCTAGTGAGAACGGAAATTTGCGCACCCAGAATCAGAAGGCGCGCACCCTCCCTACTATTTAACCAATTAGAGTATAGAACCTTAAAGTCCTCATAACTTCAATAAATAAGTATTCTTCGCGATTTTAGGGGCTATAAATAGGGTGGGTTGGTCCTTTGGGAACTCGGGTCGTGCCTACCTAGGTACCGACCCTACTTACAGCCCTTCGCTACTTAGTATGCTTCGCGCTTTGGGGCTCGCCCCCTTCGCCCTAGCTGGCCCTTTCGTAGAAAACGTCTTATATTCTATACCTCTTAGTTAGTAGATAGGTGTGCGCCTTTTGATTCTGGGTGTGTGAATTTCCGTTCTCTTTCTAGCAAAGTTTTACTTGACTCCAAGACGCGCAACAAGATCCATGTCCTCGGCTTCCTCATGTTGACCTTCCCGTGGAAGGATACCATCTACCCTGGTCTGGCTTGTCAGACTATCTGCATGGGTTTCGACAAGCAGTTCTATTCTTCTCGCGAAGAACTTTCTCCGTCGGGATTTCTTCCTCGATTCATTTATCTTGCTTTTCTTTTAGAAGGGCAGGGTTTGGACACACTCTCAAGCGTCTCTGGGTGGTCCAAAGTCAAGGTCTTCTTTCTAATGTCAAGTGCCTCGCTAGCCAGTTCGGTCGCCTTGTCATAGTCCCCGTCTCTTTTCAGAGTGGGTGCCAGTGAACGACTCTAGGGCTTTGCTTCTTAGATTCTCGGTCTTTCGATCGTTGGCAGGCGACTGGGGATGCCGCATAATCTCCTTATTCGCTGTCCTCGCCGGACGATACAAGGTCTACCCTTTCAAGGCCACTACTCACATAGCCTTGCCAGCTAGAGAGTAAAGAGGGATTCAGGACCGAAATGTGTGGTCCTGCCTTTCCCAGCCCTCTTTGATAGCCACGCAGTATGGGCCGTGGTTTTCCATTATGCCGGCTTGACTGTTCCGTCATACTCAATGTCTCTGGGAATTCCACTCGGGCAAACCTCCACAACACCTCTGTCCTCAGATGTCCTGGACCGCACGTGTGGATACTATCTCCACGAACCACTGAAATTGGGGACACAGCTCAGAACGCACTCCACGATGGTAAGAAACCTTCACGTAACTAGGTGCGCCAGAGGCTCGAGCCACCATCAGCGTGAGTGCATGTGATCTGGTCTGCTAGTCTGCCGGCTCCTGTGAGAGGGTGAGAGTCTCCAGGACGGAAGTGGCAAGACGACACCGCGATGTGTTGTCCCGCAAAGTCAAAGGCGTGGAGAAAAGTGGGAAACCGGTGAGTAAATGTAGGAATCAAAGGGTTGGGCGTGATTTAGCCATGCGGCGTTACCTTGGGCTCTGCTCAGCTCTGTGAGCCACTTTGGCTACAACCTTGAGCTGGTGATCACCTAGGCATGACTACAGGAGATGCTAAGACGCCACCACCCGGGACCTCGGGAGATCAAGTACTTAAGCAGGACAATGACGCTGCTGACTGCAGCCTGTAGGCGCAACAAGTCCAGGTGTACTGATTTCAGTGGCCAGCTGGCTGGTGGCTTGTATTGCATGGAAACTTGACAGTGAGAAGACTAATGATGAAGGGTAGCTACAGCCTGCATAATGAAATGCATGCCAAGGCTCACTATCATCTGCAACATTGAGTTCTTCCCCTATCGGCGGCCGGTAGGCAATAAGGTACATGTATCAGGCTTCCTAAAATGTGCGAATATAAAAGCGAGGTACTCAATTCTTTTTAGGGTCTTTTCCCGTCCATCGCGTCTACTAATGAAGGACGGCATTTACTACAATACCGACCGGCTGTGCCTCTGGAACTCACGTCACACCTCTCACGGCGTTGGCCCCTGGTCAGCTTGGCCCGGCTTTTCAGTCACGTACTAGATTGGCCCGAGTACGGCCACCTAGGCCGGCAAATGGGCGAGTTATACAAATACTACTCGTTGAGACTTGACAATGCTCATCCACGGTGAACCCGGTGGGGCTCGTCGAACGACTGAGAGCACTTGACAAAGGAAGAGCATTTGCAAGCCCAGGCCATCCTCAACTCGAACATCACAATGTTTGCAGGCGAAAAAGCGCTTTCCGAAGATTTCAAGATGATAAACGAGGATGCTTCCGCCCACTTACATTAGAAGAAATGGATGGCACGCGCACGAGATATGGCGATCGCAATTGTCTCCGTGCTGACAAGAGGCAATGAGAACAAAATCTTTCAAGCACAACCCATCTATCTGAAAAGCGTAAGAAAGCCAAATTAATCGACTATTCCGAGAGCCACGTGAAGGAACTCGTGGAAAGGATGAGCAGCCTGACTACAGAACTGATTGACCTTTTGTCGACTGCCAAAGGAAATGTGCTGTCGAGATATGGGAACTTATAGAGATCCTTCGAGGGTTGAGAGAAGTCATCAATGAACAAAACAATATCTTGACCACTGAGTTAAAGATAGCCAAGATGCCTGTTCCCGTGCTAAGTACTCCTAATTTCAACACCGTCGGCAGAAGACAGTTGTGATATCACCCGTGTGTGTGATTTGATACAAGCACAATTCGGGAAGGTGCTGGACCACTCGAAATGCAAGAAATAAAAGCTAACCCATGGAACAATTCGCGAGGGAACACAGTCGGTGTGCAGGGCGAAGCAGTTCATGGAGGGGTCACTCGGCCAGTCGGGAGGGGTTGAGGTCGGGAGGGTGGGCTCTTGCAAATAAGGCACCCAATCAGACCCAGCAGACCACGGATTCCATATGGTTCTGTGTATGCAATGCACATGTAGAGGTGCAATGACGCCGCCGTAAGCAGTATTACCTGTTGTCAGAAGGGAAGACGTGGTCGAGACTCCCCCGTTGTTTGACTCTTTTCATTTTGCCGTTCTGAGGCTCACTAGCCTCAAGTATTATGTGTCTCGATCCCGAGACCCAAAACAAGCTTTCAGCACCTTGAGAAGGAATGTTCGACACAAATCGAACTGGTCATATCACTCTTATGCTGTCCTCTACACACCATCTGAACGACCTCTTTGCAACCTTTCCTGTCTGTGCCTAGTAGACAGAATTTTCACCTATCTAGTGTCATGGAGCCCAACTATGTGACCGCGATCATAATCATAGTACTCGTCACCACCGCCGTCGCTGTAACAGGATGCTTATACAGCGGGATTCTGAACTGCACGCGGTTGGGTTTCCGACGCCAACGGCGAGTGTCCAGCCGCTTCTCGAGCGGGACATGGCCCTCTGATGAAGAGTATGGAGGCAGGGGGTTCGCCGGACTCGACGGCTACTACCACGGCGGAGGAGGCCATGCGCAACCCATGCGCCCGCCCGCAGGCTTTCGGGATGGGGGCTTTGGAGGTGCGGTTAACGTTCCTCCTCTTCCTCCTCAAACGTTCCGACCTCCTGCTGGTTGGGGCAACCGTAAGTCGCCATTTTGCAGTTGAGACCAGCCAGAGCTGACTTTCATGAGACTGAGCCCTTGTCCACGTTGATCCGAGAGACCGCATCGGTGATCGTCGACACAGGAAGCGTCGACACACGCTGAGGCAGACGCATAGGTCGGGCAGTCGGGGCCTTTCTAGGAGATAGATCATTTTAGGATGATTAGCTAGATAGGATTTAGGATTAGAAATTCTATTATCTAACTCTTCTTATTAAATATTAACTAATAATTATATATTAAATAATTATAAATATAAAATTAACTTAAAATTATATTATTTTTAAATAATAAAAAGTTTATAATTATAAATATAATTAAAATTAAAATTCTTTATATAATTTATTTAAATATTTTTATACTTTTAATAATAAATTTAAAGCTAATATTTATACATTTAGTAAGTTAATCTATACACTTAATATTTTCTTTTTATACACTTAATACCTAGTTTTATATATAAAACTTATATAAAACTATATACCTAACTAAGATTCTTTAAATTTTTAATATTTTAAGTATAAACCTCTTTTATAACTCTTTTGCCTTTATTTTTTAATAGCTCTTCTAATATACCTTCTAATATACCTTTTAATATACCTTTTAAGCTATATATATTTAAGTATTAATTAAGTATTTAAATATTAATTAAACGTTAAAAGGTTAGAAGTTTAAAGTGTTAGAGGGTTAGAAAGGGTATTAAAAGGTTAGAAAGAGTATAGTCTTTATCTTTACCTTTTTAACTTCTAGCTTTCTAGTATTTAGTTAGTATTTAAATGCTTAGTTAGTACTTGAATGTGTGTAGCTTAGAAAGCCTGTTAGAAGGTCTACTAGAAGGGCTGCTAGAAGGGCTGCTAGAAGGCGTGCTAGAAGGGCTGCTAGAAGGGCTACTAGAAGGTGTACTAGAAGGTGTGCTAGAAGGTGTGCTAGAAGGGCTACTAGAAAGTAAAGGTGAAAAGTATTAAAAATTAAAAAAAAAACTTATATTATAAAGTTACTTAATACTAACTTAGAAAATACTTATAAATATAAGAGAGTTATTAAGAAAAGTAGGTATTAAATATATAAATTAACTTATTAAATATATAAATATTAGTTTATAAATTTATTATTAATATTAAATATTAATAATTTTAAAAATAAGTTTAATTTTAAATTTAATTTATTTAAATTAAAATTATAATTATTTTAAAAAAATTATTATAAATTTATAATTATTTTTATAATAACTTATTATTATTAATATAAAATATTATTATTATTATTATTTTAAAAATAATATTTTTATATAATATTAATTTTTAATATATTTAACTTTAATTATTATAGGTGAATTAAAGGTATATATCTATAACTAGAGCCCCTTCTAAAGGGAGAGCCGAAGGGCAGAAGAAGTAACCCTAACCCTCGGCCCTCGGACACGGTTGGTGCGGCGTGGTTACTGTGGTAAGGTTGGCAAACAAGATTGCAGTGGTGTTTTAGTTGGCGGGCCCCGTGAGATTGGACCCCTAGACGCTCGGGACCCTTGGCCCGTTGCAGGCATGGACCCGGGTGTGGCGAGGTGGGCGGGGTGATTTACACGAGACCAACAAGTCATGTTTATTATTACATAGTACAGCTTTGGCGTTGGTTGCCCGTGCAGCGGTGATTGCAGTGGTGTAATAATAGCAAGTGACGGAATCGATGTGGGAATAGTATCAGAACAGTCCTCTTGGCGAGGAAGAGGCACCCGACCAACGGAAACGTTTGGGTTTGTGTGTGTACTTTGTCACACCAGCGAGCGAGCTGAGGGGCCGGGCATGTCGCCACGAAGGCCCCAACTCTGTTCTTGTTGCTGTTGTTGCTGTGTTGCCGTTATGATCATTTGGTGGGGAACCTCGGGAGGAAGGTGGCTGGCTATGTACGTACTGCAGGTAATAAGTTTGTACAGGATTCACCCCTAAACTTTGTCACTCGGGGACTTCACCCATGAAAAAATACGACCTTAACAGACCAATCAGATCTTCTCTTTCTACTCTTAAACGGTGACTTCTATACCGTTACGCTCACTACCGTTATATTACACCTAAGTACTTTACTTTCCTAGTAATCCTACCTTAGAACCTAGTACTACTATGTTCCTTTTTATAGTTTTAAGGTAGCCGGGGTATCCATTTCTAGCCTCTTGGAAGTCACTCTTTGACAAAGATTAGGGGTCTACCCTGTATTTATTATTAGACCAGACTTGGTTGTTGGGCACCCTTTTGGGGTGCGGCTGGGACGAACGGGTGCACGCGGCGATGCGAACCTGTCACCCATCACTGGCATGCTGCCTGTCAGACGGGCAATATTTGAACTGCCCAGGTGGTGCAGCTCAGCTGGGACTGCACGTGCAGAAGTACGGTACAGATTGCAGTTGATGTCGCTCATGTCGCGTGGCTGAGACGGCAGACCACAGGAGGTTGGTTCAATGTTAGTCTAGTTGGTTACTGATAGATAGACGCTGGGTTTCAGCCCTACCACTGGCTGGGGGGGGGGGTTGTATGTCTCTGTGTTTGTGTTTGTGTCTGTGTCCGCGTTCGCGTGTGTGTGTGTGTGTGTTCGTCTGTGGCGTGTGTTCGTCGTGTGTGGTGCGTGTCTGTTCTGTCTGGCGATGGAACATGCACAGCCAGTCGTCGTGCTGCAACCAACACCACCTACAGACGGCGGCAGGGCGGCAAAAAGACCCACGCCTGTCCTGTCTCGGGATGGCCTTGCGCAATGTCGCCTTCTCATCGAATGACTGGCCAGGGTCGCATCGTCCCGACTCCGGTGGTTGAGGGGATGGGTGGATGGGATGGGATTGACTCCAGACGGATTTCAGGTTTTCCTGGCAACCTGGTCGGCAGGTCGGGTTCATCATGGCGGTGCAGGATGCAGGTGCCGAGCCTGCGAGCCTGCGAGTGTGTGGCGGATTGGCAGATTGGCCTCCCATGATCGTCAGGGCTGCCTCCAGCTGCCATTCTAGCAGATCCAGATGATCCTTCCGGCTGCCCGCCCCATCTGTCTGTCTGTTCGGACGAGAGGCCAACTGGCTACAGTTCTTGTTTTCTAACCCTTTTTATTTTTCCATCCAGTGAGCTGTCAATAATAATAATAATACTGGGCCCCAGTCTCGTCCATAATCGCGCACTTCAAGGTTGCTCGGACATGTCGTTTCGCCCTCGTCGGGCCACGTCCAGCCGTCACATCACATCTACGACCCTCCAATAAAACCATCAGTCGGTCCACCTCGGCAGTCAATCAATCAACAAGTCAATCGATCAATAAACCAATCTGTGCAGTGCAGACCCAGTCCACAATTCAGCTGACCACCACCGTCGTCGCCCCACCGTCCTCATTTCGAACCAAATCAATTCAATCTTGTTTTGATCCTTTTTGGTCGTGGACAAACCCACCTCTCCTCTAGGCCCTCTCGTGTCTTGGCCAGACTTCATCTGATCTTTCCGCACCATTGCGAAGCACAGTCCACCGCAAAAAGAAGCACATGCGTACCCGCACCCAAGCGCAAATCCACCCGGCCCACTCTCGAACCGCAAGCGCCCCGCCCACATCCGATCTCTTGGTTTCACGGGCTCTGCGGCTACTGTTCGGGGGCGAGATTGCAGTGCTCACTGCTCGGAGGAGGGAACAGAAAGAGGACAGGCAGGAAGGCAGGAAGGCAGACAGGCAGACAGGCAGACTTACACACCATACTACATACACATGGTCCGAGTGACGATCAGACATAGCGAGTACGACAGAAGGCATCGCGCAGCCGAGAACGCCACCCGAAACGGCCGGCAGCCTGACCAGGGCAAGCAACACTTGAGGATCGCCGACTAGCTGTGTCAAGAGAGACGACACCCCTCCCGATAGCTGTTTGTCTTCCACAGGCCTGGTCGCTTAGGAAGACACCAGTAAAGTACTGTCGCTTTTACTAGCGAGGGGCACACACACACACACACAAAAAAAAAAGAGCAGGAGCAAGGGAGCAAGGAGCAAGAGGCCAGGAGCCAGGACAGGGAGCCACGGACAGGAGAGGGGGCCAAGCACACTCGATCCAGGCGCCGCCACACCCATTCTCGGTAGTCTGGCAGCTCGTGCTTGCAGTCTTGGTGACCAAGGCTCGTAGCAGGGCGCATTAACTCGGCTCACGGGCCAGAGAGGGGCTTCCCTTCATTTCAAAGGGTCCCTGGGAAATCGCGACAATGTGGGACCGCTTCAGGTCGACGCCAGCAGCCGCAGCGCCGGGCCACCACGACTCGTCGCCTTCCACCTCGACGAGGCAACTGCAGCAGCAGCAGGCACAGCAGCAGCTTCCTTCCTCGACCACCACCAGCGTCCACAACAGCAACAGCAACAGCACCACCAGCTCGCTCCTGACCAACCCTCTTGCCAGCAGCAGCAACCACGGCAACCACAACACCTCCAACAGCTGGCAGCCACGGTCATCCGTCATTGCGCAGCGCCAGCGCCAGCAGCAGCCACACAGCAACAACCGTCAACACCACAACCAGCTGCGATCCGCCTCGACAGACAACTACTACCCCGGCGGCAGCGTGGGCGGACACGGGGGATATCAGTACAGCATCAAGGGAGGCCAGCCCCCGCCCAGGCCACTCAGGGAATTGTGCGTATATTCATCCCATCCCCATCCCTAGTCTATTTCTATACTATCGCCTTGTCACTGCGTCACCCCTCGCTACTCACATGTCCGAGACGACAATACAGGACAAGGAACAACACCAGCTAACCTGTCCACGTACCATCTTGTAGCCAAGTCCCGCCGCCCGTTCACCCCCCTCCACGCCAGCAGACCTTCCCCCAGCAGTCGTCGCGACAACAGCTGCACCCGCCCAGCGCACACGCCCGACACGAGTCCAGGGACTCCCTCGCCGGCCGCCCGACCTCGTCTGTCTACTCCCAGCCCTCGCCCCTGCACACAACCTTTGCGCCCCAGCGAGACCAGCGAGACCAGCGCGAGCAGCCCAACGTCGTGCGACACCATCCACAAGACGGCTTTGACGACGTTTCTCCCCCGAGTTCCCCCGAGTTGTTGTCGCCCGGAAATGTGTATGTAAAAGTAGCTTTTCTTTGACAAGTCGCAAGTGGCCTTGCCTCTGAGGACGTTGGATCGTCCCTCCTGGGCCGGCGCTGGCGGCATTGGTGTTGCACGCTGGGGGCGGCTTGAGACTGGTCAATCCTGTCTCGCGGCCGGGCCTTGCAACCCCTGGCCCGCACCCCATTGTCCTACGCTGGGCGCCCTCTTGGTCTATTGCGCTCTGTGGTTGATTTGAACCCTCTCCTCGTGAAGTACTTGCTAACACTGCCTGCGCTCATCGCTACAGACCAAACCTCGACATCTCCCCCATAGACGAAGAAGACGACCTCGCCTACCGCCAACAACCATTGCCCAAGATGTCTGCCGTCAGTGGTCTCCCCTCCCAGCAGCGGGCCGCCAGCCGACAGGCCGAAACCCCGTCTCCCAATGCTCGATCAAACATCCCCATGATGCGCCGCGAGAAGAGGCAACAGAGGGATGCAGCTGCAGGCCGGCTGAAGGCGTCCCCCAGCCAGGATGCCCTGCGCCAGACACCACCCCGCGAACAACAGCCTCTGCGGCCCATGAACAGCGGCGAAAGATTACGACAGCCCTCGCCAGTCCCACACTCACTCAAGGCCATGGACAGCCGGGAACGGCTGCGGCAGCCCACCGTCGACTACAGCCAGAAGCCAGGCAGCAGCAACGGTCGACCGCGCGGCGAGAAGAACCCGCGGTGGGACCCGATGACGGGAGAGATCGCCATGAACAATGAGAAGTCAAGGCCATCGCAGGTCAAGCCGCTCGAGTTTGCACGTGGTTTCGGGCTGGGAATAACCTCATCGGCAACGGCAGAGCGGGGGCCCACGTCACCAAACCCACCCAGGGGCGCATCGAGTATGAGCGATCGCGTTCGGCAGATGGGTTCGAGGATGGGCGTGGGATCGGGCCTCAAGAACCAGCCCCAACCCCAGCCCGAGAGTAACACCGACCCCGCCGCCGCCGCCTTCACCTCCAACCGGCCGGGCTGGCGAGGCGCATCCGGGCGGACCGCCATCGTGGAGCCCGTCAAGGACAACCCGGAGGTCGCCCCGCTCAAGATCCCACCACGGAGTGACAAGCGGAGCTCGCCACGGCCGTTTGGTGGGCCCAGCCCGAGCCCCAGCCCGAGCCCCAGCCCGAGCCCGAGCCGCGGGCTTCATAGTCCTGGCGGCGGCGGGCTCGGCGGTGTTGATGCTGCCATGTCCAGTCCACCCATCAGTCCTGAAACCCAGCTGAGGGAGCAGGACCAGAAGCAGCAGGCTGCAGGCGAGGCTGCTGCAGGGAAGGGCCCGCTGCTGAGCCCCAGTGGCCTCGGGGGCAGCATGGCCAACACCATCCGAAGAATCATCCCATCCTCGCAGCGCCTCCCTAGTGGAGCGGGAGCGACTGCAACTGCAGTCAGTGCGGGTGTCAGCCAGCAGCAGGGCTATCCCAGCCCGCCCCTTTCCAGCAGCCCCTCGCACCCTGCCACACTGGCCCAGCAACAATCTGCATCTGTCAATGCCAACGGCGGCGCTAATCATGCAACCACTGCTACTGGTGCGGCCGCCGAGCCCGACAGCCACGCATCTGACACCTACCACCGTTCTCAATCATCGTCTCCGTCACCACCGCCTCCGCAATCACAAGAACCGCACTCGCTGTCCTCATCCGCAGAGCCCTCCCCGACTGCGTCCCAGGCACCCATCCGAAGGAAACAGGTTGGTAGCGGCGGGCCTCCTTCGGCACACCTGCACCCAGGCCGCGGCGCGCACCACCAGCCCAAGGAGTCGTTTGCATCATCTGTCTACTCGCAGCAGACCGAGGACGCCGGCCATGCGTACCAGCAGCAGCAGCATCATCCCAGCGACGAAATAGCCCCCAGGCCGACCATCGATATTCGAAACCTCCCTGGAGCAGGCAACGCCGACTCGCCATACGAGCAGCCACCCTCACGTTTCAGCGTAACCACCTACGCGACCTCTGCACACACCTCCACACCCCGCGAATCCCTCGAGCAGTTCGACCGCAATTACTACAACGAGGCCGACGCCCCTCCGCTGCCCACTCCTCCCAAAGACTACGCCATGAACTCGTACCTCGACAGCGACAACGCAAGAAGCACCACCAAACAAACCAAGGGCCCCAGTGTAATGGACCGTAGCCGGCCAAAGACCCGCAACGGCAGCAGCAACTGGGACGACGAGAACGCAGCCCCCGTCAAGATCAGCCTCAGCCAGCCGTGGATGTCGACGTCGGGTGCCAATAGTGCCGGTATCAACGCCCAGAACTCCCCACCGCGGTCCAGGAAAGAAGCACCCCGAGGCCCGCGCGAGCAAGCCCCCAAGGAAGTTCGGGGTCTCCTCGGCCTCCGCAACGACTCGATGAATACCTCGCGCCCCGCCTCCATCCTGTCCGTCGACAAGGCCCTCCCCGCCGCCCCGCCCGAGTTGTCTGCCGAGACCACCAAGGACCGTGTTGCCATGCTCAACGCCCAGCTGCAGAGCCTCGGCAACAGGCGGATCAACATCAACAAGAGCATCAAGCAGATGACGGAGCTCATGCCCCAGGACAACCTGATGGCCACGCCTGAGGTGCTGCGCAAGCGCGAGATGGAGAAGCGCAAGGTGGATGACCTGCAGCAGGAGCTGGCCGACGTGCAGCGGGAGGAGCACGAGCTGGGCATGAAACTGCACCGCGCGTACAAGAAGCTGGATCGGCAGGCGGCCTACGAGCCCACAACGTTGTGGGTCAGACGCGCGACGGGGTGAGTGGCGGGTTGCTTTTTTGTGCCTATTCTTCCTTGACTCTGTTTTTTTGTTTTTTGCTGTTGATTTTTCATCTTGCTCTTCACAAGCTTTTTGCACTCTTCCCTTGATGTTGAGCGACAGCGCTACGATACCTCGCCCGCAAACGACGGGCGGAATGACGGATACCACGCTCTCGAAGAAACTTGCTACCTGTCCATAACATGTTTCCAAGATACTGTACAATATCATCACCATGCGGACCCAAACATCCCGTGGTAGGGTCTCCAACACACCCAAACCTCTCACCCTGTGATATGTGATCGGGATGGCCATACCGTGATATCCATGCCTGTACTAAGAAATCAGTTCACCAGCCCAACAGGGTGTGCTGCTCCTAACAGTTGTGGGTCAGCATCCTGCCAGTGTAGAGTACACCTAAGAAATCCATTACTCGCTTGAGCACATGCACCACATCACTCATGCACGATGACTTACCTTACCCCAAGGGTCCTCCTGCCCCTCAGCAACGTGCTGAGTGGGCAAGCAACCCCATCCAAACGCAGACTCCACCCCCACCCACCTACCTGCCACCACATCCTCCTCCACAACCACGGTCCCTACCTGGGGTAACCTACCCTACCTGCAGCCCACTTCACTCACAGCAAGGACTGCCCTCCCTCCCTCTTCCTCCCCTCCCCACCCTTCCATACACACCACTTTTTTTTTGTATCTTTCGTAGTATCTATCTGTCAGTCAGTCAAGTCCTGCAAACATTGAAGGCAGCTAGCTAACCATGTGTTTTCACCTGTCTAGCGACATTATTTATTCTGCCGTGGGCGGGCTGATTGTCTGCCTGGGCCTCGTGTATTATTTTCGGTATGGGTGGGTGGGGGTGTGAGCTGTGCTTGTATGGCCGCTCCACCAGACCCCGAGATGCTGTCTTCTTGGGGAGACGCGTGGACAGTTAACGGGTCTTACATACTGCCAGCGACACCACTCCCTTGAATTGGATATTCTGGCCGTTTGACTGGGCGGGCAGAGCGTATGGCTAGCAGTTGCGCAATCCCGTTGCACGACGGGGTCGTGGGTGAGTGTGTTTTGTCTTCTTCTTCTCTGTCCCAGCTTCACTTCTGTTACTCTCTTTTCCTTCTTTTCTACAATCTACTTTGGCTATTGATTGATTTGTAATTTGTGCCAGTGGCAATGGTGTTTTCTTCTCCTGGGTAGTACCTACGTACTTACCATCAACCTTTTTTTCTGTTGACTTTTGAGGACTGTTTTCTGGTTAACTATGTAATTGATGCACGAGGATGGAGACGGGCTCTGTACGCCATTTCAGCTTCTTGTTAATTCTTTTTAGAAATCCTTTTTCCATGTACATACATATTTACACCATCACAACTTCTGGTCTCTTTCATCCTTATATTTCATGTATATATGCGTTGTCATGAGCTTCCATGGTGTTGCACCCCGAGGCTGACTGCCTTGCTATGCACGTCTATTCTTATTGTTCATACTTAGCGTTGCGACACAGCGCTGCACATCTATTATTTTTTTAGGCTTTGTGTTTATAATGGCTGAGGCTTTAGATGTATATAATATCATTAATGTTGGTCAATTTATGCATGTCTGGTGTTGAAGCTGATCCATTGCCCTGTTCAACGGAATGGCGGGTTCATCAGGTGGTCGGGAACAACAGTATCCTTCCTGGCGACATCTGCCTAGGGTTGCCTGAGAACCACTGCCTACCGCACGGATAGATCCTGATCTACCGTAGCACCGACGCAGATCCTGTAAATCTACCACAGTAGCACACTGCAACCGTTTCGGCTGCCTCCCTACCGGCGACGTCCCCCATCTTCGGTGAGTAACACCCGAGGCGGGGCCTGCAGGGTGGACACGACCACGGGATCGCGCCACCGTAGGGGCCCGACTAAAGTACCACGTTCTGGCTCGGCTATCGTATTTAGAGCAAAGTGAGTTGTCAAAAACGTGTTTGGTTTCGCCCCAGAGCCAGAGCCTCATCCGAGACCAGACTTCGAGCTACTAGTACTCACTAATGTCGGCCAAGAATGCAGGCGTCGGCACTTCCAACCAATCCATCCAGCAGTGGTTTGACAGCGTCGAACGTGCTGGAAGTTCAGAAAGCTTATATTTACGGTGAGCGTACCGAAGTAGGTGCATACCGCGGCAGTGAGCGAATAATCAGAATGAGTGGTCCCCAGTTCCCCGCCAAAAAAGGGACCCCGGGGCCCCTGGATACGGCCGTGATGAGGCCTTTTTACCTTGCCCTGCTCGCGTATGGCTGCTGGTGGCAGTGAAAAAGTGGGGGCGGAGGGTCTGAAAGGCCGGATGCAGCCAATATGCTTCGTCCACGCGCCTGTTTGACTCTGTGTCCTTACGACGGGGAGGCAGTGACTGGCGAGGCCTCCCCGTCCACCGTATCTCTGGCCGTATTTATAGTCCCGATGAGAGAGCGGTCTTTGGGTGCTTGGGACCTGGTTTCACAACACTCTGCAACTTACCACCATCTGTCATAATACACTTTCCGCGAAACCCAAATTTACAACCATGGATTTCATCAACAAGTTTAAGCACGGCGACGAGTCGGAGCATGAGGAGCACAAGAAGCACGGCGAGACTGAGAGCGAGACCGCCGCTCAGGCCACCGGCTCAACCCAGCAGGAGGAGTCCCACAGCGCGGCTGAAAATGCCGCAGACAAGCACGAGGAGCACGAGGAGCACGAGCACAAGCGGGACTTCCTGGGCAAGCTCATCGGCGGCAGCGGCCACCACAGCAAGCACGGCTCGGGCGACGAAAAGGACAAGGACAAGAGCTTCTTCGACAAGCTGCATAGCAAGGAAGACCGGGAGAGGAAGAACCTGGAGCTCGAGAAGCGGGAGCTGGAGCTCAACTTCGAGCTGGAGCGGGTGCTGAAGGAGCAGAAGGACAACCAGGGCTTCTTCGACCGGCTCAAGGACAAGTTCGACGGCGACGTCGACAAGGAGAAGGTGCTGGAGCACCCGCCCAGGGACGAGGACGGCGAGAAGCCCAGCTTCTTCGACAAGCTGACGGGCAAGGACGAGCGGGAGAAGAAGGCGGTCGAGCTGGAGCGGAAGGAGGCCGAGATCAGGGCCGAGCTGGACAAGGTCAAGCACGACAAGAAGGAGAACCAGGACCTGCTCGAGCGCATCAAGGACAAGCTCGACGGCGAGACCGACGACGAGGAGGAGCGCAAGAAGGCGCACGAGAAGCCGAGCTTCTTTGACAAGATCACCGGCAAGGCCGAGGAGGAGGAGCGCCGGCGCAAGGAGGAGGAGGACAGGAACGCCTTCAAGAAGCTGGGCGACCGCATCAACGAGGGCCTCGGGGGCGGGCACAAGGCCGAGGAGAAGGAGGATTTTCTCGATAAGAGTAAGTGACACACCGTTGCCACCCCCTTAGAGGACCCATTGGATCCCGATGGATAAATGACTCGGGCTGGCTACATATGTACCCTAACTAACATTGCTTTTGCAGCTATCGACGGCTTCCAGGAGCACATCCTCCGCAAGGGCACCCAGAGCAACGAGAGCGCCTTTGAGCAGGCCAAAGACGCACAGATTGCCGCGGCGATCCGGAGTCAGCTGCACCTGAAGGACAAGAAGGATGATCATCATAAGCATTAGGTTGTAGTCTGGACGGTGTGAGTTTCCGTGGCGCGCAAGTCTTGAAACTTGCGGTCAGTAGTTAACACTTAGCATACACTGCATGAATCAAAAAAAAAAATGAATGAACAATTACGTGGACCTAAGGCTTTTCAGGAGTGATGCAACAGGTGGTTAGCAGATATTCTTTGAAGTAGGTCATCCGCCTTGTGATGTGTACCTCAGGTACACAGAAATATGAAGTGTTGCCATCACTTTGACAGGGCTGCTGGTATTGCGGCTGGTTCAACAGCATGCGCATAATTCTGTTAAAAGTGGCAAACAGCAACATGAGTTTGTTACCTATACGATGACACCCAAACATGGGTTCTGATGGTAGCCAGCCCGTAGGGCAAAGTTATGGCGATGAAACAGCTGAGTCGAGACATACTAGAATGACTAACTGAAAACTAAAATCCTAGAAACTAACTTGGTCTGACTAAGAAATTCAGGAGTAGTTTTAGAACCCTGGGAGTTGCTTAACGAGGTTCTAAAATACATTTCCGTAAACTCAAACGCCGTGTCTTTGACTATTTATCCTTGTACTAATATGGAGGCGCCGCATATGACTTGGGACGTACACGGAAGAACTAAACCAGGTATTGATCACCCGTCGAATGTCCCCTTAGTGTTACTCTAACATCAATTCGATTTCATTTGTCACCTTGGGTACTCATAGTGGTTTCGTTTTTAATCCCCATATATATAAAATATATATAGCGCCTTTATATAGTAATAAATACTTAAAACCTAGCGTCTAAAGAAATATAGTATTAATAATAATAAAAAAAGAATATAATATATAAGTATATAGCTAAGCTTTATATTATATAGATAAGGCTAGAAGGCATTACTCTTAATAATACTATATTAAAAAGTTAGTAAAATAGTTATATAGTAAGATTAAAATAATTTTAAAATAGCCCCTATAAGAAGAAAAATCCTATAATATAAGACTTAATAAGCTAACTCTTCCCTATTAATATACTTATTATATAACTATTTAAATCTACTCTTATTAAATAAACTAATATAATCCCTATCCTAAATATATAACTAATAGAATAGTAATACTATAATAATAAACTTATTTAAAAGCCTTTTATATAAATTTTATAAAAAATTAAAACCTTTTAAAAGTTAAATAAAGTTTATTTATTATATATTAAATAAATACTATATAAAGAAAGTAAAAGTTTAAACACTTAAAAGTTAAATCTTTCTTTTTTTAAATATACTACTTTATTATTAAAGATTTATTTACTTCTATATAATATATAAAGAATATAGTAGAAGAGGGAGCCTTATAAGGAAAGTTAATAACTCTATATATAAATAAGTTTAAGGGTATATATTAAATAATTATTAACTTTATATTTAAAGTATAAGTTAATAGTTAGTCTAAAAGTTAAAAAGACAATAAATAGATAAATACATAGTTAAACAAAAAATACAATATGGCCGAAGCCTGGGTACTCGTAATTGTGGCATTGTATCGATCGGAACAGCGGACCAATCATCCGGTGCTAGACCATCATGTCTCAAGGAATAGCAACTCCATCTGGTCCCACCATGTTTCTGTTTTGTCCCTTTGCCCCTTTCTGTGTGCGACCAGAAGTCGTATAGTGAAAATGAGATCGGTCAGCTCCTCCCGCCTTCACCAGGGAGACCAGTCGATCATGACACATTGGACCGAAGCTCCTCCGGGGATCAATGATTAGCTCAGTCCAGGCCTTTCCAGATCTGTTCTTTAGGTTCCATCTAAGGAGATGCGAGGGATGTTGAATCAGTCTCGTGATACTGGGTGATGGCATAGCTGGGCATAACGGCGCACACTCGTAACCTATCAACGATGAGGATCCATTGTATGATAGGCCTGCTTAAGCCGTCGGGTGTAAACGAATCAAGAATGGAACCAATTAGAAGAACGCCCCCTTTAAGAACACATTGCAAGTACCTAGAGATATTAGTATCTGGCAAGTCGGTTGGGGCGCTCATGGCAGCAACGGTGGCGTTTCGGCGGTCCCATCCGGACGTCCCGGTAAAACGGCACGGCGCTCTGCACCACTACCTAGGTGGCTAGGACACCACCTGGCTGGCCTGGCTAGCATCAGCCATGATCCAGTAGCTTCCGGGCCACGCACGTGGAAGTGGTGTGGTTGAGGCGTACTAGCCGGGTCCAGCCGTCGGGTATCTTTCCTTGTTTTTATTTTTGGCGCTTGACATATGTACACTAAATATGCGTGGGTTGCCGTTCCGCGCGTGGGTTACCGTTCCGCGCGTGGGTTACCGTTCCGCGCGTGGGTTGCCGTTCCTGCAGATGCACCCGGCGTCCGGCACACATATGCAAATGCAAATGCGCGTTCCTGCATGGTTTGGCAAAGGAGAAAAAAAAAGGAGCCTCACAGGAGGCGACATCCCCGGGCCCCGGCCCCGGGGAGGCGCAGCGCAGGTGCAGGCGGAGTTGCATCCCGGGGTTCTGCCAGCCCGCTGGCAAGTTACTCTCCTTTTCCCGCGGGTATGTAAGGGCGCGGTGGCCGCCAGGTGTGTCACGGTGTGCGCGCTTGTCAGTCGTGCAGCACGGTCAGTGCAAGGTTTCTTCGTGTTCTGTGGCGGGGGCAAACCTTGTATTGGTTGATTGCCTTTTTTTTTCTTCGCCCCCACTGATTCAGAAGGTTCGCAAGTCACACCAGTTGACTGCCTGGGCAGCTGGGAAAATCATAAACGCATGCAGCTGGACGGTCCAGGCCGGGCCGTGCGGACGGTTGGTAGTGTGTTGAACTGCGTGGAGGATTAGAGTTGTCGATGATCTCACACCGAACATTCAGGAAGAAGTAATAAGCCGGCAGACATTGCGAGGTGAGGTGGTGAATCGTGATGCTCGTGTGATATTAAGTACGGTGAGGTGCAGACAAGCTGAGTCTAATCAATTGATACAATGTGTCATCCCCTTGCTCCCAGAAGAAAAAAAGAAAATTGCCAAAAATCCCCACCACGTCCAAACTCTATAACAGGCTATTATTACATTATCCATCGGCCTTGTTGAGGCTCTTACAGGTTGCCCCGTGTGTCTGTTCTGTGCTGGTCTGTGCTTGATTTCGTCCTGGACTGTCCAGTCCGCCTGGGGGGTATTTTGTGTCTTTGCGCCGTCTATCCCTGTCTATAGCCTTTATTCTAATCCGTATCCTTGTCGCTTGAAAAACTCGTCAGAAGCAAATGGTGTGACTGCCGAACACGTCGGCCCTCTCATGTTCGAGAGAAAGAGTCATGAATGATGGAAGATGCCGAGCACGTTTACGTGGCAACCACCAACTTGAGAAAAAAATCTCCCCGTCGCCATGTCGTGTTTGATCATGGCTCATGGCTTGCCTGTGCCGCAAAACCTCAAAGCCAGAGGACCAGCTTATTTGGGGTTGGGCTTGGGCCTGGGGTTGTTGGTGGCAGAGACGTCATATGCACCACGAGGCATATTGAATATAGAGAGCCGAGCCCGAGTTGAGATGAGATGGGTGAGGTGGTGGGTAGGCACGCGACCTGGGCTGCGTGCAATGCAACGTGTGTTGTTTGGATGTGTGCCTCTCAAGGTGAAAACACGTGGGTCCAGGGAAGAACACGAGCCTCAGCTGTAGCGGACAGTTGTTGGTGGAGAGCCGCTTGCCGGGATGTTGGGTGGATGTGAGTGTGGGTATCGGGGAGCCGGCGGAAGATTTTTCTTTTTGACTTCCTTCTAGCGTCCTTCTGGAAGAATGTGCGGGAGACGATGCAACCGAGCAGAGTTTGGTATTGATGAACTAGAATGCAGTGCAGACAGAGAGCGGGAGAGACGGTGGGTGACGGAGAACTGCGTCGAATTCAGAGGCTCGGAAGAGGCCCAGGAGAGAGAAGTGATGCAGACGAGGTGAGAGACGGTGAAGCTGGATGCTGATGCTGGATGAGGTGGGATCTCGAGTTGAGGGAATCCGGAAGACCGAGACCATAATATACTCCACGCAGACAAGTTGTTTCAAGGAAACAACAGGAAAGAAAATTCGAACCGACAAGGGACGACAAGGGACGACAAGGGACGACAAGGGACCTGTTCACCGATCCCTACCCTCCAGGTACCTCATTAGCGGTGAGGCTTTCTTTTCTCCTACGCCGACCACGACACGCGCGAGTCGACTGCAAAGGTTACTGTGCACAGGGGCTCGCCCCACTGCCCACGTACCCGCAGGAATGGAAGGTGAATGGAAGGGATGCTCAAGAGCTTCCAGCACTCGGGGAAGCCATCCGATTCGGCGGCAGGGCTGAAGTACATGTGGGTGCTGCGCACAGAACCACGAGGCCCGGCGTCCGAGAAGGGCTTGACAGTTGGACCGCGAAGAAGTCCAGAGTAACCAGGTAGCATCCTGCCCTTCCCGCCTCCCGTTTCATGAACCGATAACTCGCGTCTGTTTCAACGCCTGCGCACGATCATCCCGTCCTGCATGGTATCTGACTATGTGTGCGAGTCTGCCGTGTGCATGTGCGTATGTATATGTGCATGCCAGTGTGTGCATGTGTGCAAGTCTGCATGTGTGTGTGTGTGTGTGTGTGCATGTGTGGGTATATGCCTGGCGTCGTCGACGTCGCCAAAACTTGTCAACATCAAGGCCTGGGCGCATGAGGAAATCCGTCCCGCGTCAGGGCTGGAACCATGCTGGTTCCACCGGTGAGACAGGCAGCCGACAAAAAGAGCATCATCAACATCCTCAGACGCCTCTTTTTTTCCTTCTGACTCCCCTCTCATCTCACCTCCCTCCCACCGTCCTCTGGTTTTTTCCTCGGCAAAGCCCCTGGTTCGTCCATTCCCGCCGGCTGGGTCCAGAGAAGCCATGTGGCATGTGGATCCCATGGCTTTTGCAGGGGCAGGTCTGGGCGATGCAGGGCACTTCACTGAGGCTGGGCCGCCAACGGGCCATGGCTTTGGGCATGACCGTAACTCTGACTCTTTTCTTTGTGTGTGGTTTGTGGGCAAAATTTTGTTGCATGGCCTGCCTATCTGGAACATGACATGATGGCAGCGGTCTCCGAGACACTCCTGGGAGCATTATTAACAATAATAATAAGCATCTTGGTGCGGCTGCGCACCATTCCAATGCAGAAGCCCGCCTTTTCATCAATGAGGTCAATCAACATGAATGGCCTGGCGGTCGGCCACCCAATTTGAATTAGCCGACCGGTCCGGGACCCCTGGACCGATCTTCAACCACGCACCCGTGTCTCTGAGACATATGTCTATCACTTAGACCTAATAGTCTAGTCTAGTATCTCGTCAGTCGAGGCGGTCTATCCTGCCCATCAATTCCCCGAGCCAGCATCGCAAACTCTTCGATGCTGCTCAATGCTCAACCTCTTGAGCCTGTGCATGTACAATCTTGACGCCATGATCTCTTCGTCAACTTGTGACCAAGGAGAAAAGAAAAGCGCGATCGCGGAGCATACAGCCCAAGGGGAAAAAGAATTAAGGAACGTGCCGTCCCCAACAATGTTCTGCCCGGGTTTGTCCCTCCAGCTGTGTCCCGAATTTTTGTGGCCAGTCAGACGTGCAGCAGCAGGGATTGATGGCCAGTGGGGTTGTCACCGCACTGGGCTGACGCCGCGTCTGGCAGCCAACCAAGTCTACATCTGTTGCGTCTGTGGCGGCGGCTGCTCATACGTGCTGGGACAGCACAGGCCAAGCGTTCCTCTCCTTCACCGACAGATGGCAGAGATATTGGTGACACCGATGTCGCTTCGCCGTCATTCTGTCTCGGCCCCGGCTTGATCCGCTCGATGATTGTTCACGTGGCCACCGGCTCCAGCTGCCTTCTTTCCCTTCTGGCGCTGACAGGGCCACACGAGGACATCTTGCACGTGTCAACAGCGTCGACAAGGCGGTAGAGTTGCAGCAGTGTGGATGGGGCGGGCCCGGTGGAGATGAGTGGGCTTGCTCCATTCGTTCTCGAAGCCTTCCACGTCTGATCAGAGGTATCCATCTTTTACGGGGCCGCTCACCGAGTGTAGCGCCCCATCTCGCCAGCGCCGCTGGACCTCGTGACCGAGCTGGGGCTGCGGCTGGAGCTGGAGCTGATGATGGAGCTGTCCTCTTTGATCACCGTCACCATCGTGTCCATCTGGATCGTCATGCCCATGTCGGCCGCGGTGATGCCGGACTTGTACAAAACTGGTGACCTATCGCTGTTCCTCATCCACATGTCGTTCTTCTCACCAGTTCGATTTTGGCGGTAAGCCTTACGGTGAGGTGGCGACCGACCTGGAACCCCTGAGTCTCGATCTTCCCACATTTCACGAGGATCACTCCGTGATCTGTTCCCGACGACCCCAGACCCACCCCTCCCGAGAGTTTCGCCCACTGGCGTCCACCATCGACGGCTTCTCCGTGTGGGCTCGTTTTCGGAGCCACCGCCCTGGCTGTCGCTGGCGCCCTGGACCCACACAAAGTTTCCAAACCTGCGGTCTGACGGCGTCCGCATGAAGCTGAACGTGTCTAGTCCGAGTGCATCTGCATCCTCAAGGCGCCCAAATACGATCGTGTGCCGTGTTGTTCCCCAGATGAGGACATCGAGCCAGCCGTTGCTCACAATGAGAGCCCCCGCCACGCAGAAGAACTCCAGGGATACTTGAATCCCAGCCATGGCAGCAATGCGGCCAACAGCCAGGGGCATGGTGCACAGCGCATAGATGAGGGGATATACAAGAAACGCTGGATGCTGGTCTGCGTTGAGCTTGGGCTGTGTGTCTGGCGGGGACCTCAGTGGCGAAGACGACGACGTGGAGGACGCTGACATGACGCTCAACAGCGAGGCCTTGTGTCTGAGCGCTGGCCGTTTGATTTTGTTGTCGGGCAAAGCTCCGCCATGCGAATGGCTCAGGCGTGATCGAAGATTCAAGAAAATTGCGAGGTACAGCAAGGAGGTGAAGACGATGGCTAAGAAGATGTACAGGTAATGTGTGACAAGGCGGAGCTCCTCGTACTCATCGTTGATCCAACACTGTTTGATTCCTGTCAGTACGAGACCAGACCGCAACCGAGGCGAGGCAAGCTTGATTGAAGAGCCCTTACTCACCCAGGCTGAAGCACGAACAAAGTAACCCCCACCATTCCTTCCGTTGTTGGTGAAGACAACACCTGCGAGACCGATTCCGTAGATGAAGATCCAGGTCCCTGCCACCCAGGCATACAAGGCCCACTGTGGCGGTCGGTACTCCCGTACAATCGACAGGTATGTGTGTAAAGCGATTGTAAATATGAAGCAGCTGGACGCGAGGTCACCGTTCGATATGAACAGTCCTTGGGCCCAACAGGCCGGCGACTCCACCGAGATACCGTCCCTTGCCACCCAAACTATATTGAGAAAGAATGCGATGGCCTGATGGAAATCTGCCAGTAGAAGGCTGTGGAAGAGCACGACGAACTGATTCGGCGGGGGACAATGTTCCGGCTCGGTAGTTGGGGTGGACTTTCGGGCACAATGTATCGGAGTCGGTCCCAGGTTCCCTTGTTCCAGTACCGACTCCAAGTTGAGGGAGAACGGTCTGAATTTGTTGTCTCGGCTTCCCTGTGGGGCCTGAGACTGAGCCTCGGTCCTCCTCTTCTTGATGCAGTATCGAACGAGCTTAAAGGTAAGATGTGTAAACAGAAACAAGGACGAAATCAGAGAGAGCGAAGACAGTACGACCACGGCCTTTAGGCCGTGACCCAGAACCGGTGGCAGGACATCAAGACTGCCGCTTTCCGCCGACAAAACCATTATATCAAAGAGAGTTAGCTATGACGAGCCTACCCAGAGCACCGTGCAGGCCCGACATGTGGAAGTGAAAAGAAAGAAGGAATATACACGAACTGAGGGTACACCAAATGAGCATTGCCGGCCCTCACCGAGTATATGGGAGTCTCAGCCCTTTAGACTTAACTTCGGCGGCCAGCGCCTTAGGCTGCTTGTGCAGATCAAAAACTCCCGGATACACCCTCATAGGCTATAATTGCCCATTAGCATTAAGGTAAGCGGCTTCAAACGCGACGATCACCATATTGCAACCTAAGCTCGCCTTGGCTCCCACACTGCGAGCTTCCTCCCTTGCTGCAATAACTGTTTCCCTGATATGGGCCATGGACCAGGCGGGTTTGCAGCCTAATAAGGCCGCCCGCACGGCGTGTAGTGCCCCCTGTTCGCCGGGGAATTTCAGTCGGAAAATAAGGGAAAAAGAAACAAGGATGGTGATCAGTATGGCCGCCGTTTAGACGAACGTTGCCACCCCCCAAACGTCCAACAAACTCTGAACATTCGTCCAAAGCAGGCGATCCCGTCGCATGTGTCGGATTTCGGCGTCTTCTGCAGCCAACCCGAGGCACTCGAAAGACTGGTCCGACTAAAGTTGCGGCGTGATGGCTCGGGAGGAGTCGATCCAGGGCCCCGTCACATCTACGGGCGCAGTGCGGAGCACTGCTTACTTGTCCCAGAGGTGCATCTCAGTGTCAGATGGTTACATTCTATGGGTGGTAGCCCCCAATGTAACCCGTCGTTTGCCAAAATCTTCCGCTTCGGATCCGAAAATCGAACCCCTGAGGCGCAGGCTGTGTCTCAACTTTGGATGCACACTTCAAATGTTGGGAGGGACAAGACTCGTCCATGAAATACCAAGGGGTTGCTGCAACGTCCATTGTCCTGCACGTCTCTGTAGAAATGCAGTAGTCGGTAGCCTGCTTGTTCATCCAATCACTCGGTACCAACATTCGTTCGGTTCGCGCTGCCTAGTGCGAACATGGTGACACTCGTGCAAACCTTAAAATTGCCCTACCAAGCTCCCGGGCCACCCACTATAGCCTCCTATAGCCACCTCTTCACCTTGGGAAACGTAGGCTACGCACAGACGCAACGCATGGAATTTGTCAGTGACTCCCCGGGCTTATCGTGATCCTCGCGTTGACGATATTCGGGCAGCGGCATATGATGTGCATAGACTGTCATCTGACTTGCGGTGGCAGACAAGCTTCGTGCATGATACGTCCCCGCAGGATGCCAAAGTGCCCGCGGGTCTGGGCGCACCGGCCGGCCATTTTCAGTGAAGCTCTTACACAGTACAGCCACGGCAGTGTCACTTGCAGTGCACCGTTGCATTTCCGCAGCAATAACAATGCGCGGTGGCTGCATTCATTAGTGTCATTTCGTGGTCAAAATCCCCAGCTTGATGTTAGTCGATTTGGACTCGATCACGTACTACTCGGTTGAGGAAACAGGCTTGAACAAGAACTGCCGAGTTGGGGAGATTCAATTCGTCGTTCACATTCGCAGACGAGAGATGACGGTGTGAGGGTCTGGTGAAACACTCATCGGAGTTTATCGAGCGAGCTAAGTCGTACGACTTGAGTGCTCGAATGAAGAGGCTCCGCTCAACCAAACATTAAATCTGGCTATAATAACCCGGGCCACCTCGGTCAGCCGACCTTGGCGCTTGATCCAACCTGAAACCGTCAAGACTCTTGAAAGGTGAGGTTTGATTGTTTTGTGGTACGCCTGACCACAAAGTCGTGTGTTCGGACGCCGGTGCTCACTGCTTAGACCTTGCTTGCGGGAAGTGAAGCCACTTGAAGCTTATAACGAGAAAGAGTTATTGAAACAAGCGATGTGGATACTGATTATGACATGGCCTTCTAGCATCGCGACGGGAATTCTCAACGGCAGTTTGGCACTTGCACTCGACTAATAATGGCATTTAGATGTTAGAAGCTGTCCCAAATTAGGTAGCGTGCCTGCAGGACCTGGTGCTCATGTGACTATGTTTACCTGTATGAAAGTGCCGTGTATGAATGCGGACTTGTATGGAATAGAAATAAAATGTGACTAATTTCAATTTGGTATGTGTTAAAGCAATGTGTTGATGGACATTGATCATAGCTACCTAGGCATGCTCCCTTCTCAGAGCTACAGCCTTATACTGTCAGAGCAAGAAGTGTAATACCAATGCTGTAATACCGAAAACATTACCGTATCTAACCCTTATAGACCTATCTCAACACTTTCTCTATCTCTCTGTTGTCCTTGCCTTCCCACCAGGTTAAACAATTCCTTGATCCTGCAAATCAGGCAGACTACTTATATAATTATACAAAGCCATCGGGGCCAACGTGCAGTTTCATTTAATTGGTAGTCTTGTCGTCTCTAATGTAACCATATGTTTCGTGTTATGAAGATAACTTGAGTGGTAAAGGCTGAATGAATGGTTTTATTAAGTATAGAATAGAGTGACCTAAGCTCTATAAGGGACACTTTAGGCAAAGCTTACTTTATTTAAATAAACTAATATAATATATTTCTTATACTATAATTAGTTAATTTTTTTTATAGAGTAAATCCTAAACTAAAAATTAGTTAAATTTACTATTAGCTTATAGAGGGGTTTAATTATTATATAGGAACTAATTAGTACCTATTAATAAAAAAGGAGGTTAATTTATATATAAAGGTTAGCTATATATAAATATATAAATTAACTAGTATTTAGGGAGGTATATAGCTAACTTTAGTTTATACCTCCTAAATAAATTAATTAGTATTTAGGGAAGTATATAATTAACTTAAATATATATTTTTAAATATAAAATTTATAAAATTTACTAGGTATTAACTATATACCTCCTTAAATATAGCTTTAAATAGACTTTTAATATAATAACTTTATACTCTCTCTCTATATAATATTATTATAATAGTTATCCCTTTTATACTTTATTTAGCTATTAAAAATTCTACTTTTTTACTTATACTTAAAAGTAGATAGGTATAGGATTTTACTTTTTTATTTATATTTAAGAATAGATAGATATAAGATTTTATTTATTATAAATTCTATTTATTATTAATAATATTTATTAGCTCTCTTTATTTATATAATATACTATATAACCTTAAAACTTTTCTAGTTTAAGTTTAAGTTATAACCTTTATTTATTCTTTTATAATACTTTTATAATATAATAATTATATAATCTTTTAAGTTATATATCTTAAAATAACTATAAATAATATAGTTATAAATATAAAGTTTAAAATAAAATTCTTAATATCTTTAAAAAGTATTAAGGTTATAAAAGATTAAGTTTATATATTACTTTTATAGAAAAAGGAGGTATAATTTTTAATTATTAATATTATTATAATATATTATAGAGAAATTAGGTAGATTATATTAAGGGTATTATTTTTTTCTATTTATACTTTATAAGGTATAAGTATAATAATAGTAGTTAATTATTATATAAAGTGTTAATATTATTTATTATACTATCTTTAAAAATATATTAAATAATTAGTGAAAAGCTAATATATTTTTATTATTAAAAGGTATTAATTTTATATCTTAATAACTTTTACTTATTATACCCTTTATTATCTCCTTTTCACTATTATATTTTTTAAGTTATAAATTAATAATATTTAATATTATTATTAAAGTAAGGTATTTAAATATATAATATTAATATAAAAGGTATATAATAAATTAATTAATATTATATAATAGTATAAAGTAGAATGTTATATTAAAGAGTAAATATTTATAATATTTAATATTAAATTTATCTTTTAGTAGAATAATAGTTTTATATATATTAAATAGGTTAGTATAGTAGTTATTAAATAGTTTTTAAGAAAAGTAGGTTATAATTTATATATTATATTTATAAATTAAAATAGTATTTAAGATATTATAGTAATATTTATCTTAATATATATACTTATTATATAAATAAGGTAGATAGTTATAAATTATAAAATAATAATACTTTTAAGGTGTATATTTAGTGTAGGTAAAAGGTTCTTTATATAGAGTTTTTATATTATTTAATAATAATATAAACTTTTATATTACTTAGTAATTATTTAAATATTTAATATTAGAGGTATTATAATAATATAAATAATAATAGTATTAATATATTTATTTAGTTTTTAATATTATTTTAAACCTTTTAATAATATTTAATTAACTTTTAGTAAGCTAACTTTATTATAAAACTATAAAAATTTATTATTAATGTATTATATAGCCTATAAATTATATTTAATATTATTTATTTATAGGTTATAATGTTTAAAATTAGTATTAATAAGTTATTTAAATATTTATATTATAGTAACTTTAAGTTTATTAATAATCTTTATAATTTAACTTTATAGAAGAAGGAGAAGGCTCTTTTATAAGGTTTAAAAAAGTTTATAAAAGATTATAATAAAATTCTATTAATACTATAAGTACTATTAGTTTAATATTAATATTAAAAATAATTTATATAAAGCTTGTTATATTATAGATATTAATAGAGATAAAGGTTTCTCTTTTTCTTTTTAAAGAAAATAATATATCTTTTAACTATATATCTTAGAACTTATTATAGTTAATTTAATGTAAAGAGTAGTATTTTATAAGGATTTATATATTTATAAATATTAAGTTTATATATAACTAGTAGTTTAAGTACTTTTAGTATTATATTAACTTCCTTTATAATATTATTATACTTTTAATTAACTGCTTTACCTACTTAAAGAGTTGGATATAATTATTCTTTAGTTAAAATTAGTATCTAATAATCTTTATATTATTTATATATTTAAGTAGGAGATAAAAATTAGGTGTTTTATTATAAAGGTGTAGCTTGCTTTTTTATTAAGAAGTATTTTAAATATAGAAATTTAATAGTTAATTATTAGTAATTAATGAAGATTTTAAATAAATATAATACTAACTAGGT